CAAGATGGTGACACCAATTGAGTTATCATCTCTGTGCCCGAACACACGATACCGAACCTCTGCATTACTGACATGGTGTTGCCACTGAATGTCAGCAATCCTTCGGAGACAGCGATGATCGAACACAGAGAGTCGTCTAACGTCCTCAACTCGGAGAGGCCAGGTTTCACAAGCATAGAGCAAAACTGCTCTCACCGACGCGTTGTAGATCCGGCCTTTTACAGCCAGACTAACATCACGAAGGCGCCAAAGGTGGCCCAGATTGGCATAAGCCGCTCTGGCTTTCACTATTCGTGCATTGATCTCATCACTCACACCCCCACCAGCACTTATGCAGCTACCCAGATACACGAACTTCTCAACTACGTCTATCTGCTCACCATCCAGGGTGAGTACAGGATTAGAATCCTGCCAGTCTTGTAGAAGTACTTTGCACTTCGAAGGTGCAAAGCACATACCATACCTACGGACATTGATTGCCAACTGATTAAGTGCGGATTGCATGCCTTGGGCATTATCGCACAGTAAGACAATATCGTCCGCATACTCAAGGTCGAGAAGTCTTTCTCCAGGCAACAGATCCACACCGCCATAGAATGTGGAGCATCTTCAATGTTATCTCTATGTCTGACTTCAGTGTTTCAGCTGGTATACTGTCAGGTCTTACTACCTTCTCACTCTTGATTTGTCTGGTTTCTTTCGTCGTTGGTGGAGTGACATCTACAGGAAGGTCTGTAGGTGTTGTTTCGATGTCCGGTTGATTCAGTAAGGCTGGCTTATTAACGGGTTACTCAAAGTGTTCTACCCACCTGTTCCTCTGTTCTTGTGTCTCAGTGATTGGTTTGCCTTCTTTGTCCTTGACCGATCTCTCTAGTTTATGATGTGTCACTGCCAGTTTCTTCGTTGTGCCATATAGTTGTTTGATATTTCCTTTTCTTGCAGCTTTTTCTGCTGTCGTTGCTAGGTCTTCCATGTATTTCTGCTTGTCAGCTCTGATGCTGTTCACCTGCGTTTTTGCTTCTGTGTATTCAGCTTGTGTATTGACTTTCTCTGTTCTTGTTCGGTTGTTGTTAATTGCTGTATACTACCCAGGGTGCCGACACAGATTTACTCTGAGATGGTAGGGATGATGGAGGATTTTACTGGTTCGGTTCTTTGAGCTGGATGGTTCATTCGTGAAGCTCACATTGTTGTTCTCAAGAACAGTTCACGACCAAACCATACAGCTCATATAACGAAATTCCACCAAAACAGATTACATTTTTATGCTGATGCTTAGTTAATCTCTTTCTAGTTGATCTCCATAGCAGTTTCTCCTTCTTTTAGTAGATAATGTATGGCTTGAAACCCGTTGATACGAGCTGTCTCGAACTCGTTGAGTTTGTCAGATTCTCAAGCAAAGTTTGTGCTGAACGTCTGGCATGATGTTTTTCCTGCTGTACAGCGCTTATTTGGCTTCAGCTTCATATTTACCACCATCAAAAGAGGATCCAAAGCTATATAAACTCCTCTCTTTGTTCTTATCTCTTCAATGAATCTGAATTTTTTATTGATGCAAATGTGATAGGTCTGGTCCGTTGTAGTATTATGCGGTGAAATCCATATGAACTGTGTATGTATTGGTGGGGAAACGTGGTGCCACCGACAGCAGTTTTGTTGTCCAAAATACAACACCACCTCTGCCGAAGCTAACCTTTTATGTCCAGTTTGGGTTCATTGAGTTTCATTGATTCAGAGAACAACCAAGTTGTATTGTCTCATTTCCACAGCTATTTGGTTGGTCCTCACGGTTACGCACATTGTGCAAACATCCCATTTACCTATTGTATCGTTGTTCTAATTGTCGGAAGGAGCAACAGCCTGGTGACGTCCGAAGAACCTCGACTTTTAATACGAGGCGTCATAACGGTTCCAAATGAAGGACCTTCAATTCACAAGGCAGAGTTTAAATGGATTAATTCGTTTATTTCTGTTACCGTTTTCCCAAACTTCTTTTATCTGGGCTTTGGTCTAACAGCAATCCTAGGGGCGAGCTCCATGGAGTTAAATCTGTTTCATAGATCATAACTTTTTACTATCTACTTGAATATTTATTTTCATAGCTGCTTTCAGCAAATATGAGATATCTAGTTAAAACAAAATTTTCATAAACTTCAGAATAATTAGTAATTCTAAGTTCCTTATTGACCCGTATATTTTCTGAAGGCTAAACTATCCTATAATGAAGTAGGTTATTTCCTATAATACGGAGATTTTACGATAAATACATAACTGATCTAAATAATTGAAGTTGGAGAAAATAGGTCAGTTGGTTTATTAGTTTGATAAAGCTTCATTTGTATTAAAACCTAAGGATTCTAGATTAGGTTGCGTTTGTGGTAAAATATGCCGCGTATAGCCATTTTGTTGAACGCGCATAAGTTTGCAAATCTCCTTCCTTTCTTCCAGTTCATATCGTCCTATGATATTTTCATACTCAGCGTTGTCCATTCCTACTTTGGCGTTTAGGTCTCCCATCAGGATGAATAGATCCTTTCCTGAGCATCTCGCTATGATTGATTGCATCCTCTCGTAAAGCTGATCTTTATCTCGTCGTTGCTACTATTGGTGGGTGCATAACATTTGATAACATTCATTGTGATCCCCTCCTTTGTTGTGAATGATGCTTTGATGATCCTGGGTCCATGAATTTCCCATCCTATAAGTGCTTTACGTACTTATTTGGACAGCATCACATCAACTCCCTGAATGTGCAGGGAATTTCCTTCGTGACCCGAGTACAGCGGCATCTCTCCCGAATCTATCCATTCTGCCCAGCTAAGGTCTGATGGGTTTCACTTCCAAGTTGTATCTCCTGATTTCTACAGCTATTTGGTTGGTTCTTCCAGTCTCCCATATTGTCCGAATGTTTCATGTGCCTGTATTAATTGTTCCCAACCGAAGCTGCTACCTTGACGCGGTGGTCGGGCTTGCCTATCGTAATGACCCAACCGAGCTATATTGACTGGAACATATGTTCCTGTTGGTTCTACCACGCCAGGCAGGTCGATTGGAGAACGGTAAGACTAAAAGCATCAACTCAAGGTCTGAGGGCGAAGTCGTACTGCTGACTGTAGAGGGGTGTGACAACAGTAGGGTGTTTCCCTCGGACAACCAGCATCTGCAGCGATGCTGCCTTCCCACAAGGAGATGTGGGGTTAGAAAAGGTCGACCCTAAAAATGCACACCTCACCTTACCTCACGGATTTCCGTCTCCGGCGGTAAGGCCCTTTGAAGAACGGAGCTAACACGTCAAAAACCTCCCACGAAAAGGCCGTGCGCGACCGGCCTCAAGCAGTTGTCCCTTGGGCACTGCGGTCGCGCTCCCAGGTCGTTAAGACCAACACTAATCCAATTTCCTTTCCAGGTTCCTCAAGAAATACCCTTCCTTGGTGTGGGCAGCCGGGAAGTGATATCAGCCCTCATACCCGTAAGATATTAATTGTTGCTCTGGTTGTTAGAAGGGGCATCGACCTGGTGATTTCCTAAGAATATCGGCTTTTACCATGTGTCATAATTCTTCGTCCAATTCGGAGGACAGAGTTTAAATGGTTTAATTTGTTTATTCTGGTTGGCATTTTTTGGCAAGGTTGTTTTCTATGAGATAGGTTTGCTGATCCCATGCCCAACCCTCTTCCTTTACTCGAACTTGGGGTCAGCAGTAACCCTAGAAGTGTTACGGGCGGAGTTCCTGGCCTATTTCTTACGAAATAAAATATGCCTCGAAGACTAGCTATTCTACTATATATAACCTCTAAATATCTATAGTGACATTCTTATCGTTAGATTCGTGAAATTGCATCTAAATCTGTGTGCCTGTGTCGAAGCAGTAGCATTGATAACTTATTTATCTGAGTGATAATTCGGTTTTATAAACCGGGGAACTTATCAATGACTCGTTTTGTAGATTTACTTTCGGTCTATTGGATTTAAAGGAAATATATCATTTTTGAAATCGTGAACGAGAAGTGTTTGGTTTTTAAAGTTTTTATAATTGCTTTGCATAAGTGTAAAGTTGCTGAAATAAAGTGATCGTGAACTAGGCTGTGTATCACAGTAATGTGTAAAAACAGTTTCTGACTGTTCAAAGCAAATTAAATTTTTTGGGTTACAACAATAACTATCATCATTGTGACTTTTGTAAAGTGATGTTGGCACAGTTAGCAGCGATTCCTATTGTTTTGCTTTATCTTGTAAAATGCTGGGTACACTGTCCTGTTTACTCATGAAGTTGTTTTTTGAAACAAGAGCGCCCTTTCAAAATCCGGTCTTCGCTCATTTGCATGCTGTCATCGTTGAGGTGTCTTTGTATAGTAGTTTGACCTGTCAGGTTAGATTAGATCTGGCCTTGTATTAGCAGTATCCACCATCGTCTGTATTTCGAACCCTCCAACAAGTATAATTTATGTTAGCGGGACATAGATCGGATGAAAGCACGTTCCGTGCACGATTGTCTTGATGTACGTTGATTGGCTATTCCTTATCCAATCAGCGCTAGTCGATTCTTGGAGAAGACTCTGGAATCTCATGTAAAAACTATAGATATACTAAGATTTCTCTTATTGTGCTTCTTACTTTCATATACCCTTGTTATTTGGGTTATGATTTCGTCCCTGTTCAACCGTGTTCTGATTTGGAGACTTGTCGAGTGAATCGGTGCCCAATAATACTAAGCAATAGGAATAGCCGGGTCGTAATAAGAGAAAATTATATCAGTTTACAGCATGACAACGCGACAAAACATAAGTGTTAAAGCCACCAAACAGCTCTGTTAGATGTTCATATTTTGGTCGTATATCTTAATAATTGGTGATCTATTGTCATTTACCCCTATGCAGTAGATGTGGTTCGACCAATGTGTTTTAGTACTCAGCCATGGTTACTTTTTTGTACGTGATTTTGAACAAACTTGGTTTGGATAAATTTTAGTAATCTCCCACTTTATCTATTCTTACTATCAGCTCACAGACCGGTCCCTTTATTCCACAATTCCCCTTGGATATTGTTATGTTAGAACCGAATCTGATCATTCCTGCTGATGACCAAAAACTATTACAATGTTTATTAGATCATCATGGGAAATTAACACCATCTCCTGATTCTCAACACGCTCTGTCGAATTTAAACAATAGAATTTGTGAAATTTTGGATAATATTATTGTAAATCCGTCTATATTCGAATCTGGGGTACGTTGTCATTATTGTTGTCCCATAATCTTTCTCTTGCGCCTTCGGAAGTCCTGTTATATTCTACGAATACGTACCTTAAACAGTTGGGTAATTGGTGAATCCCGAAATATCTCACTTCTTGCTACCGAAAATATTTCTCTAAGTTATACCTTTTCAGTCTTAAACTTTCTCTTGTCACCTCGAATTTGTTGTTTTCAAACAGCGATTTATAAGAGAGCTCAAAACCTTCTGTAGACTACATGCTACTTTTAAGCTTTTCTTAGACTGGGATGGTATGTCTAAAACAAATTAGATCTTTATATCAGTTAATCCCTTTCATAAATTTGGATAATTCATTGGGAAGACGAATACTATCTGAACTATGTGAACAGTCTGATCACACACATACTTGTTAGCAACATTTATTTGTGCAAAAATTAAAGGTCAACTGGACAGATCGGAAGGTGAGTGTTACATCTTTGATCTGTTTACCCAATAATATGTAACAGATCTAGGTTAAGGCCTGACACGATAGGCTAACCGTTTTAACCTTGAGGCTAGAGATTCAAATCGAAGCTAACGGCCTTGGGCAGAGAGACAAAAACGATTCTATCATCTAAAAAGAAGAATATATTTGTAAAATCTCAGCGAATGAATTTTAAGTAAATCCAACGTTTCGCCTGGCAATCTGGTCCAAGCTTTTTCAAGGAAAATATAATCAAACAACAAAATTATCCAAATGATATAAGCATGGAAATGAATTTAATTGTATCCACTCTATTGATGAATAATTATCCGAAAGGTTTTATTAAAAGAATAATTAAGGATGAAGAACGGAATGATATTTTAAAACAAGAGTTAAGCAAGATTGGATGAACACAGTAGTGATCCCATATCGTAAAGGTATCTCAGAAGACATCAGAAGGATTTTAACTCGTCGAAATATAAGAGTATTCTTTCGAACAAACAATAATCTAAGATCAAAACTAGTAAGAATCAAAGATCCAATACACAAGGATGATCAACAGAATTGTGTTTATGAAATCAAATGTACTGACTGTAATGCAACGTATGTAGGTGAAACATCAAGGCAACTGAATGTGAGGGTGAAGGAACACAAACTGTGCTTAAAGCACATTCCTAAATCCTCAATTGATGTAAAAAAGCTTGAGAACAGATCAGCGATAGCATTGCACTCGATTGAATCGGGTCATACAGTTGATTTCAATTGCACAAGAATCATTCAAAAAGGACTTAATTCTTACAAAAAACGACTAACAGCCGAAGCCCTACATTAAAAAAAGGATAATTTTGTTGTTTGATTATATTTTCCTTGAAAAAGCTTGGACCAGATTGCCAGGCGAAACGTTGGATTTACTTAAAATTCATTCGCTGAGATTTTACAAATATATTCTTCTTTTTAACCCGACCGTTGTTGCTACTTTGACGTTGTGGTCGGGCTTGCCTATCGTGATGAAGCAACCGAGCTATACTGGCTGGAACAACCGTTCCTCAAGGTCCTACCATGTCAGACAGGTCGGTTGAAGAGCGGTAAGACTAAAAGCAACAAACCCAAGGTCCGAAGGCGAAGTCGTACTGCTAACTGTAGAGGGGTGTGACAGCAGTAGGGTGTTTCCCTCGGACAACCAGCATCTGCAGCGATGCTGCCTTCCCACAAGGAGATGTGGGGTTAGAAAAGGTCGACCCTAAAAATGCACACCTCACCTTACCTCACGGATTTCCGTCTCCGGCGGTAAGGCCCTTTGAAGAACGGAGCTAACACGTCAAAAACCTCCCACGAAAAGGCCGTGCGCGACCGGCCTCAAGCAGTTGTCCCTTGGGCACTGCGGTCACGCTCTCAGGTCACTGAGACCACCTCTAATCCAATTTCCTTTTCAGGTACCTCCAGAAGAACCCTTCCTTGGTGTGGGCAGCCGGGAAGTGATAACCGCTCTCATACATTTAACAGCACTCAAGACCACTGTATTCATAATCAACCTTCCTCTTCAATTCCTATTATTCCTCCTACATCGACTTTCAACTCTAAACTTCCTCCTTCGGCTTCCTCCTCAAGTGCCACCATAGACAACGATTCTAGTGCTCAAAACTCTGTCCCAGGTCTACTGAAACCTCGCTCCAAACTACACATTGGAGCCTTCAACGTACGCACCCTATGTCAAATCGGTTAGCAGGCTTCCTTGGCTAAAACCCTAGAGTCTCTTACCATTGACGTGTGCTGTGTCTCCGAAACACGCATACAGGATCCCAGTGTGGTCATTCACTTGACCTCACCTCGGCAAAACGGAGAGCCAACGAGATACACCCTCCGTGTATCTGGTAACCCGATGGCCAGTTCTCGTGGACTGGCAGGTGTAGGCATAGCACTAAGCATGAGGGCGGAACAAGCACTGCTAGAGTGGATCCCCGTCAACAGTCGTCTATGTGCTGTTCGGTTAAACGGCTCCCTAAGAACTCGGAAGGATAGGGATACACGTCGTTGCCTTTTCGTCGTTTCTGCCTACGCTCCCACTGACTGCAGCCCGGATAAAATGAAACATGACTTTTACAGAAATCTTGCTGAACTTCTTCAAAAAGCTAAAGGCCCAGACACAGTACTCGTAGCAGGTGACTTTAATGCCCAGATAGGTAGTTTAAACCAAACAGAAAGGCATTTAGGTGGGTATTTTAGCATTCCGGTACAGCTAACAGATAATGGTGACCGTCTGCTGCAACTATGCTCAGACAATCGTTTATTTTTAGCAAACACAAATTTTAAGCATAAGTAGAGACATCGTCTAACATGGCGACCCCCTACACCAAACCAACGATGGACTCAAATAGACTATATTGACATCAGTCATCGTTGGAGAGGGTCGGTGGAAGATTGTCGCTCATTCTGGAGTACCTGCTTGGACTCCGACCATGCCCTAATACGGGCACGCATCTGCTTGCGCCTCACTGGACGCAAAAAAGCCACAGTAAAATGACCCATTAGAACCGAACTGAGTAGCGAGGAAACCAAAAGTAGTTTCCAGGAACAACTAAGGTCACGATTAGGTAGTTTTGAAAACGAGGCTGACCCAGATGTTGCTTGGAAAGATATACAAACAGCTGTGGAAACAGCAATGAAATCTATTAGTGACTTAAACCACAGAGTTACAAAGAACCAGTGGATTTCTTCAAAGTCTATCACACTGATGGATTCTCGCAAGACGATACTCTCATCTGCTCCCAGTCCAGACGTTTAGAACGATGGGCGGAACACTTTGTGAAACAGTTCAGCTGGCCTTCAGCTACTCTACAACTACCCTCCATTCCCAGACAGTGTGAATGGAACATTGAAGTAGGTCCCCCAACTCTTGCTGAAGTTCAAAAGGCTTTAGTTAATCTGAAACGAGGAAGGGCAGCTGGTCCAGATAGATTGGCTCCAGAGGTCTTTAAGGATGGTGGTCCAATTTTAGCGATTAGGTTGACTAATATTTTAGCTAAAATCTGGGAGTTAGAGGTTATTCCATCTGACTGATCGCAATCACTTATCGTCCCAATATATAAGAAAGGGTCAAAATCATCCTGTGACAACCACAGAGGGATTAGTTTAACAAACATAGTATCTAAAATACTGGCCTCGATAATTATCAGACGTCTAACTAAGACTCGTGAACTACAAACTCGAGAGAACCAAGCTGGCTTTAGACCTGGTCGTGGCTGCATCGACCACATATTCACCATTCGTCAGGTTCTAGAACACAGGCATACCTATCGGCGTCCGACAATGGTGGTCTTTCTTGACTTAAAAGCAGCGTTTGACTCTGTAGACCGCGAGACTCTGTGGCAGTGTCTGTCATTGAAAGGCGTACCTCAGAAGTACATAAACCTTGTGAAGGCTCTTTACTCGAACACTACTAGTCGAGTCAGAGCTTATGGCGAACTGTCATCTACTTTTGCAACTTCAAGTGGTGTCCGTCAAGGCTGTCCACTTTCTCCATTTTTGTTTAACTTCATCATAGACCTATTGATGGAAATAACACTCGTCGACTGAATTCTCGGGTACTGATCTCCTTCCAGGAGGTCCACTTGTCGACTTGGAGTACGCAGACAACATAGTCCTGTTTGGTGAAGACACTGATAAAATGCAGTCTTTTGGTAGCACTAAGCAACAATGCCAGAATGTTTGGGATGCGCTTCTCTCCCTCTAAATGCAAGTTGTTGCTTCAGGACTGTCCTGCGTCAACACTTAAATTAAGGATAGGGAGTAAAGTAGTCGAACGGGTCGACAACTGCACCTACCTTGGAAGTCAGATCAGCCCTAATACGTTGGTGTCCGACGAAATCTCTGCACGTTTGGCTTTTGTCAACTTACGTCACCTATGGCGAAGGCGAGATATGTCTATTAATTAAAGGACGAGTATACTGCGCGGCAGTCCGTTCTGTTTTATTTTACGGTCAAGAAACGTGACCATTAAGAATAGGGGATACTCGTAAGTTACTAATATTTGATCGCAGATGTCTTAGAAATATTGCTCGTATCTGCTGGGATCACTGGGTAAGAAATAGTCGGGTTAGACGCAAGGTAGTAGGTGATGGTAGTAAGTCAGTTGATGAGATTGTAAATCTTCATCGGCTGAGATGGTTGGGCAACGTGTTACGTACGCCCGAAGCCCGATTACCACGACGCGCAATGCTGACTAGTGTTGGAGACGGATGAAAGAAAGTTAGGCGCGGTCAGACCTAAACGTGGCATCAGTGCTTGAAGTCACTAACTTCTGGTCTGAGCCATGTTGGTAGATGCAGACTACTCGGTTGGGGTCCGCGTGACTATCGTAACCAATAGTTGGAGACTCTGGGTGACATGGCTCAGAATCGATCACAATGGCGTAGGTGTGTACACTCTTTGTCTTCCCTTAAACTGTGAGATTAAGATTGCTTTATATCTTTCTTTCTATCAACTAATTATTTCTTCCTGTATCATATCTTTATACACAATCTTTCTTCTATATATTACTACGATTGAAGCAACTACTATGAATTTGGTGTTCATCTTGTTGTGCTAATGAGGTGTGGCAACTTGGACTGATGCATATATGTGCTTGGTCCTACGTTGTATCTGACTGACAGAGGACGTTCATTAAAGCCCATCAAAACTGTGATATATTTAAGCAATACATTTATAGAATGACCTGGGGACAAAACTAAATATTAATATTTTGCAAACTTTGAATCAAGCGAAATAATGTCCCCAAAAATAACTCCCGTTGTTTGTCCTCATAGAATCTCCTACTTCAGGTTTATTTTGTACAGTTTAATGTAGTTATCCAACCAAGCATAGGTTCATGAACTTTTTTGTCAGATAGTGTTATTACCAAGCTCCTCAACCATATTCTTCACGGTGAACTCGATAACAAACAATCGAATTTAATATATCTGTTTTCATCCAAAATATTCTGAAAGAGAATCAGGTGTTTACTGATGGTAATACCTCCATTTCTTTACTACCCTTTATCGTCTCGATTGTATTTGTCTAGTACTCATTAGTCACTTCCATGTGATTATATGAACAGTAAATGCCTTATAATTTTCTGTATGTAATTTTTTTTTTAAAACTTCAACTTATCTAATTCAGCAATTGGATCATGTTCGTTCAGTTGGATCTTTCAAATTGAACACGTGGTTGAATGGTTCATGTATATCTGACTTGGCCTGTGTTTTTCGAACACTCCCAACTCTTGAAGCTGTACAAAATTTAGCAAGTTTTGTTCGTCGCCAGTTGACAAGCAATAATTCACCATCTGAACATGTTAATTGTAAAGTTGAATTAGAAAGCTATGGATTTTCTGTTGCCTCAGGAGACTGTATTGTACAAGTATTAATCACTACTACTCCAATGAATTTAAATCGAACAAGTCCTGATATACATAGTAAGTGTCGATTATTCGTCCTTTCTTTGATACTTGATGACAACTGTTAAAAGTCTCTGTGTCTCCTGTATGCAGTCGTGTAAATGAAAACTTCATGAGAATTAACCGGTGAGCAATTTAAGCCTCATTTAACATTCTGTAGCATTCTGACCACATTCATCTGATACTACATGGTTGTGGCCGATATCATAGTGTTTAGTCGTTATTTCTGATAGAATTTTATCAGACAATCTGATGTAATATGTGACAACTTGGACCGATGCATATTCGTTCTCAGTCGTAGTACATCGGCTTTATATTGTCACTCGCTTATCGAGTAAAGGTTTGTTTACTCAACTTTGTAAGGACAACTGTGTAAACGAGGGAGACCAGCAGGCCCTGACAGGTTTACTCCTGAGATTTTTAAGGATGGTGGTCCAGTATTAGCAATGAGATTAACCGAGGTCTTAGGTAGAATTTGGGAACTGGACGTAATCCCATCTGACTGGTCTCAATCACTGATTGTGCCAGTCTATAAGAAAGGACAAAAGTCCCCTTGTGACAATCACAGAGGAATCAGTTTGACTAATATGGTGTCTAAAATATTAGCTTCAATAATACTTCGACGCCTAATCAAAGCTCGTGAAGAGCAGATTAGAGATAACCAGGCCGGTTTTCGACCTGGACGTGGTTGTATAGACCAGATATTCACACTACGTTAGGTTCTAGGACAGAGACACACATTCAGACGCCCCACAATGGTAGTATTTCTCGACCTTAAGGCGGCATTCGACTCTGTAGATCGTGAGGTTCTATGGCAGTTTTTGCCATTGAAAGGAGTACCAAAGAAGTACATTAACCTTACAATGGCTTTCTACTCGAAAACAACTGGTAGAGTGAGAGCTTATGGCGAACTGTCATCAGAATTGATTACCTCAAGTAGTGTTCGTCAGGGCTGCCCACTCTCTCCATTCTTGTTCAAATTTGTCATTGACGTACTTTTAGAGATAACACTCTCCTCATCTAAATTTCCAGGGGTTGAACTTCTACCGGGAGGTTCCCTTGTTGACTTAGAATATGCTGTTGACATAGTTTTATTTGGCGAAGACGCTGACAAAATGCAGAGTCTTCTGACCACTCTAAGCAACAGTGCAAGCACGTTCGGGATGCGATTCTCTCCCTCGAAATGCAAAATGTTGCTTCAGGATTGGGTTACATCGACACCCGAACTAGTGATAGGGAGTGAAGTAGTTGAGTGTGTCGACCGCTTCACTTATCTTGGAAGTCTCATCAGCCCTTGTGGTCTGGTGTGTGAAGAAATCTCAGCACGGATACAGAAGGCTCGACTAGCTTTTGCCAACTTGCGACATTTATGGCGTAGGCGAGATATCCGTCTATCAACCAAAGGACGGGTTTACTGCGCAGCAATTCGTCCCGTCCTACTTTATGGCAGTGAAGCATGGCCGGTAAGAGTAGAGGATATTCGTAGGTTACTAGTATTCGATCATAGGTGTCTTCGAAGCATTGCTCGTATATCCTGGGACCATCGAGTAAGTAACACAGTTGTTAGGAAACGAGTACTAGGTAAGGATGGCAAATCAATTGATGAAGTAGTGAAACTTCATCAGTTGAGATGGCTGGGACACGTGTTACGTATGCCTAACGACCGACTGCCTCGACGTGCTATGTTCAGTGGTATAGGAGTAGGTTGGAAGAAAGCTAGAGGCGGCCAAACCAAAACATGGCACAAGTCCATGAAGTCACTGACAAGTGGACTGAGTCATGTTGATAGGTGTAGACTACCTGGTTGGGGACCGCGAGATGATTGCAACCGATGGTTAGAGACCCTGAATGACATGGCACAAAATCGTTTGCAATGGCGCAGGTGCATCCACTCTTTGTGTTCTCCCAAATCTTAATCTTCTGAATTCTCCATGTCCCTTTTTTCCTCTTTCCAAATTTATTTCACTGGATTAAATAACATCTCCAAACCCTAATCTTCGCGATTACTGCTTATACTCTTGCTACCTCTACCACTACGGGATTTGAATCGACAACTGCATCTCTGTGCTAAGGTGGTATGGCAACTCGAACTGATGTACGTACGTACGAAGTTCTACGTTGTTACTGACTGACTGACTGTGTAAGGACCAAAAATATTATTTGCATGCCGAATTCAGTGAAGCATGATTTAAGCATGCAACCTGTTAATAAAAATCCGAATGTTTTTATCCCCCACATTGATAATAACTGTTAAATCTTTGTCGTATTCTTTACGCTTATTCTCTTTATATCCGGTTTTCTTATACTACTTACCCAATATTCAGTAAACAATGCAATGCCAATGACTTTGAGCATATAGTGTGTCACGCATATCAATTGTATATGACGTTGCCAAGCACTTATACATACGTGTAACTTTCGATTTGTTGATTATTATAACTGTATTTAATACCATTTGTAACAGTTGGTTTCGATTCTAATGTACCCAATAAACTTTTGTTTTATTTCACCAGCATCCAATTTAGTGTTCTTCGTTTCCATTTTCGATTATTGTCTTCCCTTCGTGTTTTGTCACAGCTTCTAGCTATCACATAGCTTATCGTAGTTTATAGTAAATAACTTTTATATATTCCCCTTAGGAGGCATCCTCCTGTGATTACACATCGACAGTATTTACCAGAGACACCTCGCCATTTGAAGTTTGTTACATATTTCACATAATTTCGTAATATCAGTTTTTGAAGATAATTTTGCGTCTTGGTTTGTCAGATCTATGCTTCAATCGTGTGGTCTGGAGTGGAAAAATCAGATTTTCTACTCATTGGGATATTAGAAATAGATTATTTTTATTTCCTTTTGTTATAATTTGTGAATCTGTGTGCCCTGCATATTGGATAACGCAACGATACCGCCAATCAGAGAGCAGCGAAATTACCGATCGAACCAGTGACGCATAAAACACGCGCGAGCAGCCTAGGGTCCTGCTTTCTGCCTAGCCCAGCCAGTTAGGTCCAGAACACCAGTCTCAGCCTCTGCAATATTAATCCTTATATTTCAAACATACTGGGTTTATATACCAATCAAACAGACCACAACGTACCACAAAATAGAAAATAGCATTTGTACAATATTTGGCCAAGTGGCTGTGAATGAGGGAGGTCTGATTAACCGACGGAATAATTCAAGAATGGTAAATCGTATAATAATAGTTCATAGGTCAAAATAAAGCTCATAATAAGAGCTATATGAATATGAACAGTTTAGTTACATAACAATTACACGATGAAAATATACTCATAGTATTGGTCCATAAATGGATTCCAAAAAATTACCATTCATTATTCTTATCGGGATATAACAACTTTTGATTGTTTCGTGTTACTAATTCACTTAGACGAATCGATGTTGGATATTTAATTATAACGTAGTTCCTCAATAGTAAATCAATTTCTACAAAATTTAAGGATCTTTAGTTTAGTTATTAAACAGATTAAATATATGTATTGATTACCAAGTTCTTTTAAATCAAAACACTTCCAGTTTTTAGTTCATCAATGCACCAAACTATACACATTAAATTAATACTTCTGTCGTTTCTTATTATGTTATTCAACATTTCTTCTTCTTTCAGTTAGTTTAGCTGCACAAAAGATTGCTTTGGCTTCAATTCGTCATTTAAGATGGGCAGAAGAAAATGCAACACATACTACGTACCTAATTATTATTTAACTTCTGACCGTACATTACTAAATTGTTTTTTTTCTTAGCGTGAAGGTTTTAATCCGTATCTTGAAAGATTTTCGGCGACGTTTTCGGGGTTTTAGTTATATGAATTCCTGGTTGATAGACTTGTTAGTAAGTTGAATAATCTTTTGCATAACACATGTTTTCATTTGTTTTCAAGGCTCATTATGTTGTAATGAATAATCCATCACGTCAACCCTTGCCACTTAATCATGCGTTCAGGTAATTTTGATGATCTTTCTATCTATGATATTACATGCTAAATAATACTTATATTTATGCAAGTTATTTTGAATAATTTACTAGTTACAGATTCGTAGAATTATCTTGGAGCCACACTGTAAATATGAGGTCTAGTTATAATACTTGATTGTCCAAATCAAAGTAGGTAGACTGGGATCCGAACCTACAACTTAATGGTCTAAACTTAAGTTGAAGTCTAATTGTCTCTGACTGTATTAGTACCCAAGGTAGACTGCCAATAATATCCTATTATGTGGAAGTGATAAATAATATTAAAAGTAAAATATGATTGGTCGTTTAGCGTGGCACTTAGCTTACTGACTATCAAATATGTGATTTCCTTTCCTCCCATTGATTTCTACTTCGCACTCACTGAGTGTGATTGCTCGTGATTGTATTGTCTATACTCTGATTCTCTATTCTGGGTCGTGAATCCTGGGTCTGATATAACGTGACTAGTCTTATTATGGTATTAACGTATTATCTTAGTATCCCTGAGCGAGAGAAAAAAATATTTTAAACCATCTGTTATATTAGAAAGTATCAAAATGATTCCTCCAAATGACAGTTATCTTTAATTTATCTCTTTGAAGCGCAAATTCGATCCCATTTCACGTTGAAATCTTTGTCTTCTCATGATATCTTTATTGTGAAGTAAAATATTATAAAAAATTTGTTTTCTGTCTTTTATTCAGTCAGTCAGTCAGCTACAACGTAGGACCAGGCACATATGTGCATCGGTCCAGGTTGCCATACCTCATTAGCACAGCAAGATGAACAGCGGATTCATAGGAGTGGTTAGGTCAAAGGTTGCAATAAGGATATAGTATAGGAAGAAAGAATTAGTTCGTAGACAGAAAGAATGAAGTGATTTTAGTCTCTTAGTTTAAGGGAAGACAGGGAGTGTATACACCGACGCCATTGTGATCGATTCTGAGCCATGTCACCAAGAGTCTCCAACCATTGGTTACGAAAGTCACGTGGACCCCAACCAAGTAGTCTGCATCTACCAACATGGCTCAGACTAGAAGTTAGTGACTTCAGGCACTGATGCCACGTTTTGGTTTGGCCGCCCCTAACTTTCTTCCAACCATCCCCTACACCGGTTAGCATTGCACGTCGTGGTAATCGGTGTTCAGGCATACGTAATACGTGGCCCAACCATCTCAGTCGATGAAGATTCATAACCTCATCAACTGATTTACCATCATTCCCTAATCCCCTGCGTCTAACCTCACTATTACTTACCCGGTGATCCCAGCAGATGCCAGCAATATTTCTAAGGCATCTGTGGTCAAATACTAGTAGCTTACGGGTGTCTTCTACTCTTAAGGGCCATGTTTCGCTGCCGTAAATTAAAACAGAACGGACTGCCGCGCAGTATACTCGTCCTTTTATTGATAGACGGATATCTCGCCTCCGCCAAAGGTGACGTAAGTTGGCAAAAGCCAAACGAGCTTTTCGAATCCGTGCTGAGATTTCGTCAGACGCCAACCCATTAGGGCTGATCAGACTTCCAAGATAAGTGAAGTTGTCGACGCGTTCGACTACTTCACTCCCTATCCTTAGTTCAGGTGTTGACGCACACCAGTCCTGAAGCAACAACTTGCATTTAGAGGGAGAGAAGCGCATCCCAAACATTCTGGCATTGTTGCTTAGTGCTACCAGAAGACTCTGCATTTTGTCAGCGTCTTCACCAAACAGGACTATGTCATCTGCGTATTCTAAGTCGATAAGTGGACCTCCTGAAAGGAGATCAATACCCGAGAATTCAGTCGACGAGAGTGTTATTTCCATCAATAGGTCTATGATGAAGTTAAACAGAAATGGAGAACGTGGACAGCCTTGACGGACACCACTTGAGGTTGCAAAAGTAGATGACAGTTCGCCATAAGCTCTGACTCGACTAGTAGTGTTCGAGTAAAGAGCCTTCACAAGGTTTATGTACTTCTGAGGTACACCTTTCAATGACAGACACTGCCACAGAGTCTCGCGGTCTACCGAGTCAAATGCTGCTTTTAAGTCAAGAAATACCACCATCGTCGGACGCCGATAGGTATGCCTGTGTTCTAGAACCTGACGAATGGTGAATATGTGGTCGATGCAGCCACGACCAGGTCTAAAGCCAGCTTGGTTCTCTCGAGTTTGTAGTTCACGAGTCTTAGTTAGGCGTTTGATAATTATCGAGGCCAGTATTTTAGATACTATGTTTGTTAAACTAATCCCTCTGTGGTTGTCACAAGATGATTTTGACCCTTTCTAATATATTGGGACGATAAGTGATTGCGACCAGTCAGATGGGATAAAGTCTAACTCCCAGATTTTAGCTAAAATATTAGTCAACCTAATCGCTAAAATTGGACCACCATCCTTAAAGAGCTCTGGAGCCAATCTATCTGGACCAGCTGCCCTTCCTCGTTTCAGATTAACTAAAGCCTTTTGAACTTCAGCAAGAGTTGGGGGACCTACTTCAATGTTCCATTCACACTGTCTGGGAATGGAGGGTAGTTGTAGAGTAGCTGAAGGCCAGCTGAACTGTTCTGTAAAATGTTCCGCCCATCGTTCTAGACGCCTGGACTTGGAGCAGATGAGTGTGTCGTCTTTTTCCGAAATAATCTCACTTACACTTGACTTATTAATTCCAGTTTCTTTTATTAGTCTGTAAAGCTGTCTTGTGTTCCCTATAGTCGCCGCCTTTTCCATCTCTTTTGCTTTCGATGCCCACCACTGCTCACGGTCGTTCTTTAGACTTTTTCTTAACCTAGATCTGATTTGTTTTCGCTCTTCATCATGTTCAGAACCTGATGGGACGAGTTTGCGAGAATCCATCAGTGTGACAGACCTTGAAGAAATCCACTGGTTCCTTGCAACTCTGTGGTTTAAGTCACTGATAGATGTCACTGCTGTTTCCACAGCTGATTGTATGCCTTTCCAAACAACATCTGGGTCAGCCTCGTCTTCAGAACTACCTAAGTGTGACCTCAGTTGTTCCTGGAACCTACTTTTGGTTTTCTCGTTACTCAACTCAGTTCTAACGGGTCTTTTTAATGTGGCTTTTTTGCGTCCAGTGAGGCGCAAGCAGATGCGTGCCCGTATTAGGGCACAGTCGGAGTCCAAGCAGGTACTCCAGAATGAGCGACAATCTTCCGCCGACCCTCTCCAACGATGACTGATGTCAATATAGTCTATTTGAGTCCATCGTTGGTTTGGTGTAGGGGGTCGCCATGTTAGACGATGTCTCTCCTTATGCTTAAAATTTGTGTTTGCTAAAAATAAACGATTGTCTGAGCATAGTTGCAGCAGACGGTCACCATTATCTGTTTGCTGTGTCGGAATACTAAAATATCCACCTAAATGCCTTTCTGTTTGGTTTAAACTACCTATCTGGGCATTAAAGTCACCTGCTACGAGTACTGTGTCTGGGCCTTTAGCTTTTTGAAGAAGTTCAGCAAGATTTCTGTAAAAGTCATGTTTCATTTTATCCGGGCTGCAGTCAGTGGGAGCGTAGGCAGAAACGACGAAAAGGCAACGACGTGTATCCCTATCCTTCCGAGTTCTTAGGGAGCCGTTTAACCGAACAGCACATAGACGACTGTTGACGGGGATCCACTCTAGCAGTGCTTGTTCCGCCCTCATGCTTAGTGCTATGCCTACACCTGCCAGTCCACGAGAACTGGCCATCGGGTTACCAGATACACGGAGGGTGTATCTCGTTGGCTCTCCGTTTTGCCGAGGTGAGGTCAAGTGAATGACCACACTGGGATCCTGTATGCGTGTTTCGGAGACACAGCACACGTCAATGGTAAGAGACTCTAGGGTTTTAGCCAAGGAAGCCTGCTGACCGATTTGACATAGGGTTCGTACGTTGAAGGCTCCAATGTGTAGTTTGGAGCGAGGTTTCAGTAGACCTGGGACAGAGTTTTGAGCACTAGAATCGTTGTCTATGGTGGCACTTGAGGAGGAAGCCGAAGGAGGAAGTTTAGGGTTGAAAGTCGATGTAGGAGGAATAATAGGAATTGAAGAGGAAGGTTGATTATGAATACAGTGGTCTTGAGTGCTGTTAGAGGTATGAGGGCGGTTTTCACTTCCCGGTTGCCCACACCGTGGAAGGGTTCTTCTGGAGGTACCTGAAAAGGAAATTGTATTAGAGGTGGTCTTAGTGACCTGAGAGCGTGACCGCAGTGCCCAAGGGACAACTGCTTGAGGTCGGTCACACACGACCTTGTTATGGGTAATTTTTCTGTTAGCTCCGTACTTATTGAGACCTTACCGCCGGAGACGGAAATCCGTGAGGTAAGGCAAGGTGTGCATTTTTAGGGTCGACCTTTTCTAACCCCACCCCTCCTTGTGGGAAGGCAGCATCGCTGTCATGCTGGTTGTCTGAAGGAAACACCTTACTGCTGTCACACCTCTGTACAGTCAGCAGTACGACTTCGCCTTCGGACCTTGGGTTTGTTGCTTTTAGTCTTACCGCTCTTCAACCGACCTGTCTGACATGGTAGGACCTTGAGGAACGGTTGTTCCAGCCAGTATAGCTCGGTTGCTTCATCACGATAGGCAAGCCCGACCACAACGTCAAGGTAGCAACAACGGTCGGGTTTCTTTTATTATTATTATTATTATTATTATTATTATTATTATTATTATTATTATTATTATTATTATTATTATTAAACTTGCTTCCTATTGTTTCAAACCTGAACACTTGATTATCAGTATAACCGCCACACAATAATCAGCATTTTATTTATTTATTGAAGAAAAATATATACGTGTTGTTTATTCTTAAATATATTGTTTATTAGACGTGTATTCCACCTATTGGCCAGCGGTTTCCTTCTTCCTAGTAGTACAGGTTTAATTGATCCTTGTGAACAAGGGAATTTACGTCTTCACTCGTTAATGTCTCTTGTTGAACAGGTTAGTATACGTGTTTGTATGTGTGCATGTAAGAGTTTTACTCTCTTATTCCACTATTATCTTATAAAAGTTAAAATCATTGAAATAAGCTGGAAAAAAATTATTAAAGAAATTGAAGAAAGAGAGAGAGCAGTGCATTACTATTTATTTCTATTTTGTAGCAACCTTAAAAGTATGTACCAACAACAACAACAACCGCATTCAGGCACCACAAAATGGATCTCAGAAGATGATCTGTATGGTTTCTTAAAAAATTGTCACTCCACGCTGTTAAGAATTGTGGATACTTAAGTAAATAATATACATCCGTTCAAGATACCACATCGTGATTTAATGACTGACTGGTCATTTTATGCACGAAACCAGGATTACTAGTTCGATTTCATTTATATTCTCGCTATTACACATTTTATTAGCCACTTATCAAATAGATGTATATGGATCTCAGTGTTGATGTTTACATTGAGACTCGAATTGAATATCTTTTGCTTCACACCTCCAGCCCGTTATCCATTAGGCTAGGAAGTCAATACTGGTATACCGAAACATGCAATTGATTTGCCCCAAATAAGATAAGACGGGCCTTCTGAATTCCACTGATAGCCACAATCCAAATTATCGGGAAACTCCACTCAGAATAAACATGTACCCATCAGAACTGATCAATTACAGTTTTAAATATCAAAAAACGGGTAAACTCAAACCCTTACATACATATGTGAGGCTAATAGCATTCAAAATGTATTTGTTTGTATAAAACGTTATTAAATATTTATAATTGCCTCTTAAAAGCATAACGTATTATGTGTATTGTTGATATTTCTATTTCGTCTCTCTTTGTTCCTAATACAAGGATGAAATATGTTGTACAGCTCAAGTACTATTACGAATTCTTAATTACGGAGATTACCCATCACTATTCACGCATACTGATTTGGATGATATATCAAGAGGTTTGTTTTACCTATATATCGTTGTTCTTTTAGTGATGTTTCTTATTTTCAGTCCCAATTATTGCAGGATTTTTCTTGATTGACATCACGATATCTGTTCATTTTAAGAACAATGTGTTTTAAGCTATTGATGTAGGGATAATAATGCCGTTAGGTATTACTCAGTATTGTGCTTAAATTCTTGTGCTCTGACCACTCTGAAATTCATTAATTCACTTCATAGTTAACTGACTAAGCTGCCTGATATCTAGTTCAGAGACATTAGAAAATAACTAGAGGAATAATTGTGAAACGCCGAATTAGTAAAAGGGGGAAACCAAGTAGGGATTTTTTATTTATTTTCTGAAGAAATGACTTACATTGATTCATGAAACGTCAGAAAATTTAATTTTTCTACTCATTGAGATATCTACAAATGTATTAATTTATTTATCACAATCTACTCAATGTTCAATTTATTCGGTATTATCAAGTCAAATCTTGTTAATGATACCTACAAGTAGGAATCAGGTTATACATGTAGATTGGGAAAAATGACTCATAATAATAAAGCGATCTCTACTCACTAATCTCTTCTACCTTGAGATGAAGAACATGACAACATAAACTATATCATGTACTTGAAGTAACTCATTTACCTTATAGAAGCTTATGTGCTTGCATAAGAATACAATGTTTGTGCTAGATAAGGACTAATAACACTACTCAGTTGTCCAATGGTGATTTAGTCAATAATGTTTATTAGCAAATATCATTCTTCAAAATAAACCATTTTTAAAAAAATAGTATGAGTCTATTTAGTCCATTTTTAACTGCCGAAATTTCTTTTCGTAATTCGATATCAAAAGTCAGAGCAGTATAAGTATTCAAGTATTAGATAATTTTCAGGATAAGGAGAATTCTTCACATTATCAGAATTACTTATAACCCGGGAATATCTACAGAGAAGACTAGTCTAAAAACATGATTTTTGACTTGTGTATTGTTTCAATGTATTTGGTCACCTGGTTGTATTCAATTGTGCAAAAAGGTGGTCCCTAATTCAATTAAAGAATAAGAATGATCTAACTCTCTCAGAACTTTGATACATGATCGCAAATGTTTCTTACCCACATATATATTGGCGCTCTCTTGTACCAATATTTATGTGTTCAAATAAATAAAAATTCTTACCCATACGAAATTTAATGGCTGTCAACATTAACAATTATATAAAGAAATAGCTGTTTACTGAGTGTAATAATGAAATACCCACCAAGAAGAATAAAATGTTAGTAAATACCTAATGTGTATCTTATTTAAAAACTAACAACTTGGTAGTAGTAGTAGTAGCTTCTCAGGTCCTGCTGATTTTTAGCATTTATTTGTCATGTACCTCTCAGTTCCGTTCATGATTTGTTAACAAATGTAAATGCCTTCATACAGTTTGCGCTTGGGTGTATTAAGAGCATGAGGTTCTTAGATTTTGTGTTACTAGTTTTTTTTTCTTGAACAACGTCCCTCTCAAATTTCATTGGCTAATTTTAAAATAACTACTTTGTTGTTCGTTGATATACTTTATGTCTGTCCGGTTATTTCTGCCCTCGTTTCTACCAAGTATCGCTTGTTGTTGCTGAGCCTACTACTTTGAATGTACGTTTATAATGTAAGCTAATTATTGTTCACTGTTGAACTATTCATTCAGTTATATATAAACATACCTTATATACAGATTTCTGAGAAGCCAAAAGAATCTTCTGGCTTCAGTCGACCTCGCGTGATTTTAACTAAGATTGCTGTTTTACCTTTAATTAACTGATATTTAAAGGGTGCTAAGCTAATAGATTGCTCATTGCCTAGTGAAATATATCCATTGTCATGTTATAAAATAAACTACCATTGTTCAATATACATCAGTATTGACAAATTTTACATTAATTTAACATAAAATCTTTTTATGTTTCCCTATAGAACAATTATTAAAGACCGCCACAAAATCGATTGATAATCTGAGTATTTTAGAGTGGCCCGAACCAGTTGCATTGCATTCACAACAGATAACAGGAAATGGTAAAATAAAATTTGATTAGACAGAAAAAAAGCCAAATACATTTGTTTTTTAAATGAACTTGCGTTTTCTGAATTTATTTAATGAGGAGGTGGTTTTATGGATGTATATCTTTTTCTCAAAATTCTCGTTTAGAAACTTATTTTGAGTCCATGTGTTATGATTCTCTCTTATTACAACCCAGCTATTCCTATTATTTAGTATTCTTGGACACCATTTCACTCGACAAGTCCCCAATTCAGTACACGTTTGAACAGGAAAGATTATATTCCAAATAACAAGGTCAGATGGAAGTAAGAAGCACAATAGGAAAAACGTTAGTATATTTAGTTTTTTATATGAGAAGATCCTAGAGTCTTCTTCAAGTATCGACTAGTGCTGATTTGATGAGAATTAGCCAACCAACGTAAAATCGTGCATTGAGCATGCTTTCAGTCAGCTACAACGTAGGTCCAAGCACATATATGCATCAGTCCAAGTTGCCACACCTCATTAGCACAACAAGATGAACACCAAATTCATAGTAGTTGCTTCAATCGTAGTAATATATAGAAGAAAGATTGTGTATAAAGATATGATACAGGAAGAAATAATTAGTTGATAGAAAGAAAGATATAAAGCAATCTTAATCTCACAGTTTAAGGGAAGACAAAGAGTGTACACACCTACGCCATTGTGATCGATTCTGAGCCATGTCACCCAGAGTCTCCAACTATTGGTTACGATAGTCACGCGGACCCCAACCGAGTAGTCTGCATCTACCAACATGGCTCAGACCAGAAGTTAGTGACTTCAAGCACTGATGCCACGTTTAGGTCTGACCGCGCCTAACTTTCTTTCATCCGTCTCCAACACTAGTCAGCATTGCGCGTCGTGGTAATCGGGCTTCGGGCGTACGTAACACGTTGCCCAACCATCTCAGCCGATGAAGATTTACAATCTCATCAACTGATTTACTACCATCACCTACTACCTTGCGTCTAACCCGACTATTTCTTACCCGGTGATCCCAGCAGATACGAGCATGCTTTAATCCAATCTATGTCCCGCTAACACTATGATACCACGTAAAAAGTGAAGAAATCTAGTTCTAAAAATCAAAAACTAGAAGATATGCGCTTTTATTACTAATGTCGTATTCGTTTATGAAGATAATGGCTATCGTAACCTTGATATTCGGAATAGATAATGCTCTGGTGTGTGAATAAGTGAATACTGCCTCTGAATCTCAGTGAGTCACATATTTACTCTGGGATACAAATACATTTAGCTAACGCGTTTGTCGCTTTTGTTAAATAAAATTATCAGTAAATCTGCGATATTGCTCTATCTTTATAGTATTAAACGATGGTTTCGTGGTTGAAACACAGGATTGAACTACTATTGTATTGTAAATCCACCCTAGGCTTTACGAAGTTATGGATAATGCGTTAAATAGCCTACTTCCCTGTAGAACATTGCAGACACACGAACAAATAGACGACGACATTCCAAGCACTTAACGTTTATTAATCCTACTGTCATGACTCCATTATTTGTTGATGCTACGTTTGAAGGGATTATGATATCACCTAGGATCGGCCAACAGAACGAAAGTTAGCGACACAACAAGTGAAGCTATTCCACTGCACCTCAGCCCTGCTTACTAGAAGAAGGAAACCAGATTCAGTCGGGAAAAGTGTATACTCTACAATGAGCCAGGAAAGACGAACGAATAGGCACACAACTTTTGCGTATACATACAGCACAATAATGTCGCAAAATAACGAACTAAAAGTGGCGACGAACAAATCAATTCAAACTGCAGGCAAAAGTGGGCGATTCAGATTTCCATAGTGAAGTTGCAAAAACGGGATGTGTACCAATTAATTTCTGGGGATCTAGCGTCCCCAATAAGTACCAAACCACTGACATCTTATCTTCTTACAATTTGCCTGCAGAAATATAGAGATTCCGCTGTTCGAATAGTAAGAACTTTCTCGCTTTACGAAGACGAAGGAAAGCGGAATGGCCACAAGTACAGCGTCTGTTGAGACCATTTTGCACAAGAAAATACTGAGGCGTTTTTTTAAATATCGTACAAATTTCATACAGGAAAAGTAATCTTATTGACTTATGTTTAAATATACTGAAGAATAACCTCGTTTCGATTAGCTAAAGCGAGCTAATCAGAATTGGCCAGAAATCTTATATCCCGGTAGTACAATTTTGCATTTCAAAATGCCTTCCTTTCCTAAATTATTTTTCTATTTGCTATTTGGTTTTGCACTTAGTTGTTTCATACATCATTACATTTATTGCAAAGACGTTTTAATTATTGTATCCTGTGCACATTATAATTAAGTGTTATACACCTCTTGTTTATTTGCGCATATCCTGTCAACGTTTCACAAAGTTGTGTTTTTAACACTCAGACCATGTAACCTTACTGCATCACCATCATGTTTATTTACATTTCCCCACATTATTTCATGTTTACGTGACTTAATCGCTCTGCAATAAATTAGACGAGGGAATGTTTCCACGGAATTTTGTGGTTTTATGAATTTTGGTAGTATTGTGTCCCATAAATTGGTGATTTGGTTTTGGACATTACCGTCGAAGCTAACCATGTAGATATGTTCCTAGAATTCTATTTCCTCGTCGCTTGTCTGCTTAATGGCCACACTCAAATAAGAAATAGCCTTTTATGATAATTTTTTGCGTCCAGAATTTTTATTTAGCTAAATTGACTTTAAAAACAGTACGTGATCATTGCATAAAAATAAATTGAAACATATATTTTAACCATAATGAAAGTGTATAATGTTTTCAAAAATAAGAAATTGGAATATTTTTCTCGTTTGCATACTTAAAAAAGGCCAAAACTGAAGAAATATTATTATTATTTGTCGAGGAAGAAATGAAGATGGGTTATTTCCTACTTAGTAGCCAATTTAATTGGAAGACGTGAACCAATTTTGGTATCATTTCGTTGAACTACTTAAATAAGATACGAGTAAGTGGGTTGATTATAGGAGGGGAAATCAACCATTCCCAGTTGAACTTTACCATCACCTATAGTGGTATGTAATTATATTTTTTTCGAAACTCTGTATTACATGTTAGATAAGAATTGATGAAAGATCAAAAGAAAAACAAAAGTGACTTCATTAAGATCTTTCAATCAAATTACTAGAAGATTTCTGTAGGTTTTTTTCCTCTTTTTAAAATAAATAAGAGTTTTCAAAAATTCCACTCTGAGTGGAAGTGTTGATATAACTGGATTAAAACCAGATATCACAATTTCCAAAAGAGAACACACACATGATAAAGTAAATTTGATTGTGTCCTTTATGCATATCATTCAGATCATAAAACCTATTTTATTTTTGGATAAAAACAAACAGAGAATAAAGTGGATTTTCCCGGTTGCAAAATTCTCGTTTAAAACAGGTTCTTTCTTATTCGAAAGAATAAATGACTGTTCATGAAATTTTAACAAATTATTGTCAGTTTTATTTTAAATATAATAAGCTTGAAGTAAAATAGCAATTAAGAGTGAATTTTAAAAAATATTAATCAAGGGTCTCGTAACGACCATTTAAACTCCAACCATTTTCCTCGCCAAAAGTGGCTGAAATTGTATTAAAATAAAAAAAGAAAGAACAATCAGTATCGTTAAATGTTTTAACAAGAAAACAAATGAAGTACAAATACAACGGTACTTACTTTATGGTTCGTGCCACATATGGAATATCGTTTCCTTTAAAGTCGCAGATATGTCCTACTGACAACTACAAGCTTACACAAACTATATCTAGTCGAAACATTCTGTCGATTTACTTCCAACCGAAAACAGTGAATGTGATACTGAGTCGCTCAATCTAATAACCACATTAGAATCTAATCGATGATATTCGGTTAGTATTAGGGGTTCAATCAATCTGACACTGGTTTCTGATCACCAATCAGTCATTTAGAGTGAATGTGTTTGGAAATCGTGAGTCATGATGTGATAAGCTAAAGGAATAATAAGGTGATCGTAATGATTTCACAGTTGATGATTTAACGATGTGTTCTTCGTACAATCTCTGAAAATATTGAGTTTGATATTGATGTGGTTGAACAATCGCAAATCCAGTTAAACCAATGAATGAACCAAGATTCTATGTAAAACTCTTCTCGTTTTCTTAATTTTAAGGAGTATTGTCTCATTCAATAGAATCAAGTGTACGGTTATGTATTGATTCAGTTTGATATGCTTTTATTCCTACTAGTTCAGTTATGGCATTCGTTTCATAGTTACTTAAATAATAACTAGTCATCCAAAGTAAATCTGTGTTGAGATATTATTTTAAAAAGAAAATCTAGTACTTTTGATTGTTGGATCAACCTTCACCCATCATTAATGTTTATCTTTTTCATTCTCTCCAACTGTATGAGTTTTCCTTCAGTCATATCAATGCTCGATTTCGTACAAAATGCATTAACCTTATTCTTCAAAGCACATCATTAATGCGAACTGTATTATCTATAACTATGATTTTTATTACTTTTCAATGCTCCTTCATTTATCAACTGATTTCAGGTTGTGATAAACGTAAACAATCAGTGAAATAATCACTATTGTAAGCATCAACTTATTAACCAAATAAATATCTGACTATGCTAATAACTAGTAGTTAGGTACCGGCCTTTGTAGTGAACTGAGATTCATTTTCAATGTGTCATTAGTCCACTACAGAATTATACCTTGACATCATGGAATCTAAGTCATTGGACAATCTCTCATACCCATAAATACTCATTCTCATGAGTATAAAATGTGCGCTTATATCATTCAACTATCTTCCAGTAATATGAGAAGAGTTGAGTTTGGTTTCGTGTCGGTTTGAAGATACAAATTTGTAAAATCAATAAATAAAGATGAGACAGGTATTCGCTGGTTTATCCCATCCCATATCAATTCATGATAGAAATCAATCCTTGAACTGTGCAAAAAATTTAATACACAGTATATAATTGAGTTAACCAGCTACATAATGTTCACTAAACTAATAGTTACATTAAATGTAAATCAATCAACTTAAACAAACATTGTGGGTCATTAAATTTCCAACTTAATTATTTTGAGGATGTCATTCGAGTCGCAACACTGTAATCTCGGGCCTTTATGTATTACTATGATCACAAATTAGAACGACATAGTATTCACTACTTTCAGGTATTCAGTTGTCTCCCATTTAGTGTCAGATCACAGTTGCCTTAAGATTATTAAAAAAATAATAATAAATTGATTCAACAAAATTATCATATCATACACATAGTGATCATAGACTCACCGGTATAGCATATACAAATAATACTATTAATAAGCCAATGATGAGAATGATCAATAACGCGATAATCACCCATTTCATTTTTTTCCATATAATGAATTTGAATGTTTTCCACGGTGATGTAAACCATAAAAATGACGTTTCTGGACGTCTGAAATTGGAAAAAAAACAAAAGGTACAACTTTTTCATCGCAGCTACCTTCTTATCTATTTATGGATTTGTATAAGAGAATTGTAGGATAGTTTTAACTTATCTGTTCATATTCAGTTCGAAATTTGTGAAGTTTAATAAGAGACCAAGTATCATTGTAGGATAAATGTTTCCAAATAAATCACTTATATGAAACAAATGTTTATTACAGTCAGTTAACTGATGTGCTCATTTATCCAATTTACTATACTTTACTTCATCTGTTTGCATCCAGTGATTAGATTTTGAATAATTATTCGGAGATCACGACTCATATCAGCTTTCCATTGAAATTTATACTCTACTACAGTCTGGATGCTGTATAGTCAAGTTATCTACTTTTATCATCCTCATTTTCTTCATCATCTCAACTGGAAAACACTGAAGTTTTAAATAAACAGATTTTTACATCAATTTTTTATTACAGATTCAGCCAAACATTTAGCAGGTATAGTTTAAATATCTTCAGTTTTGAACATTACACAAGTCCGAAGAATCGAATGAAGAACCCTTGAAAATTGTAGACTAATAGGCGGTTAAAATGTACACTTAGTTTACTTTTTTATTCTTATTGCTTTAATCACGGAGTACCTTGTTGAACTACAGATCCACCCAGCCCCCATCAATTGCAAATTGGAGTTTATAATTTTTCTCTCGGAAATAATATTCATTACCAAACATGAACACTTAGATAACCATTGGAAGTCAAGGAGAACTACATTGGTATTTCGTCCTGACCTAAGGCTCAGCAGTAGTACATCCTGATGGTTACATGCTATTCATTGTTTCATGGCTCTCAGTGCTTGTCCAGTTGGTGACCGTTTTTTACAAAAATAGTCGTCAAACTATACACAAGTCTATATGGAATGCCGTATTACTTATTATTTGTTTAGTCTATTATAAAAAATGGTGATTGATTTTGAATACGATAAATAGTTTGTTCAATCAACTTACTTTGGCTGTTCTAAGTGAGGATTTTCATTTGGATCCTCACGTGCTTTACCAGCTGGTCGAAGATCGGCTTCTGCTTTTGTTACCAATTCCATTTCCATTTCGATTTTACCCTTTAGTGAAAAAAATGTTATTTGATTAGTTGAAGAGCATGAATCAGTTCGTCATGAGATTACTTCAGCTGGTCTACTGCTAAGAACTAGGTAGTACTCATCGTAGTCCGAGATTCTACATAAATCCGCACTGAAGTGTGTGCCTACGATCGAACTCATTACTTTAAAACCACTGAAGTGGACAATGCTGACCACTTTATTCCGCCTTACTTGTTTGTAGATAACGAGTTCGCCACGAGATCTAGGGATTTGAGCCCTGGTAATGATATGAGCGCTCATTTAAGAAGTTCTCTGCTAGAAAAAGTCAACTACCCAACGCCCCATTTTTTGATCAGCTGAAGTCTCTGTGATGAAAACTATGCCAAAATATAATCCTTTCAATGCTTTATTAGCGTAAGATTTCAAGCATTTTGGAAGCAGATTATATTGAAATATTTGTAAAACGCTTTAGCTCGAATGAATACATTTAGTAGTGTAACATTTTAGTTATCTGTATTCGCTTAGTAAGTATAGTATCGTTTCATCTTTTGAAATGGTTCACTGTGATTTCCTTCAAGAATTCAAATATTGAGCAAATAGTCGTTGAACAGAATGAAAGCAACAAACTGGATGATAGAGATCACTAAAAATAACTTATCCTGAGCTATACATCATGATGGATTGCGGTCTAGTTTCCTCGTAGATGGGCTTTAATTTGAATAGTTTAAAGGACTAGCCATTATATATTATACTGCAGATCTTATTAGACTTGATTTGCTATTACAACTTTTCTCTACTTACACTCGTCAGGTGTATATGCAAAGAATGAATGATCATGTTTCATTTGGAATCACTTTTAATTAGAAATCTGTAAGATAAGAAAAGTGATTCGTTGGCCTTAAGCTTCATATTTTAAAAAATCAACTTCGTTTGTTAGAAACTATGAAATCCCCGTATTTATGTTAGATTATAAAATAATCAATAAAAATTTATTGATGATCATGTTAATATTACGAGGGATCCACAGTTATATCCTGAAACTAGTTACTATTGGTAATCGTAAGCAAAACTGAAAAGGGAGCTTCATTAAATAAGAAAAGAATAATCACTTAGATTTAGGTATTCTTTCTTTTTTTCCATGTAAACGTACAGTTAAAAGTGGAGTTCCACTTTCTTCATTAACAAATGGCCAAAATCCGTTCAGTCGTCGACATTCAAATAGGTTAACCAATTTCGTTTCATTGCCAACGGATTGCAACATGTTCAGTGAACATTTACTACGTGTTTTTGATGGACTAGGCATATTAGATAAATTTAATTCTAATGTCCCAATAAAATCATCCGGTGAAAATAAATCATTATCCCAAACTTGCATTACTAATTGTGGACGAACACGTTGTTCTGTAACATCCATAGACCAAAAGTGTTCCTTACGTTTAACAACTATGTTATTTTCAGCTGGTAAGTAAAAAAATGGAAATACGAAACGCCAGTTGAAATTCCCTTCACCGTTTAATGATCTATAATGAACATCAGTTTTTTGACGATCGTCTAAACCAGATAACCACCCCTAAAATTAAGGAGGAAAAGAATTTAGTATTTAGTAAAAACATTTTTGAACATGTTTCAAAATATATATTTCAAAAATTAACTGGTCTGTGACAATGAGAGGATTCATATCAGCGGACTTAACGTATTATTATGAGTATGTTTTTTGAAGGAATATTTCCTTGTCATGTTTACTCTGACGCATTTACTCGTTGTTTAGCGTGAATAAAAGATTGACTTATTATGTTTACTTTTTCAATATGTTCCTGCCATCCGCGTTGATTTGCGTGCCTGACTAGTATCGTTTAGCTCCTATACATAAAGGATATATGGAACTCCGGTACGCAAACATGGGTTATGTTATTAAGACATACTCTGAAAAGCAATCATTCTATGGCAATCTATATACAAATCAAAGTATACAATTTACTCAAGAGTTCAGAATTTTTTATTTCACAAACAAATCACTTACTGTCAAGTAATAAGGGGTGTGAAAACTGATGAAAGGTGTTATGATTTACTTATATGAGTCTAAACTAAGTGATTTCTTGCTTACTTTAACATAAATATCAGACATCTGTTCACCAGTTATTGATTTTTCGTCTAATACAACATCAAATGTATTCCATACAACTAAACGCAGTATATATTCATTTGGTTCTCTTGGTGAAATATCGAATGGTGGTCCAGGTTCACCTAAGGATGTTGGAAATATATCAACCCACATTTGCAATTTACCCTGAAATAGATATTGTGAGAAAAAAGATACATACACATGTCAGCAAAGACTTATTAAAGTTTAGTTTTCAGTGTAAGTCATAGGATAATACAAATATGTATGAAGAAGCATCTTACCGTCTGAACATGTTATTGAATATCTGGACTCAGTAGCTTAAAAAATAGTGTACTGTAGTCTAAAATGATAGGTACTGTTTTCAGGCATTATAATAAACATCAAGATTAAAGTTCAGTCACATCCATCTAATGAGTCACAAATAGGACGAATTACTTATTCTAGAATCTATTGCTAGCCCTAATCCCTACTTACTAAAAACTTGTAACAAAAACATCCTGTCAATAAATCAACAAAGTCTGATTCAAGTCCAAATCAACAACAGATTAATACGAACCCTTATGATCAAAATGGGTGCTGCGTAAATTGTTTTTTTTTCCATTGTTCAAAATTTAGAGGTTGCTCAGTTATTCAGAAAATCTAAACATTAAATGTCTTTTTCATTTATTTACCCAGTACGCATTTATGAACGCAGCTTTGATTTCCGCTCTTCTTGTACGGATTATCAATAATACTTGGTTATTTGATCTGAATTAAGCTGACGAATACCTGGACTTATAGACCAATTTTGAATGAAAATGGCTTTATTCAATAAAATATCAATAAGTCATACATCAAAATTTTTGTTAAAACACTTCTGTTGGCCGCTAGATAAGTCTATATATCTTCAAACAAAATGGTATGCTCTTCAGTATATGTTCAGAATATTCTACGTGTACAAGGCAATCACTTTCAAGTCGGATAGCGTTGATAAATTTAGTGAATGTGTCGAATGATCATTTACTTTAAAAGTCAAAGATATCTGATGCGGTTAAATAATTAAGGTCTTATGATAATTTGGATGATATCTTAAAGTCTAGACATTTTGATAATTTGATTGAATGATGTGTTTCTCATCGACCTAGTCATTCACTTGATTGTTCACTTTATTTCTTAATCTTCTGAAGTCAAATAAATGATCTATTATCTTGCTATCTAAGAAAGGTTTATATAGTTTTTCGCTAAATAACACGTTACTATAGTCAAAACTAAGTCATATATGACTGTTTATTTTCTTAAGCTCATTAATGATGTAACAAAGATTCTTCAAAGAAATCGAATTAAAATTGTTTTTGTCAATTTGATGGATTTCTTTATATGTGCTGATATGACACAAGAAACCTCTCTATTGAATTTCTTGAGCGATATTCTTTTTTCATAAAAGTAGAAACGTTTACATCACAGCAATCAGGTTAGATTTACATAACACTAACATTAGGTTAACTATTCCCGTCAGATAATACATTATCCAATACCAATTATTAGTATAAATGTAAATGAAAAAACAGTATCTATAATCGCTTAACTAACCTGTTCGATATTAGGCTGTAATGGACTATACAACAACCTCGTTTCAACATGTTCTTTTACCAATGGAAGTTTATTTAAAATATGTAAGGCCAAACGTTCTTTCGGTGGTCCTAAATGTGGATTTGGTACCATACCACGTTCAAAATCTTCCAATACAAATACGCGTTGACCAACACGGCAACTTGGATTTGGTTTAATGTCTGTTGTTTCTCCGTACTGTGGCGCTGGTAATGAGTAACTATCACATACAGCTAGTAATATTTCACTTGGTAATTTTGAATCTCTCCATTGATTTGGTCCAGAAACACAGTAAGATTGTGGTAGGCCACATGTAGCTCGATATTTTGTTAAACGTCTGTTTTCTAAATCAATATCTGTTTGACCTATTACATCATCTGCACCAACTGCATCATAATCTTTCACTATAACATGTAGTTCTTTTTCAATGGGTAAAATACACTTCATTTGGAACATTCTAAAACAATTTATAAACGTAATGAAATGATATGAGGTCAATTTCGATAAAATACCAACTTCACTTCGGTAAACAGAGAAATTAGCTGATATAACATTTCACCGCTTTCGTGCTCTTAGTGGATGAGATAATTTTGACCAGTTACTAATATGGGGGATAGAAATTAATCTTGATAAGTGGATCCTAATTTTATAGTGGACAGCTCACAAAACTAATATCCTGGATTCATCTACGCTTTAAAATGCCACGTCTGTTTTCGTTGCTATGCAATCGGTAAACAAATATGTAGTTTTCTGTTTAAAATGGACAGTTTCTATTGCCCTGTCCTTTGATACTCATTCATTGAAGAGGGATAGATTTTGAGCTGACAATACAATTTTATGTCAACAATAATCAGTCGTCTACGTTACTCATTGTCATTCAAGTGATTGTGATCTACGCAATTACATATCATTTGCAATGGAAAAAATGCAGTCTTTTGACCACTCTAAGCAACAATCCCAGAATGTTTGAGATGCGATTCTCCCCCTCGAAATGCAAAATGTTGCTTCAGGATTGGCTTGCATTAACACCCAAACTAATGACAGGGAGTGAAGTAGTTGAGTGTGTCGACCGCATCACTCATCTTGGAAGTCTCATCAGCCATTGTGGTCTGGTGTGTGAAGAAATCTCAGCACGGATACAGAAGGCTCGACTAGCTTTTGCCAACTTGCGACATTTATGGCGTAGGCGAGATATCCGTCTATCAACCAAAGGACGGGTTTACTGCGCAGCTGTCCGTTCTGTCCTACTTTATGGCAGTGAAATATGGCCGGTAAGAGTAGAGGATATTCGTAGGTTACTAGTATTCGATCATAGGTGTCTTCAAAGCATTGCTCGTATATCCTGGGAACATCGAGTAAGTAACACAGTTGTTAAGAAACGGGTACTAGGTAAGGATGGCAAATCAATTGATGAAGTAGTGAAACTTCATCAGTTGAGATGGCTGGGACACGTGTTACGTATGCCCAACGACCGACTGCCTCGACGTGCTATGTTCAGTGGTATAGGAGTAGGTTGGAAGAAAGCTAGAGGCGGCCAAACCAAAACATGGCACAAGTCCATGAAGTCACTGACAAGTGGACTGAGTCATGTTGGTAGGTGTAGACTACCTGGTTGGGGACCGCGAGATGATTGCAACCGATGGTTAGAGACCCTGAATGACATGGCACAAAATCGTTTGCAATGGCGCAGGTGCATCCACTCTTTGTGTTCTCCCAAATCCTAATCTTCTGAATTCTCCATGTCCCTTTTTTCCTCTTTCCAAATTTATTTCACTGGATTATACTCTTTAAATAACATCTCCAAACCCTAATCTTCGCGATTACTGCTTATACTCTTGCTACCTCTACCACTACGGGATTTGAATCGACAACTGCATCTCTGTGCTAATGTGGTATGGCAACTCGAACCGGTGTACGTACGTACGAAGTTCTACGTTGTTACTGACTGACTGATATACCATTAACTGATAACTAGTACTTGAACGTAATCAACTTCAGGTATAGTAATGCGTTGAAATAAACCGCTGTGTCATAAGATAGAACTTATGATAAAAAATTGGTCTTTCCGACTGGAAAACACAGTCAACCATAGATTCGAAAGTTTTATGTATGACTATAGGTGGGGAAATTGTTTAATCTGAGATTAATATTCTTTATAGACTAGGATAATTTGACAAATCTCTGAAAAATAAGAAACACTAGACAGTTGTTTCGCTATAATCCAAAAATACACACGTAAAAATGTATATTAGGTGATGTCCAGAACAACCATTTTACAGAATATCGCTGATGAGGATTCAAAATAGAAAGCAGTGGATTCCGCCTCGTTATTCGAAGGCATAGTAGTTCTGGTTTTAATCCTGTTTATAATCTTGGATGGAATGTCAAGTCCCACTGATTGAAATCATGAGTCAACTGAAGCTAGACCACCATGGAGAACCTGGAAGCACTGGACGCCCGTTCCGTCCTAGTATGGGACTCCTCAGCAGTGCGCATCCACGATCCCGCACCCCGCGAGTCAAGTGACTTAAACATTAAAATTGCAACAAACCCTAGTTACAAACCATGTGTTAATATGCTTGTAATGATTGTTTGGTCAACAGTCCATTTGCATCTTGTGTTTAATAGAACTAACAATATAAAACTTTTGAATGGAGAACTTGGTTTGAATTTTATTTTATGAACTTCATTTACTGAAAATATGGCTTAGCAAAAAACCATTTACTTCATACTAGAAAGGTATTTACGGCTAACACTCTTCTGCAATGTAGTTCCCACTATATATTAATACTATAAAATCGTAAGAAATATTATTCTCAATGGAAACTTACTTTCCGAATTCTGGATTTAAAGTATTTGGAAGATATTTATCTTTCGAATTAACTTTATGCTGACCTACAATGATTTCCACATAAGGATCAGCCTAAAACGTTTGGGATAAAACAATAAAAATAAGGTTATTATGAAAATGAGCTGCTGATTTAAACGAATAGAGAATACTGTTTCTACTGTTAAGAATATATGTGTCATAATAAAGTCTCTACGTAACAATTAATGTCGTATTGTCGATTTATTATGAACGATTGAACTCTATTGACAAAGCTGCAGTGTGTACACTAGTTAAAAATAATCAATAATGTCTTAAATCTAATTTCCGTATCCGTTAGCTCATGTCAAATCAAAGTATCTTAAAATTTCTGACCAAATGGATTCGAGCTCACTATTATGTTCCATTTATATTTACGTTTAATTTTGTTAAACCCTTTAATTAACTTATTTTTCAGTGTCATTTGAACAGTAAAATTCTTATCAATCCATTCGACTCTCAATACACCTCTTTACTCGCTATCTCTCTTATATTATCGTTTCTTCTGAAATTCACTTGGTGTGTTTATGGTTACAGTTAACGCTTCGAAATTGTCTTCTGAAGTTTATGCACCGTCGGGAGAGTTATCTAATAACAAGGACAAGTGACATATGAAGCCTTGGGAATTGTCTCGAAAAAAATCCACGGCACCATATCACCTGATATAGTAATCAAAGAAATTCCCGCTAATCAATTCGAAATATGATTAATTCCCATAAGACTGAACTATTTACACTAATTGGTAATTAAGTATCGATCAATCTCATGTTATCTAGTTCTAAGCGCTGATCTAATTTACGTCTTCACCATCATTGGTCCCTTCAAGATTACGCTTTACTCATGAGTGTCATGTAGAACAACCTGAGCCTAGGTCGTTCAGTAGACTACCTCAAAGTATCTAACGATGGTGACATTCATTATGCTCAATGAGCAAATCAAATGATACAATTATTGGAGTTTTCAAGCTTACAAACAGATTTTTACTGAGTAAGAGAAGATAGTCAAAATGAAATCTTTACAAAAGTTTCATGTTGACTAAACAAAATTCAGTCAACAGGACGGATTGAATGAAAGGACACTGAGTCCATCCAGGGATTAGTTAATGTAGATATTATACCAAACTTCAGCGATTTATGTTGGTTATCTAAAATTATTTTTGACGAGGTAAAACCGAGCATATTGAAGGGACTTGCATATTCAACACCATTACGAATTTATCATAAAGTCAAACTAATTTCAGAACTCGGAGAAGCTATTTCATTTAATGTTAAGATCTCTTGAAAGTATACACACTGACTTCATATGAGTTTGAGCCTAGAAATTTTAGTCTATTCTAAGAAAATGGTAGGAATCGGCCGTTGGGTCGCCATCGAAGACAAATGGTAGATTATTCGACTTCAGCTTATCCGGAATATAGCAAAATATGTAACTGACCCTAAACAAAGTAACATCATATTTTGTTTTCACTTGAAACTGTTATCATCAGATGGATGAAATGCCCAAAATTCCTTGGTTAAACAGAAACTACACATGGTATACTTATGGTAGGTCTGAAGGCACCAAAACTTGCAATGAGCTATTTATGTCAAACAAACAACAACTGTACTAGTCGTTGAATATTTGCCTATTTAGCTTCAAATATCAATTCAAAAGAAGAATGTTTTGAGTTTAACCCGAAACGTTGTTGAATTGAAGGCGTACTTAAGTTGTAGTTCATTGGTTCGATCTCTGGTGAGTTCGTATATGCTTTAAGGTCAATAGTTAAATATTAAGTGTTTCGTTAATGAAGAAGTGTGTCAAAACAATTCTCGATAATCTACAGATAATAATGCTTCAAATCAGATTAGACGATAATATGAGGATAGGTTGCTAAATTAGGTTCAAATATGTGTGAGTACCAATAATTAAGCTGGTTTTTCACCTAAACGAAATCACATAAGCTATTTATAAATACTCTTTAATTATGAGCTATTTTATTTAGCTACTTGTAAATCCAACTCCCTAAGCAGTCCCTCAGTTTCTCTCCCTGTCTAGTTGGATTAGTTAGGCTTCAAAACTGTGGACCGAGTAACGAAATTGGACAATAAGCTATGACAAGAACAAGTGTATTGGAACTATTCACTTACCAAACCTGATGAATCTGATGGTTGTAAATCAATCGCGCGTATAATGTAAACACGTAACATACATTCTTCCGGATCAGAAGATACACTTAATTTCTCAAAATAACGTACAGGTAATTGTTCTTTTGGATCTTCTGGTAATGGATAAATACGAAATGTCCCTTTAAATTCACCGGCATAATTATCTTCATCTTCATCAACATTTTTACCTCTTGATAACGTGAATGTATTACAGAAATCCGTAAATCCATTAAATCCTTCCACTTCTTCCAATGGATGAGGATAAACCTGAAACATAAGAAAAAAGTAGATGCACAATTTGTGAAAATGAATTGAAAATAAACTTTGCTTGGATGAATTTTGAAGATTTGTTGTAAACTCATTTAGCTACAGATTGGCTATTGAATTTGTACTCACCACAAAACAAGAAGGTATTATATTCAACGGACTGTTAAGGATTTAGGGTGTACACTCTTGAGGAGTATGAAACTGAGTGGGAAATACTGCTCAGTACTGAGTACTTTTCAAGTTTTTGACTAGTGTCCCATATTGGTGGAAATCAGCCAACAAATGATTCTGACTTAGTTCTTTCACTGTTTCTTATGAAATCTACACTGGACTTATAAAACGTCAGTTAGTCTATGAAATTTGATCAGTATATCAAGCACAACCATTTGCTTAGAAGAAAAAAAGTAAATATATATATATATATATATATATATATATATATATGTATATATATATATATATATATATATATATATATATATACAAGTGTGTCTTGTCGAGTCATATGACAAACAGAAATAGATGAATCAAAGATTGGACTTGAAAGTTGAATCTTTTAATCACTAAGTGAATGCTTCATTTATTAGTCCAAAGAAACGTATTATTTTCTGGAACGTATATCCTGTGCTCATCACTTCAATCGCTGATGGGTTATTTACGAAGCTAGAGATCACAATTAAGTACTGAATGTCGACAGCACGATAACATAAATTATTATACCCATCGAACTAACTGGTAGCTATCTGAACTCAATAATTAAATCATTAGTGCTTGGAGCGATAGGTGCTGCGTTGATATCTCAGCCTGGACATCAGCACGGGGAAATATTTATATCTACCTGCCGAAACCCAAACAACCAGAATCGTGTTATACCCTGATGAGAATAAATGAATCGTAATCGCTAGAAACTATCTATGAACTAATTCTATACATATCTTCTTATTGTATAACAGTTAAGAAACTTAACTGTATATATTTAATATTCCTCTTAATACAAACTGTTATTTGACATATTGGGTGCTGTTATATGATTTACTATTCACAAGGTATTCCGAATATATTAGTCACAGTTTCTCACAATCACAGCCACCTTTTGGGCTTGGTCTTTTACAAATGTTACTTTCTATTTTAGGATGAAATGTGGTTTAATTTTGCTTGTGTATAAATCAAGTATGTTTCAAACATGATTCAATACAACGGAGACTGATATTTGCGTTCTGACTGAATCAAATGGGTTAGACGAGTAGCTGTTATCTCGAAAACCAATAGGAACTCAAGGCTGCTCGTACTGGTTTATGTGTCATTGGTTCAGTCAATAAGTCAGTAACGTTAAATGGCGATCGTATCGCGTGATTTACCAACAGGGCACAAGTTATAACAAATCGGAAATCATGGTTTCTATTTTTAGTCACATTCCAATCGCACTAGTAACTAAAATCAATAATGAGACAAGCCTCTCGGGTTGCATTATGTTAACAGGGGCTGATCGAATGCAGGCCTTAGAATCAACAACAGGAAAACCTAATCCTCTATCTAAGCAATGATTTCCTGCCAAGTTTCAAGAAAACTGTCTGTACCTCCTTCGTTTGTAAAATAATCGATAAAAGGACAACAATCATCTCTGGAAATATCACGTTTATGTAAGTAACCCATAAGCTGACTGTTAAAACTCGACCAAAGATTTTGGATTACTTACTATTCAAATACACGGTAGTTTGTATTAGTTCATCGTTTAAATTAGCTGTTTTTATATTTCATGAAATCAAGTAGGACTAATTACTGAAGAAAACTCATTCATAGGTAATGGACTATATATATAATGATCTTTGCGTTTTGTTTAACGTCTAAAATTCAACACATTATCAAAAGAGTAATAGTAAAGTTGGTTGTAAAACATTTGAATTGATCACTCTATATCTAAATATTTGAAGTGTTCATACCATTGTGTCACATGTTAAACTTATGAAAATAAATGACAAATTGACATGTTCATAGACTATCTTAATGTTATTTAATAAGTAAATTTCCAGTTTGTTAAAAAAAGAAGTAATTTATCCAAGAATTTATTAATCCACAATAAATAGAACTAATAATAATTGATCAATAGACAACTTACACAAATTGTATCATAACCAAACTCTTTATATTTTAAACATTTATCCCATTCACCAATCGATGCATAGAATTTCGACCACCAATCTATTTTATCATCAATTTGTTTAAGATCCATCTAAATAAAGAACAATGGTCATGTTTTAGAAATATTAACAGTGATAATATTTTCGAGAAAAAAGTTTATGTGTACACATATGTACATAAACATTTGTTTCAGAAGGGCTACCTAGAATTGTGCAGTTTATATTTTAATGGAATAAATCCCTTCCTTATCCCATAATCTACTTTCAATCCTATCGTTATCATCATATCATGGTACGAATGTTTCGAGTGAAGGTTTGTGTACTTGTTTTACGAGCCCTACTGTTCTTTGAGATCTACCACTACCCTTCATAATTGTTTAAAACAGAGAGAGGCGACACAGCACTGAAGTGATTAATTTACCGGTTGAAAACCAAATGTTTTGACCACCAAAATCAGTTCACTATCATACCTGGTTCAAACTATCTAGTGTAGAAAGAATAAAATAGATGGTTGAGTAATTTACTGTATATATATATATATATCGTGAGTACAATCAACAATATTCAATCGTGTATTCAAGATATTTTTAGACGTTACTTTTCTGTCTGTTTCAAAGATTAAACAAAACTAACAGTTGTCAATATCTCTGTATAACAAATAAAGATCCTAACAATATACAACATCCAATTATCAATCTTAAATAATATTACTTCATAATGACTTAGAATCAAAGCATAACATAGCATATTATTGAAATTGATTAATACACCAACACCAAAAATAATTGAAAAGTTAAAAGATTTATTAATAGCTAAAAAGTAGTAGATTAGAAAAATTGTATTCATCGTTTACTGAAAATGAAATTTCTACAATTATTCCATAATGTATCTGATGTAAATCTTATTGTCGGGTGAGCTATATATATATATATATATATATATATATATATATATATAACGATAGTCAGGAATTATATGTATTTCAGTGGAAGATCGAGAAGGAAACAACGGGAATGGAAAGCAATTTGTATGAAAATGCAGGACGATGGACTGATATTTGCAAAAGAAACAGTCAAGTTTGAGACAATCGTTTGATATTTTGCAAATTAAGTATTTCCTGTATGCTTCTCAAATTTTAGTGAGATATTCTGTAATTTTGTGTTCAAGTACGATCAGTTGACCCCAATCGTGTTCTTGTTCACTTAACTATTTGTTCATTTTCTCTTTTATATAGAGCAACCTTACTGAAAACATGTATTTAAGGAACAATTCTTTTGTTTTACAGGACTAAACATATCATTATGAAGTGTTTGTCTGAAGAGACCGAATGTCAAGTACTTTGACATAAAATGCATAAAAGTGCAATTAGACATGATATAAAAAGCGAAATCATCAGTGAATTGACGTGTATCATATACCAGAAGATACAAACAAGGATGTACTCATAGGTATGTGTGATAGAAAAAATGACACAACAAACAGGACTGAAATAGCAATTGTATAAAATAAAGAAAAAAACTAACTAAACTATCAACTGTCACATTTCGGGAAATACATGACATCTCACTGCTCTGAAAATTGAAATAAATATTTTTTTTTAAAAAGTACAAAACAACTGACAATAAACCTTAAACCCAGTTTTTATTGTCATTTTTCAAGTACACTGAGGTACTTAGGTGCTTAACAATTTCAAAAGTGCAAGTAAACAGAGTAAAAATCAGACCGAAACCCAAAATCACTTTTTTGCAAGTGACCAGTAAACAACGGACAGAAATGCAATAAAAAGGTAACAAGTTGTTTTTCTGGCAAAGATTGACAAGCACCTGGATTTCTAAGGACTGGACCTTCTTGGATTTTAGAAATTTCCACTTTTTTCTAGGCTTCTGTTCAGCAACAATACCGGTTACAACTTTGACTCTCTTTGGATGCGATAAATCCTCAGTTGTCTAGGTACAAAAAATTTGTGTTGAACTTTTTTAAAGACAAACAACCATATGTATATTTCATGTGGTTATTAACGAGTAAACTCTACTAGAAGTGAACTAAATCTATCTGCATTGATACTTGATCAAGTTTTAAATTCTTCTATTTCTCATTTCATCTTGGATTGATGTCAACTGGAAAATATTTAATATTGAGGGAGCATTCAGCAGTTTATTAGTCTAGTTTGAAATTCCTTAGCAATTCTGACCATCAGCACCGGACGAGAACTAGTCAAAAGCTTCACGTTTCGAGTAATTTTTCAGTCCTTGCAGATAAAAACTATCGAATTAAGGAAAACCATAAAATCAAGTACGATACAGGTTATTCCAGCTGACGAGCAGTGATTAAGGTGAAACACGTCTATTGATCTTAATATGTAATCCTAATCCAATTGTACTTGCAACTTAAAGGCAATATAAATGGTTAAATTTTGGATGAGCATATGCGATAGGAGACAATCAATTGTGATGTTGAATATCAGCAACAGGAGACTGTAAATCCTTACAAACTAAAATATTTACTTGGTCCACGTTTTATACAGAAGCATCTAGTGTAAATAGATTTAACCATAAAGGTATCCTGGGGTTTATCAGCTACGAATTTGGTAGATAACTGACTGAAAATATGAATGTCATACACTTATTTTTTTTATTGGGGTTTATTACCGTGAAAGCCACTTTTCAGTGATGCTTAATAATAGTCCATAATATACTGTGTATTTCTCAGCGATGGATCAAATTTCACTGATGATGCACTATGCTTTTAATGTTAGGTGAATTAAAGGCAAGGGCCAATCTGCCTGCATTTAATGTTAGTTGGGACCTATCGTCAAGGTGTATTTAGAATTTTATCGAAGAGCGCCAACTAGCACGAAATTTATATCAATGACTTCCAGCTCGTTTTTTCTATTCTCATGAATGTGCATTCACAACCAAGTAACAGATCTAGGAAGAGTGTAACTAAGCAAAAACAGCTGAACAGGATTCAACTAGTTCACATATACTGACTTTTAGACAATTTGGAATATAGCTGGATGATAACCAACAGATATGGTTGAACTCCACCAGTCAGGACTACTCAATTGAATTTCGGTATTTCTTCTCAAACCTATTTACTTATGAGCATGCAATTATTGTTACAATAATATATTTGTTGAAACTGTTTGATTTTTCAGAACTAGTTTACATAAGTGAGATTTTAAGAAATTAAAATAGAAATTTCTTTCTCATCAACTATATTGATCAATACTTTTTTTGTAGGTGAGATACCCGTCTTTTCAATGAACGATGAGTAAACTGTTCAGTATCTTTGTGTTTTATTTCATAGCTTTGAATTGTAACTTTTAAAAATAGAGGATATTCGTAGGTTATTAGTAATGATCATGGATGTAGTATAGTATGCTTGAACCATTGAGTGAGCAGGTCGATAAGTTTAAATATTAGGTCGATTGATGAGATGTCGAAATTTTGTCGACTGAAATGTGTGAGATATATACTAAGTATCCGCGACCACTGCTCAGCACGACTAACAGTGATTGTAGTGTAGGAGTAGACGATAAGTAAACTAAGGACTGCCTGACTGAAATGTGTCAGCGGTATATGAAGCCACTGGCTGTCAAAATAAGCCATGTTGATATTTGTAGACTACCTGGCTAAGTGTAATTATCATAGACAGTGGTTGGAGAGATAGCTATCATGATTTGGAATCAGCAATAGTGTAGATGAAATCTTTCTTTATCTTTACTTAGTTCTTGGGTTTCAAAATTTTGGCATACTTTTCTGTATCACGAACTCACTCTTATTGTCTTCCTTTAATCATTTCTACTAACACTGATACTTTTAGAATATCTAATGCTCTAGCGTTTATTGTGATTGTTTCTTCCTGAACCTATGCTTATTACTGATTGAGTGACCCCAATATGAGCATATATATTCTCTGTCAAACTATTACCACTTGTAAGCAACGCATCTTGACAGGATTTCGATAAATCAGATGCAAAGCGTTTTTAAGTGATGGCTGAATACGAATATTGTCTTGTTTCGACTAGACAGAAGTGGATGTTTGTTTGAACCATACCATTTTCCATATATATATATAAATGAAATATTTGTAATTTTGAAATGGCCGTAAAATACGACACTGACACTTACAAATTTTTTCTTCTGTTTCGATTTGCCTTTAACTGGTGATTGAAGCTCTACTTTAGGTTCAGCCAGACAAGGCTCTTGTGTTGTACAAGCAATATCAGTTAAGGCTATTTTGGGAGAGAAATCAAGAGAAAAGAATGAAACGGTTTATATGAACACCATCAGTTTGCATGTTTATTATTATCATCTTCTATTTGGATAATTCATCAACAGATTTTAAACTTAACAACTGTTTTCATTATAAAAAAATGATATTATCTGTAGAGATAATCACATAGTTCTGATAAGGTTCATCTTTATATAACAGTGTGAAAATTTATATGTAAAGAGTTATTTTATATAAGGAAGCATCGACTAATTGTTTCGTCCTCCATAGCAGTATAGGCTTATACTTAAACACGTGGGATCGGAAACAAAGGACATTTAGATCATCTAATGAGCTTGTTACCTTTCAGACAACCGAATCGAATTTCATTTGTCTAGATATCAAATGTTAGATGAGTTTCAATGCCACTGGTTTGTACATGTTTAAAAGGAAATGCGGATAAATTTTGTTTATACGTCTGGTTACTGGTTTATTGATAATGTCAAAAATTCACTTTTTTTACTACTTTTATTGTGTACTTATAAATTTGACATTTGAGTTAGATATCAGAAGATAAATAGAAATATTATCAAAAGGGGTTTTGTCGAGATTTGAGAAAGTTTACTGATTGAAATCATGAGTCAGTTGAAGCTAGACCACCACGAAAACGGTGGCGCAAATAACAATATCACAAAAGAGTTAGCCGAAGGCATTTTGTTTACTGATTGTACAGTAAAGATACAGTATTCGAAGTACAAAGTTACCTTTTGAAATAACACTGGTGTACAATTTAAAGCCATTGAAAATTCAAGAATTCATTCAACAAAGATGAAGTACGAACACTCAAGAAATAACAACACTGATGTCTAGTTTTCTGATCTAGGTGGTCTAATAATGAAAAAGTATTATTGGCATTACGAGACAACATGGTCAAGACATACTGTAAACATAGGTGAACGATATAATCGTAACAGCAAAATAATAAGCATGAGTTAGACAGACATTCTATTGGTGTTCCTGCTGCCACTTTTTTATTTACAAAGACAATAAAAGATTTATGACTAAGCCATCTAATTCAAATAATACAACAAGAAAATATTCCTGCTGATCTACAAGTCTGTAGCAAGTAGTTATAAATAAGATAATCTATTTGTAATATTCCAATGGGTAGAATAATTAGACTTTCTGACGTTTCGTAACTCAGTATAAGACACTTCTTCAAAGAATAAACAACCAAATCAAAATTAAACCAAGTTTAAATAATACCAGATATCACAAATATATTATTTCTCATTTATAACAATCTACCCAATGCTCAGTATATTCGAAAGGATCAAATCAAACATTGGTAATGGTGCCTCGTTAGTAGTTGACTCAGAAATCGACGTTTCATTAATATAGTTGATAATGTAGATAATCATTATGATTACTTGTAGCTAGAAGGTTACCTATGCTACTATGTATTACTACTTTCCAACACATAAATGTGCAACAATCTTGACGTGCTCATTCATGCATTTTACGATCAATTCTTTTTCTTCATATTACGAATTCGGTTACGTTTAGAACCTTTATCTAAACTTCATAAAAGAAAGTAAGTCAAATATTTGTTTAGATTTTTATTGACAATCGTCATTTAGGGCTATATGCAACTGATGAGAAACGGTGAAATATAATGAGTTCATTTTATCCTGCATACCTTGTACTTATTGTTCTACTTAAATTTATCAGGTAATCTTGTTGCATGAAATCATTTATCTGTTGTAATTTCAGCTCGATTAAAAAGCATATGAAGAGTTGTGTTATTGTTCAGCTAGGTACACTGAAGGCAACATCTGATGTTTACGGCACTTGCTCGGTAAGCTAATGTATTTGTAGTCGATTAGCGTGATGCTAGTGCGAGACCATTTGTGTCTTGCTGATAATGTCGGTCAAATCACTAAATTCCTTCAAAATCACGACCTCCTTAAAAGCCACATATTCTTTGTGAAATGATCAAACATTCGCAGTATAATCCTTACCTTGTATATCCATTAAAACATCTGTTTGTGATGTTCTCGCTGGTACTTTGAATTCTTGAAAATCTGTTAAAACATGTACACCAACCATTGGTTTCTGTCCAAATGCTCTATGATCACGTACACATATATTCATTGGTGGCAAATAAATTTCTTCTTTTGGCAATAAAACATCTAAGAATAATAGTGGCGATGCAAAATTTGGATTTTTTTTCACACTTTTTATGATTGTTGATTCAACTACTTTACCACCGATTTCAAATTCTACTGACGGTGAATTAACACTAGCTAGTTTATATTTACGCATTGCCCGAACACCCCAACAAAGAATTTCAATGCCGGTACGTTGGAGTACGGGACGTATACCTTCGGGTACATTGAATAAAGTACCACGACGTGTAGGTGGTGGTGGTGGAGATTTGCCATCAAGCTGTAAGGATGTGTTATATGAAAAGGATTAAATAAATATGAATGTTTAGTTGAAATAATTATTACTTATCACTTTTGAAAAATTTCTCTTGAATTTGTTTTTCAGTCCTTTTTTAAATAATCATTTATTATGAATACGTAATATGTTTGATACCTGATTAGTGGTGACTTTCGAACTCATGTTTGTAGTTCAAAGGTTATTGGCGCTTGACCCTAGAAATTTTTCAATTATTGGTTGCGTATGGTGAAGCAAACAAATAACCGATGCCAAGGTTAGATCTAAAGTGCTAGCTACAGATAGCAAATCAGTTGGAAGGACAATGAATTTTCACTGACTTAGGTGGCTGAAACATATTAAATTTATACCCAGCCAACCGCTACCTAGACAGACAATGATGAGTGAAGCATGAACCGGGTTGGGAAAAATCTAGGGGTGGCCAAACTTAGACTTATTAATAATCCATGAAGTTATCGACTGCTGATTTGAGGCATATCGGTAAATGTAGATTAGTTGGTTAGAAAATTATGATGACCAATGGTTGGACATCTTCTTTCCTTAACTTCTGTGGTTAAATATTGTTGCACGCTTCGGTGGCCCGAATTCATTCAAACCATCTTCTGCATTACATTCCTTTACACCCGCTAGAATATACGCAGATACACACGATAGAGTCTCATGAAAGTCACCTTGACTTGAAGGAAATGATATTGATATGGTCAGATTTGATTGTTTTGCGTGATTGCACCCTTATTGTACAACTATCAAGTAACTGGATTATATATATTTTATATTTATCATAAGCTTACATTTGACGTACTGTCTACTATCATACGATTTACCATCCTTAATTTGTTCTCAATCTATTTGTTATGGTCTCTCATACTCACAGTCACTTTTGAGTTGATCATGTATAACTATTATTTTATATTTTACGGCGTGATGCTGTCTGATCTGCTTGTATATAGACTACGTAAGAAGAAATATAATTTTCATACAGTGGATGTTGATATTGTGTTCTGGGGTCAACGGGTAGGGCTAAGTGAAAAGCTACTATATAGAAAACCATTATGCAGTCGAAGCTAACTTAAGGCTGCTGGTGCTGGTTGGCGTTTCATTGGTTTAGCACAGGAACAAGGTCATAGAAGTCGATAATGTGTTTGGTGATTTTGTTACGTGATAATTGGTTGAGGCATAATTTAATTTAATAAAGCTAAAATGTGAGTCTTTGGAATTTAACTCAGTGGTTTGAAAGTAGTGCGTACTCCGCAAGATCTTAATATCCTTGGTTCAAGACCTGGTTGGATCATGAGTGAATATCTCTTTTTTGTCCAAAAATAGAACATAAAATGTGTTGAAATATAGATGGACTACTGAGTATTGATTAATATCATATTGTCCAATCTTTATAACTGTTTGTATTCTATCGATCAAGTACCAGTATGGCCACCAGTCTAAGTATCGTAATAACGTTTGCATTATTTATTTGTTTTTAGTTATTTAAAGTTAGAGAACAAGAAACACTGGACCTAAGTTTTATTCTATTCGGCACTCATTGGTAAGTCCTATCTTCAGTCTTGAAGGAATTGGTACTCCCCGTTGAGTTTGAAACCGCCTCATTGAACTTTACAGCTTGGTATATTACTACAGAGCTATATGTGCAGCGACTGACCTTCTTTAGGACTGTTGACAGCTCTTGACAGATTTCAGTCAGTGTAAGAAACTACGGCGAAATATCGATGCAAAAATCTTGTTATTTCTATTCATTATTGTAAGCCATCATTCAACATACCAGAATCAACTCGAAAGCAGCCAATATTTCACCACCCTTTTTGCGATTTTTCTCTATTGTATACCATTGAAGTACATTTGCCCATGTGGTTTCTGTGTCTAGACGAACAGCAGGAGTGATCTTGAAACATTTTAAAAAAAAGCAGCATATACCCAAGTTTTAAAAATATTATCAAGTAAATACATGTATACAATTTTTGTCATTTACTTGAATCTAGAGAAAACAATTTTAACTATAAGTCATAGAATAGTTCTTTTTGCATTTCGATAGAAAGATCTAACTGTCTAGTGCTTGTGATCAAATGTCATGGCATTGTATTCGACCGCATGACAGATTATGAACTAAACACTTCTGATGACTTAAAAACATAGGTAATACATCTGCTCAGTGTTCTTTGTTTCTCAATGTTTCTCTAGTTTAAGACATGTGGACGAAACTATCTTCTAATATGACCAACAAACACAAAACGCCTCACTAAAAATTTGAGAGAAATGGTTTGTATGAAATTGTAGTCAAATCATTTATCTTCAAGTAAAAATGAGTAGGGGAATCATTTGTTCCAACCATTTAGTAACAGTTACTATAGGGGTCAAGAAAGGCAAAAGGTAGTACTCTGAAAGTCATTCAAATGAGTTATTTTTTGAAACACTTCGACTTGACTTCAAAAAATATTGAACGATTTCCACATGTATTCTAAGTAATCGGGTGGTGTTAATGGGGCTTTCATTTTCCTAGACTGATGTAAGATTACCAGTAAAAATGAAATCGAAGTAAATTTTATGCACATATACTAAGCATAATTACGTATTTATGATGTTCGCGCGATACATAATTGATTCTCAATTCAGTATTAATTATAGTACAAAAATTACCGTGGTTAATCGATGAGTGAAAAAGACAAGAGTAGAAATAATTATACGTATCAACCGATATGTGTAACCCTACCTGTAATCTGCCTAAGAAATGATCTGAACTCAATTGATCATAATCAAATAGCTCAATCATAACTGGTGGTGGATCTGAAAGTATTGTTTTCGGATCACCACACATTTCAATATGTTCAAATATTAATGTTTCATCCCATGTTGGGCATAAAGTTTGTTGGATAATTTGTGTTTCTTGGCTGTGCCCTTGAAATGAACATCGCACAAACGGATCAGATAGGCCAGATTGATCAGCTGCTAAAACACTGCGTGCTTGGAAGATATATGCTCGTAAATGCCAGATATGAGAAGCTGAAATGTGAATGAGCAGAGAGTAGTCGAAAAATAGAAGTTATAAACATGGAAGGTAGTTCGGTTATTCATATGGTTGATTAAATAAAGTGTAGATTGCAAAAAACAGCGGGATACAAAACATGTGTTTTATGTTAGTTAGTATTCGTCAGCTAGATGTATCTAAATATCAGTGTCGGTCTTTACATTGAAACTTGAACCCATTACATTTCTACCTAAACAACAGTCAGTTATTTACTGAGGTCCTGAATGCAATGAGTAACTAGTTTATTTGATAGGTATGATGTGATTGGTAATAGTTTGTAATTTTTTATTGTTGAGACTATGCACGTATAACAGGAACTGATGAATTAGAGGTTTGAATATCATCAATCTAAAGTCATAAATTCCTGTCATTATCGCGATAGAATTATGATAAATTTCTTTTTAGTGTTTTACACCTGTTTAGTAATGTACACTAACATTTTTCAACTGAAATTAAAAAAACCCCAATTATTCATTTCGATGAATACTAGACATTTAAACTACGTTGACATTTACCAAACATTCAGCAGTCTTTTAAAAACTGTCTAAGTAACCCAATACCATCCCTATCAGGTAAGTTTGACCTTTTTAAAGTTAATATTAATGACTAAATATTTGAAGTGTGCATTAGTGTGTCAACTAATTTCTGTTTAAAAAAAAAAGAAAACGTTTATTACTTACTTCTGAAGCGCATGAACATCCTTGGAACAGTGAGATTCTCTTTCTATAAATATTAAAGACATATAATGCTCAAACCGGTATATGAAAATATGTAGCAGGATTTACAATAGATATACATAACTCATCACTATTTGTGAGCTGACAAGTTTCCTTTGCAAGTCTAGTAAACATAATGAAATTGATAATTATTACGTGGTTTTGAATTATATCCACAGTGTTGAATACATCCATGAAAAATGTGGATAATGTTGTTGAAATGAATGATAATGAAATTGTCGGCGTTGTTTTTGACAACTTATATCTACTGAAACCAGTTGATGATCAAGTAGTTCAGCCACCAATATTCACTTTTTGATTAATAGTCCACCATTTAATGTTCAACTAAAATGCTACTGTGACATTTTAACTGTGAGCTAATTAAGCCAACGATAAGTTATGCTTTATTCATGTTGAGACATGAGTAACTGTTTATCACTGTCGCTTATCGATCAGTAATTATGTCTAACAAGGCAGATTAAAATGATTGAAACTAGAAAACCCCTCAATACCATAGGAGTTTTATCAGTTGTTAATGAATATATTGATGAGAATCTGAACTAAATAAACATAAACTATATTCAAAAATATAAAAAAATATTTGAGGGTTAGGCATCAAATAAATACATATCAATATAGAACGCTTTTTGAATTATCTATTCAAATCAATGATAATAAATACTGGTGTTTAGGCTAACAACAAATAGGTTAAGAGGTTCATTTAGAAAAGAGTAACATTTCCACTCAAATTACTTCGGATGATAACAAGTGAATAGGATGAAAGTAAAATGAAAATTTCACCAAATTTTACGATGATATATAAAACAACAACAAGGATATACCTTTTTTTAATATGATATATATATATATATAGCTAAGGTTAATAATGGTATGAAAAATGGTATATTGGCTTAGAATTTACTTGATGGGCATCTAGAAATCAATTAGCTTTCAAATTAGTTTCTAATACTTCCCTGTTATTAATTGAAAGACATTAAAACGCAAAAAGCACCGAATTAATGGTTAGATATGGTTTTAAACTCGATTTGTTTTAAGCCTTACGACTGATATGATACATTTACATAAACTGTTAGATAGATTACAGTACATCTAGTAAAATATCATAATTGGTGTTATTAGCGAGATAAACAACACTGATCAAATGGGATAATTGTTGCTCTACAGTTATTTAGTTGAAGTTGAAATCACAATTTACTCGATTCTAACCAATTGTTTTAAATGTGTCTTTCTCACTACGAGAAATAAAAGTCGTATTTTTGATCATGTGTGCAGCATTGAGTGTCCATTGTTGTTAATTACGAATACAAGACGAGACAACTGATATCTTACGATTCGAGGACGAAAATTATCTCCGAATTTGAGTGTGTACTTAAATCACTAGGATAACAGTTTGACGTTATATTTGTTACCCTAGTGTAATTCTGAAAGTAATATAATTTCTCATAGGTTATGCAAGATACTGCACTACACAGAGGGAGGAGTAGAAAGCAGATCCGTATCATACAAAATATAAGACTACTGAAATGAATCAACTAGGAATCAGCTTTAAATACTAAGTAGTTATGTAATTTTATCTATGACCAAAATGAAATCAATACAAACTCCTTCATAAAAAATGTTGATATATAAAATGATTGAGATCATGCAACATATTCTTGATGAGAAATAGCAAAGTATAGACTGTACAAGCAAATGACATGTAGGAAACAGATTATCAAGTTAATCAAATTTGATGTATGACTCCAAAGATATGTGACACATGCATAACAAACGCACACGTCCGATGACCATAATGTGATATTATTTGATTGGATGAAGAAACATCCCGGATCCAAACAATGCATAACAAATTGTCAATTAGGGTTGTTTTCAAAATACAGCGTGCGTTTATAATTAGGTATTGAGCTCGCTTGCTGAACAAATTTTAAAGAAAACAAAAACTCATTTGTGCAACCCAAAGCGTATATGTGTATAAGTTAATGGTTGATTCATGCATCTCAATCCCGTTTGTCAGCACAACAGCTTGGGGTTTTTTAAATTATAATTTGGCTTTGACGTTTTCTTTTTCTTTACAATTAACTAACCTTCTTACATTTGGAGATGTGTAAAAACTTCATAATTAAAAATTAATTAATTACATTAGACAAGGAGATATATATGTAAATGTTTACCATATAACAGACACTAGAAATAAGCATCCCTACAAATGACTGACTACACCAAGAGGTTAATATGTGGTATATGACCAGTAGCTTCTCTTCTTCATCCAACTAAGATTGATTCAAATAAATTTGATCAAATAGTAATAACCATCATCTAGAGTTATGTGTGTTCTCCTCCTGTATTTTGAATACACTTACTTATTTTTCAAACCTGGAAAATACTGTCTTAAACAATCATGTTACATTAATCATATCTTCATCTTGAATAAGTGTATATGTATCCAAAGTCACTTAAACTCGTTGACATTACAACTTAGTTTACCATTTAAGGAACGAATTATTCCATGAATCATAATCACCATATTACATTTAAACAACTAGTTAGCTTTTCATTTAACAACTACAGTGACGTTAATATAACACAAAATCAAAGCTCAATTGTCCTATGTTTGAATTTCCTGTAAGAGTCGTAGATGTGCGCAGCATTAAGTCCAACAATAGAAGAAAACAACTGACAAGTGCTTTCTGGACATTAATTTTGTAATGAAAAATAAGTTCAGACCGAACAAAAGTCTCTACACATTCACCAAACTCCTGAGTTAGAATATCTTCGTGTATGTCTATATATATTTTTTCCCATCGAACTCAAATTGGGTGACTCATTTTCCCCTTGTTTCGTATAAAAACACTTGAATGATGGACACATTCTTCAGAGAAAGTAAAGTTGTATGAAGTAAAATAAGCTGAACATAGTAAACCATCAACAAATCAGTTTAGTAGATGCTGTTCAAACTCAATGCTTTTAGGAGAACTAGACAAATCAAATAATCCCTCTAGGCCTTATAGTAAACAAAACACAAGTGTCAGTAGGCTGTAATGGTGAATAAATGGATTCAACTTAGCAAGGTTACCGAATATGTGGAATTATTTGAATCAGTTTATCTTTTTTGTAAATACCAATGATGAAATGTGAGTACTTTGATACAGCATTAAAGAAACAAAACTTTCTATGCAGTTTTTGTCCTCATCATCTACGTGATCGGGTTAATCAAAAAATGAATATTTTGAAACAGTAGAGGTAGTTTTTAGGTGGAAAACAATGACATAGTACTTTATTCAGACTAAAATTTTAAATATGAAATCGGATCCCAGCTTAGTGGTTTGAAGCTTAAGCTCAAGTCTAAAAATCTGAAGGTCATAGGGTGAATCCCTGATAATGTTTTAGGCGTATACTGCTGAGAAGTGCATTAACGTTGGGAAATTCTTTTCAGTTTTCAATGGTATCCTCATCGATCTCGATATGAAAATCACACCAAAACAAATTATAAGTTAGGATAAGTTGTTTGACAAGGTGTGCGTATCACTGACTACAAAACGTATCGAATACTTACAGTTGGACGACACTGAACTAAGTTGATCCGACAGCGAGATGAGCGTGCTTATTTATTTTGCATGAATGCTCATAATGTAAACGCTTTCATTTAATATTGAGTTGAGTTCACTTCTGCAGATTGATTTCAACCATGTAACAGAACCAAATAGTAAACATTAATGTTGAATCCATAGTGTAACTTGATCTAATGAATCCCATCAGTACTAACAGGAGTATACAAATACAACCTTGGTTATTATTACTACTACTACCACCACTAGTACTAATACTATAACATTGATTAGTCAGGGTGAACAGTTTTGTATAAATACAATAAGGTGTTAGTTATTACTAAACATTAACTTTTGATTTAAATTTAACTCATAAACTAAACAGCATAAATAACGCACACTGAACAGAATAAAGGCAAGCAACATCAATGATGTAAACGTTTTGAGGGAAAAAACAACTAAGAACATCGAGTTGTGTAGAAGCACTACGTTAAAACAATTGTTTTTTCATAAGAAACACATTCCGAAAATTATACATGCAAATATTCACTTCGACAAGCCGTTTTAAAATAATATATGTATGTATATTGTAAAAACACAAGAACACTTTTGTTCAACAACAATTATGCATACTTTTTTCAACTTCATGCTACTTTCCTAGAATACAAGAGAAGGAGAGAGAGTAGAAGAAGAAAACAAAAGAAACTTAGAGAAATACATAAAATTAAAATCTTGAAGTATGGAGAGACAACTAACTATTGATAAGCGTACTAATCTGTTCAGAAGATACCAGAATACTGTTTTATGAATCTCAAGATATATCAAATCTTTATTTGTGGGGATTTCCTTATCTTTTCTTCATTTCCATCGTTCAAAGCATTCATCGAACTTCTTAAAAGTTAGACTTAAAATACGTTATTATTCCATGTTTATCTTCTTCATATCATCTCTGCGCTATACCGTCATAATCATTTTTCGTCTCCTGCATAGAATAAACTCAGAGTTGGGTAAGTCTGAAGAATAGTGAGAGGGATCTAGCGTAATCTTCCACTGGCGATTGAGGAACCTAAAGTACACAACGATACCATAAAAACAGACGCTTTATTAGAATCAAAACTCATGTAGATTGTAAACCCGCTAGCTGAAAGCATAAGCGATTGGGCACTTTTGATTTCCCTAATAACAGAGTTTGACAGTTTCGATGTATCAGAGAGAGAGAGAGAGGGAGAGAGAGAGTGAATGATATAAACGTTTAGGGTAACAATTGATTAAATATGAAGACGTTTATTCTTGAAAAAAGAGATGAACTGATTGTACCCTTTAAAGAAGCTTGACAAATTTCTATGTCTTTTAGTCAATAATTGATATTTTTTCCTGATAATCTAAATAAGCTCGACTGGAGTTTTCGGTGTATAAGCCGATAAAGTGTGTAATTTAGTAATTTAGTCAATTTAACAGTAATCGTTTTTTGGAATCGAGTCCGTTGATGATGTTGGGTGGTCGATCTGATAAATAAATGTTGTCACTTTTGAGTTGACTTCAGTCACTTCAGAACTATAACGGCAGAAATGGATTCTCAAGGATGTCAGAATTTTGTCCATAAACTTCCACTTTTTCATCTCAACTGACGAACAATGAACAAGACAATACTTGAGAGATATCCAAAATAGCAATCGTTTGATTTTTTAGTGAAAATCAAAAGCTTTTGCTTTTTAGTATTAATAGTGATTAAAGAAATCTTTGCGAACTAGCTTGAAACGTACTACACAAACACATTATAAGTGAATTCGTTGGTACTGAATGAAGTCATCTTGAGTTGTAAATTCAAAAATAACAATACACGAATAGGAAAAAAATACAGTTGATTCTCCATCTAGCACAATATGTCTCACTAAACCAAACGATCTGTTAGAAGACATTGACTGCTATGTGGTTGTGAATAGTTATCGTAATTTGACAAAGCAACACTCAAAATGTCTGAATATTATATTCTTATTCGTTTAACACTAGAATGAAATGCCCAGTACGATTATTCAGTCTAACCAGCAAAGAACATCAAAATACGAAACAGAATCGTATTGACATCAACCGGCAACCTTTAATGTTGACTTTTAATTTAACAACTGAATATCAAATTGACATACACTAGATCATATGTATAACCAATAGCACTATGAGTATAGTTGGTATCTTTCCTCACAGAAAAAAAGCATCATGTGGTCTCAGGAGACTAAAACACATTTAAAACATAATAAAAGCTACTAACACTGGTGTTTCATGTTAGTTTATCTCCTTGATACGCTGTCATAAAGCTGTGATTGTAATTAAAGTGTTCGACTAAGTTTATTAAAATGTGCGGTTAGCAATCAAGTTTTCTGTTTATCTTTAAAAACAGCCTAAAATTGAAACACTACTAACTTAACCATAAATAGACGTTTGCAATACCTTTCTTAAAGTAATACTCACCACTTGTTTTGAACTGCCTCGTATTTGTAAAACACATGAACTAGTCTCTGAACTTAGATCTTTTGGCGCTAAAGCACGATGCCAGCGTCTGCGTCGAACCATATCAACTTTACGTTCTTTTGTATGGAATTTTGAATCGAAATTGAATGCATACTCCCATGCTTCTGCTGGTTCCGTACTTAAACTTTGCTAGGAAAAAAAAGTTAGTAAAAACAAAAAAAAAACACTTTTCAATTTACTTGATACCATGGTGATATGTTTACACCAATAAGGTTTTAATGTTGTTGGTTAGTTGTAAAGAGTAAGAATTAATTATTCGTCTATTTTTTAAAAATTATTACTAAAATGATATATACATGTAAACATATAAATTTTTAGGATTGTTAACGTTTGAACTCGATAAACTGACCACTATTTATGATATGATGACCGAAAACATACAGCCTTGTGAGAAGTTATGACTGACTGGGTTTGAGAGGTGACTTTAAAAATTTTTGTAAGGATCCATAACTAATAGAGTACAATAGTATGAAGTGTGAGGAATGTACTCATTGAAAATAGATAGATATAGTTACGCGATTTTGCGAACTGATTGAAGTTAGGCTTGCATATTACTGGATCTCGGTTTATCGACCTAGAAGTCAAACATTCCCAAGCGAGACCAATAGTCCGGAGTTCGATTCCCGGTGACCGTGTATTTGGTGGACTTTGTTGTGGAGTTCCATACTAAATAGAAACGGTTATCTAGTGCTTTCAGGTATTCAATGGTTGTTTGGATATAATAGGTTGGTTATCTCTTTAGCATCACAAACGTACATACATTTAGTCATAGGTTAGGAATTGAATTCATTGGAAACACTAAGTTTATTGTCGCTGTAAGTCAAATTTTTCAATTTAATAATGAGTTATTAGTAACATTAAACAGTCGAAGGCACAGAATGCTCTTAAACCTAGATTAAATGGTGATTGAAATTCATTTGTAAACAATACTTTTTAGAAGCGTTCTACTCGAGATCAGAACTTGTACCTTGTTATACCATAGCCATAAATGCTTTTGTTTAGTTCAAACATCTCATTCGTATAGTGGGGTAGTGCGGTTTTACATCAGTTGGCTGAAGAGTGTAGATATTTATTATTCCTGAGTGGTAACCAGATTGAAACCTATTTCCAAGGTAACTATTCAACTGCCACCAAATATGTAACATCCTGAAAGTTGTAACACAATGTTAATGTAGTTAGATTAATGACCCTAATGTCATATGATCTGTGAGAAACTATTATGACTATGAAACATTAGATTATTGCCAAGTTGACTGTGTTCTACTGAATTTGTCTATTAGCTAAATCCAACTTCACTTTTTTTAGTCTAATACATTCACAATGCTGAAGGAACTTTGACTTGTAAAGTTTCTTTTTAACATCCTAATTTATTCACAATTGAAACAGTCTCTTGTGAGAGTTTTTCAAGAATAAATGGAAGCTCATCATTCAGTCAAGTGTATACAACAGACAAACTTCTATCCATTTTTTAATGATTTCCTTTCAACTTATTGTAAATGTTGTCTAGTAATTGGGATATTCTCTATGGAATTCGAACGTAAGATATTTGAATTAGATAGAAACGTTACTGTACACGACAGGTTTCATACTTTACGTAATAAATCAGTAAGGTAGAGAAAATTGTTGTAACTATTAATCAATGGACAAATAGAGATTGGTTCTTAGCTACTGACCAGTTATAGTATAAATAATTTATTTTATCAACATATATATATGTATGCTGTTCATCTTGCTTACTTAAATGTTTCACTTAGCTACAAGCCACATATAATTCATCTCATTATATTTCAGTACTTCTCATAACTCATACACAGAATTCATTGAAACATTGTTGTACATCAACATATACATATGTAAAAAGATTAAAGTCTTATTGACAGCGCTTAAAACGAATCAGTAACTCAAACAATGATTAACATAACATTATTCTACGTAATTATATATCGTTAAGAGAATACAACCCATTAGATATATACAAAAGTAAGCAATGATTATACCGTGTATGCACAATTCGTCCAAATAAATTCACCATGTTTAGTAAAAGAAAAACGAATTGGGACGGACGTTACAGCCATGTTTATTTGGACTAGTAAAAATATGCATAACAGTGATGTTATAAGATATAGATGTATATATGGGTTAGGGTAGATTATAAATACTGTATATGTAATCATACATGAAGTTAGAATAAACTATTATATATATATATATATATATATATATATATATATATATATATATATATATATATATATATATATATATATATATATATATATATAAGGAAACTAATTTGAACATGAATTCGTATTAGTTATCATTTTGTAATCTACTTGGTTGTGGAACTTACTAATAATGATAAACGAGATTGCTGAACAGAAATTTAAATAAAAATACAAATTGTAGAGATAGTGGTCGATGGGTAAGATTAAGTTGAAATGTATGGGTTAGTTAAACTACGTTTTTGCGTTGTAGATTAACAGTCTGCTTAATTATATATACATATGTAACTGAAATAGGTATAGGTAAATAATCAACATAATTCAAATGCATCTGTAGTTTAAGAAAAATTCCAATGGATTAGTATAGATATTGTTAATGGGAGCAGAAATAATTTAATGCATAATCCAAAGATTCAGAACAATGGAAAAGCATGGTATTTGTCATTTATAGTGATATTTTCTACCACACAGTTGTATATTGCCTTATGGGCAGATCCAGCCTATCATAATTGAGATAACATTATCATGGCAGGTTTTTAGTGTCTCGAGATCTGACCCTAGTTAGATCGCACGAATGTTATTAAAATATACATGCCTATCCTCGTATATAATTATCGACATAATTCGCGTTAGCGAGTAACAGAATTAAATAAGTCAATTATGAGAAGGGATATTTGAATGCTTATACTTTGTACACTCATTGATCTGGACAGAAAATCAGATGAAAGAAGCGAAATAACGCGCGTTGGAGTAAACGTGTGAACCAACTCGATTTAATCAAGCAGTAATCAATATTTACAGTCACAGAAAATGAGCTACAGAAATATGATGAGTAGAATAAGCGATGTACACACACATACGTTCATATAAAAACAGTCAGGATTGATTAGTGAATAATTAACAAGGTCAAAAGGCGACTCAAGAAGAATGGATAAATTGGCCTGTCTAGAAGCTAGAATAAGCTGTGTGGGCTTAACACAGTAACCGGCACTACATAGCCCCATTGTAGAAATAGCACATTTATTTTTTTTTAATGTTTGTTTTCGAAAATAACACTGAAGTGCTATATGGTTAACGTTAAAGATTAGGGAAATAAATCGTACTATACCTGATAAATTACAGTATCACGTGAGGAGTGAGTGTATTGTACGAAAGTGTTTACTTATGTGAAAATGTATATGAATACCGTAAACATGCGGATAAAAATAGAAATGTTAGCATGCAATTATAGGCAAGTTAATAAGCGTATAAAAAATTAACATGTATTTATGTCATAACATATTCATAAAAGCGATTCGAAATACGGTGAAAACAGTAATAAATAGTTTATGAGTATTACAGTGGAACAACTTGTAAGTAGGGTAGAATATAACAAGAATTGATCTGTGGTGACGACTGAATATAAGGATAAAGAATACTGAAATGTGAACATGTTCTAATAAGCCGCACTTCAGTAAATAGCATCGATTAGCGATAAGTGGTTTTGCATTTACATACAAGGAGTTTCTGTTTGTAGGATAAAGCCAATCAAGTCGTGAAATGATAACTGTATCGATAGGTGATATTCACTGCTGTACTGCAATTGACAATAATAATAAAATGCAAAGTCAGTGTACGTTGTCGTTTGCCTTATGACAGATGTATCGAGTTATTGTTAAATATGTATTAGTAGAGGAACAGGATGGCGACTAGGAGATGTGATAAGCGGAGCCGTATTCCTTTTCGATCGTGAAGTCTAGCGTGGATTATGTCGTTTAAGGGATATTCGTTTGTTACCAAACCGTACTAAGGCATGATAAAAAATACCAATACATATTATCGATGTCGACGAGTGAGACTGACTTGTTTGCGATGAACAAGAGTGTATCCTTTTTGTTGTGATATGCAGTATGGCTGGAATAGAATATTAATTGCAGTAATTGAATAATGTTTATGGGTAATGAATGATGCAGCATGTGGACAGACAGATAAGATGAATGTAATCTTTACTAATCAGCTAGTAGAGTAAGAGAAATCCACAAACATAGTAGGAGGTAATATTGAAACAAAAGATGTATGGTATAATAACATAAAAAAATGACCTCGAATAAGCGAATGAGTGTAATAATAGGGCAAAAATGACATGGAAATAAAATGGGACGAACTCACTTAAAGGCAGGAAAATTTTACTTTATTGAATAGTAAAAATACAGCCCAGTGAGTTTCGAATGTCATAACGTGAGTGGAATGTTCTTAAAATTAGAATATGATGATTGAGTGATGCAATTGCGTAAATGTCATGAATTAATGTAAACACGAACAGCAATAATAATTCCATGTTAGGTGATAGTATGACATACAGATGATAATACAGATAAGATAGTTTCTAGTTTTATAAATATGATATTGAGATAAGCTGAGATTGAATTTTGATAAGCACAACGATTAGAGGCTGTGATAAATCGTCATCGAATTTTTTCCGGATAATAAGCTACTTATTACACGAGAAAATAGTTAAAGTTCATCTAAAAGACCGATCACATCAGAATTACATGAAAGCGTTTAAGAGTTAGTCAACATGTAAATAAAGTGATTGAACCAAGGAATATCATCTGATATTCTCTAATAGATTTAAAGAATTTCCCTCTTCAGACTGATTATGTGGAAATAATAACTTTTGATAAACAAATTAATTTTCCTAAAAATATAAATTAGGCTAACTACTTTGCAGATGCATTTTCCTTGTGCTTAGAACATATAGTTGACTCAAATTAGTTGGTATTTTTAGGATTTATTCAACTATACAAATTGAATTTCATGTAAGTAATTCTAAACGATATTATTAGGTCTTAGATTATACTGGTTTTCTGACCGCCATCCCTCTTTAACAGTTTGTAAACTATTCGCTGTTGACTTTAGTTAATGACCAAGAACTAAAGAAAACAGTATCAACTGATAACCTATAGATCATTTATATGTTTATGGATGTTGGTGTTTAAATTCATCCTCATCCTCATCATCATCATCCTCATCATCAATAATAGTAAATAATTGAGATACTATGTTCACACCGAATACCTACTATATATTCTTGTTTAATGTTTAGAAGTAAAAAACTGTATTGAATTTGTCATCGACTGGATCTACTTTCAATAAGCTTTACACTTTATACTCCATAGTGAACAATGATGGATAGTGATCCATGTATTTTAATTTTGAAATAATTATATCTATACGAAATAGTCTATTATATTATAAAATGAATATTCAATGCTCACTAGCATAATTGTTAAATCTTCTTTAAAGTTGAAATATGTTGATTAATTAAATGCTAACTGTATTATGAAATTTATTACCTTAACTACTGACAATCATTTGTGGAATTTTTGAAAAAAAATTTTTAAACAAGTTGAAAACAATGGTGAAAATGATAAAACAAAAAGAAATCTGGTTAAAATCGTTATACCGATGATCAACTTGAAATGACAGAGTATCCTAGAGTAAATATTTAGAAAAAAATAGAAGAGGCCAGCAGTCCAAAACCGGTTAGATAAAAACTTGAAACTGAATTATTTGAAGTTTTGTAGTTTACTAACATCTAACATCTAAATTTTGCAAACATGAATTCAACACATTCTCATCATATAACACACATCAAGAAATAGTTTAGGGGAAATATAAAGAGTATAACGAAATAAACATTTTAAAGCATGTTGTACACTGAAATATGTTAGACGTTACATATATATATTCCACTACACTGATATAAGCATGTACAAGGGCATATACATGTATAAATAACGATTCACCCCTATATGAGATATTACACAGTCATGCATACGCATATGCCACATACACATACAGACACAAAACCTTACTTGATCATGTGCTATCACTTGTCTTAGTACCTATATTCAAGAGATTTAGTGAGTAAATACAAATCATATTGATGATTCATGGAAAAACTTCACGGGTGAAGATCAATTCATAAGTAATTAGCTGCTTCTTAGAGAGATTTTTTACTGTTAGGACAAAGATCAGAATTGATTCTCATAATATTTCATTAGAGATTGACCAATGGATCCATCGATTAAACATCCTTCACAGTAAGCTGAGACAGTAACTAATCGAAAAAAATCATCAGATGAAAATCATGCTGTTCCATAAATTATTTCACGGTAATAATCTGAGCCATTCATTGAATTATAATTAAATGGGTTAGTAAAATAAGTGACGGTGAAACCTTAAAGAGACAGATTGAATCCAGTAAGAGGTCGCTGGTGCGCAGTTGTTATGAGTCTCAGGTACGGATAAAACTGTTGTCTTTGATTTTCACCAGTTATGTAGATAATTCATGACTTAAATGTAGACCACCTTTAAATTAATGATCTTTATGATTTAATAGTTTCATGGACGAACATTTTACGGATTGGGAGTATTAATAAAATTGAGTGAACAATGGATGTCTGTTCCGTTCTAGCAAGAGATTCGTCAACAGTGTTCATCCACAAAACTGCAAGGGTTTGAACCTAACACCTTCAGGTCTCACTATTAAACAATTGTTTAGCATCCAGTGGTGTACATTTATAACTTCAGAAACTTCGCTAATTACCCATTTCTTAGATTCTCAGGTATGGTTATCACATCATTAGTTCCATTTGTATCATTAAATCTTATATACAAACTAACTAGAAACGGAATGCGGTAACACATGATTCTTGATTAAAGAGTTGTATTCATGGAATTTATTTTTCATAGTCGAACATCCCTTTATAACAAAAGCATCGAAACGAGAAAAAGCAATGTTTATTAATGAATTCCGAAACATAAGACTGAACAATATTAGGTAAACAAGATAATGTCATAAACAGTAAAATAAGTGATTGCATCATCATACATTATAATTTAGAAAAAATTAATTTTTAGTCATTTAATACCAATTTCATAACCTAACTTCCTCGTCAATTACTTCATTTGATTAGATTTTACATATATAAAAAGGCATCAACCCTAGCCACATTGTCTGACTTTGGCCTTCACATTTTCTTTTAGAATTACAAGTCTAAATTCAGAAATAGTGTAAACATTTAATCATTGTTTCTAATCCAGTTTATCGGTTGTCACTTGAAACTGTCTACCATAAGGTATTGAAATGGGAAGAATTCATTTTTAAGCACTGAAAATCTTACTTGCTGTTGCTTAAAACTACCACAGAGAATTAAGGATACGAGATCCTGAAGTATTTAAATACGTATCTATGGAATACTCAATGTATTTACCAATATTGTGGCATTTTCTGGCAGGAAAATAGCCGTCCATCTCAGTCAACTATTACATATATTTATGTATATGTATAATCATCCGTCAAGAAATTTTGGATGATAGAATACATTCTATATCATTTGGATTTCCCTCTTATTCAACTGTGTATTGATCTTATTAAATCTGTTGTTATTTAGCATCATGATTATCATTTTCCATTTTGATAATATTCGGTTTTCAAGGTCGTTAATTCGTTTTTTTTGAGTTATCACACGTTTACTCTATTGATTGTTTCACTCTTTTAATTGTTCGTGTGATATAATTTCAATCTGTACTGTCCTCGCTAAATGCATTGTAGTTAATGCTAGGAGACCTGACTAATTCCTACGTAAAGTCTTCAGAGGTTGAGAAAGTGCTCAAAACATTCCGATCAATCTGGGTTCCATAAACTTTGTGTGTTTCTCAGTTAAGCTATAGCCGAGATTTTTTAAAGATTCTTTTAAGAGGATTCTCAAATCTGAAGGTCATGTGGTCTTATAAAGTTCCGGTTTTTTCGCTCATGATCTTGTATGTGAAATTCCTCTCAAAGCACAAGTCCTCTGTTTTACGTCCAAAGTTAAAGAGCAAAAGAAGAGTTTAGGAAATCAATACTTAAGAGTTTGACTACAAGATATAACGGGGACAATAAAGTTTCAACTTTTTCTTTTAACTCTAACCAGTTTTCTGTCGACATTACAAAATCTATGACTTATCAGTTTGAATATCAGGTTTGTTCACTTAATACAGAGCGGTCAACTAAAATGTAAAGTTCTTTTCAGAAATGAAGTGGAATTGCTACAAACTTTCGAAAAATGATACAGACTATTGAAGTGAAAAGAGTAGTAGAAATTATTTAGTTTAGATATTATATATTGATCTCGTATGTTTAAGGGTCATATATGCTTGTTTTTTTAAAATTGTTGATCAATATGTAAAATGGAGATCATCATAAAATTCCCAGATCTATCGAACATCATCATTATTATTATTACTATTATTGCTAATTAGAGGCTTTCGTTTAAAAATATCATTGAAATTAAGAATCTTTGAAGATGATACTTAAAGATTTCACACTAAGTACGTTGGATTGGGATTAGAAGCGTCCAAAATATTGAATAAAATAAAATTGGTTAATATTAAGAAGACAGGGTCTCTGATCAGTGAACGGTTGATGATATTTAGAGATGAATTCTGAAGAAACATAATCTTTCGTGTCAAAACATGCTTATCATCTTTTTACGGCTTTTTAACATGAATGCACAGAAACGACGCTATTATCAAACAAAACATTAGTAATGTACTCACTTCTTGTTTAACAGGTACACCAACATCACCAAGTATCCGTGACCGTATTAGTCGTCGCCTACGAAACATATGATAAAGTTTTTCAGCTGCAACATAACCACCTGTAGATGCTTCTACGGTATACTCAAAACCGTCTTCATCACATGGACGATTGTAATCAATTTTCCAATCATCAGCCCATGTCCAGCCACTTGGTAGTTCAACTGTTTTTGGTTCACCTTTCACTTCTCCTTGTGCATCAGTATATGCAGGTTCAGCAACTTTCCATGGACTTGTTGGGGTACGAAATTCATTATAGAATAATTCTTCAACAAAACTTGTTTTTCCTGCATCCTTAATCAAATATAAGAAATAGATAAAATAATAGTTACTGTCAATGGGGAATGATTAACGCGAATTAAATTCGTACATAATAAATGACTAATAATACCGTTAGCGAAAACCATCAATATTCTCATTACATTAAATGCTCAATGTATGGAATGTGGTATGGTTAAAAATTCAAATAATTTCGTTGTTTATTATTTTGTAATTTCCATTAGTTAGTCAATTCATAAAATGAACTCATATGATTGGTGTTCTATAGAATGAAACGACTTATATTGGCAGAAATTTAAACAAAGTTTTATTAATGAAATGTTTAATGTTGTTAATATTAAGTTAGTTGTTATCCAGTGGTTGATAATGTGTAAATGCTACTTATCGAAGCATGTTTAGTTACAGAAATTATTAGAAAATTGATTAGTTGTCCAAAGCATAATTCCTTGATTGAATTAATGGTTTTTTTTATTGAGATTATGAACCGACTGATGTTAGACGATCATTGAGAACCTGGGAGCACTGGACGGTCGTTGCGTCCTATTATGGGACCCCTCAGCAATGCGCACCCACGGTCCCGCCCCCCGCGATATTGGAACCCAGGACCTCTAGTCTCCCGCGCAAACGCCTAACCTCTAGACCACTGAACCAGCCGGTACCTAAACCTAACGGCGAAACTGAGTGACTATCTTCCATTGTACTGAGGTAGATACCTATCTCTACCTGACACAGATTAGCTCTTTCGATTAGTAAATTGGTTTGTTGAGCAATCTACTGTAAACCTTTAATTTGTTTGCATATACTATGGAGCTTGAAACGAATCCTTCATCAACTGACTCGTTTATTTATTGTTAATTAGTAAGGAGATCAGGTTTAAGTGTTGTTGAATTGAATAAATTTCTTTATATTTAAAAATTATCACCAGTTTTTTATGATATGAAGATATCTGGTTCTAATATATTCACAAAAAGGCTGTAAAGAACTTCATAAAATGACAAATGTACCTTCTACCTTTCATACATATTAACAATAATGCAAAAGATATCATCAATACAACTAAAAATGTGACCAGTTTGCATGATTTGTATGAATTTCACCTCTGAACTAAACCGATTACAATATTAAGTTAATTATGCAACATTCGTATTAAATAACACGGTACCATACAACTCCCGGTTTAATCAATATGCAATAATATTTGAAAGCTTATTTATTTAACAGAAAAGTTTATTCATTCACATCACGAGTTAGATATTCAAGTAATAAAATGATATTAAGGATGGTTCATTTCCTCAAAATACATTTTAATCTCTTTAAAATGGAGTTAATAGTTAAATTTATTGACAGTTGAATGAGGTTACTGGAATGAGTTCTGTTTAATTTCATTTACAAATTCATTTACAGAAATTCCGTCTTCAAATTCGTATGCGATTAAAAAAGTTTACAGGTTGTCAATATGTTCTTTGACCTGACGAAAGAATAACACAATACTTCATTACTCACAATAGTACCATGACATGTAAACCAACTTCGTTTTTTTACATACATACATACACACACACGCGAAATACGACTGTCTACAAAACATAGTTCTTCAACTTGACACTTCTCCCACTTGCAAGAAATAGTTTAATACTAAATATTGATACTTAGCGTGAGAAAACCGTTCAGGTTAGAATCAAGAACAGTACAAGCGTAAGCTTCAATAATCTGTAAAATCACTTTTCAATTTGTTCATAGTAAATCTTAAAAATATATATATCTAAGTAGTCTCAAAATAAAACACTACGAAATAACTCTTACGTCACTCACGAGTTTTTAAACTGTTATATTCTATTGTCCGATTTAGTTTAAATGTTTGATTACCAAACGCCTGACCAGATCACTGTGTGGATAAAGAAATCTTGGACTCCCTAGGTATCCATACCGGGAAGAAGAAGATACAAATGTACACATCTCTATCGTACATATATATTCCTAAATTGACCCAAACACACAGATGTAGATGACGAGATTGATCAGAGGAGTAAACCGCTCATACACATACAATAGTTCATATACACTAGTATATTTTAATCACAATGAGAAATTGAAAAAGCATAAGATCCATCTCGTATTTAGTGGCTTATCATGAACAGAGATCTTTTAGTTAGGATAAGTGAAAATATACCTTTTTTATTGATTTTAAGTGAATGATTCGAAATGACTTCTAAAATTTTGTGTTGTAAAAAAGAAATTTGATGCTCACCTTTTTATAAAGCAACGATAACTCTGGACTAACATACCAATCACCAATCCATTCCCAACCTGTTGGTAATTGAATAGAATCCTTGGGTAATTCAATTCGGCCAGTATTATCAGACCATGATGGACGTGTTAACGGTGGTCGTTTAGTCACCCAATTACCAACAATTGATGCTTGATTTTCATACTAAATATTAAAGAATATTGAGTAAACGCAGAAGCATTTCATAGATATTTTGTTCAACACTTCTGGTGAAAACAAATATTCTTTAGTCACCAACAGTATACATTAGATCGATTGACTTTAAAACACAATAATTTCTATTATCACAAACAGTTACTTCAGTTCTATAAGTGTACCAGATCATTAAGCTCGCTTAAGATCATAACTGTGGTTATCTAAAGAGACTGATGGAATTTGGTCTGAATTCATCTCGATTCATTGCTAATGGAGAGTTTGACCTTGAACAAATATGACCAGGATGTTCAATGGCTAAATCGTTTCTATCTAGTGAGTAAGTACTGATAATTGATGTTAGCTATCATTAGTTGCGTTTATCAACAGACAGTTTAATAAATGTTAATGATTTACGCTAATGATCTTGATAATGACTAAACCGTATTAGTGTTTGATGCTTAACATTTTATATACAAAGCATTATGATTAGAGGTGATGAGCAGAAAGTCCTATATCTCTGCTGAATACTAGCTAGTCTTTGTTATCGTAGAGTACCTCGAATTCTAAGAGATACACTACTTTAGACGAATTTGAAATCAATGCATGTGGTGTTGCAATCAAGCTATTATTACTTAGCTAATCGTCTGCAACTAACAACCATTCAATGGCGAGTGACCAATAAAATATTGTCTAATCCTTAATACTAATATAAGTTAGGTCAACCAGGATGTCGCGTAATTCAGATTAGTGATAAATCCTGCAGGAAAAGTGTACACAAAAATTAATTATTTATTTATATTGAATAACCCAATAACCGCTTGTTCATCCTCTAGCATTTTGTATCATTTGTAGGTTTAACGACATAATAATGGAGGTCAACCGTATACAAAGTGATACAAGTATCACCAATTACGTTGAATAATCATAATGTAATATCTCAAATTAACTGACAGTCGAAATGGGGACCATTAAATTCCAACCTAATGGTTGAAAAAATATTGGATCCTTTCGAACCAGGGGTTACAATATGGGACAAGATATTCATTTAGCCCTCACGTGTTTCTCAGCAGATGATGCACGTCGAGGATAAAAACTGTTTTCAAATTGAGCTAATCTTCACATCATATCCATATGTTCAAGATAACCGAATGCTATTTGTACAAGGACAACATAACAACTTATATTGTTAACTTGTTTTCATACTAATCGTTAAAGTTAAGGATAGTAGTTGATTGATCGATATTCTCAAATTTTGCTGTCCATTTTATTCTTATAATCAAACAGTTTTCCGAGAGTTTTTAACATGGTAATGTTTGCTAATAATAAGCTAAATTTGTTTCTTTGTAAACGGTCTGATTTTCGTTTTAATGACATTCAATCTATTCACAAAAAGGGATGTGATTCTGAAGGTAATGTGGTGTGTTTTCTTGTTTGATCAAGTATGTTAAAGATTGTCATGTACTGATTTTACCAAAATTATTAAGGAAATAGCATTTCGAATAACGATGTTAGAGAAACAGAATGTATAGTAATTAGTTGGTGACTGATGACCTATTGGTACCCTATCGATGACCTTGGATTAAATAATTAAATGGACAAACACATATCTGTAAATTATATATTAATGTCTGACGGCATAATTTATGGAATCATGATGCTCTTTGTCTAAATTTGTGTCATCTCAGTTTTTCCCATTTTTACTGACTTGATTTGACAAGTATATTGTTATCATGTGACACAGACTCATATTATAGCTAATTTATGGTGATTCTCAAACAAATAAGTGAACCATTGGTAATAAAGTTGAACAGGCGAATATAATTAACATACCGTTTCTGCAACAACTTGGAGTTTTGCCTCAGTATGCGATTCTGTCCATGCAGTACGGTCCTTTTCTAAACCAAACCATACAACAACACGTAACTGAGCCGGAATTTTCCATTCTGGCTTGTTTTCATCTTTCAATAAGGTGGGTTTCTGTAGACAATTATATGCAGCAATATATGAAAGTAAACATATACAAAACTGTTTGATATGAGGAAGTTTATTTTTGAAGCTGATCTCCATAGGTAAGTTATTTATAATCATGGTGGGGCAAAAAAGTTTTCACAGTCCTAATACACTAACCTTTTGATGAAAAATCAGGGAATTGTTTCGTGGATATTCTTCTCTTAACTTTTAATTACTAAAAAGCACTGTGTCAGTCAATTCAGTTTTGAGAGTTATCACTTTATCAAGTCAACAGACGACCGCAGTAATCATAAGTAAAACGCACTTTTTCGTCCGTTATAACAGTATTAAATAATTCTCTTTGTAAAAACGTAGTTTTGTTGTACGTTAAAGTAGTGTATGTTGTGAAAACACAAAACTTTATTGTTAATTAAATCAGTGAAATAATAATAATGTCCTCATTAGTGACTAAACCTGAAGCAAAATTACCCATGTTCAAGGTAGAATTTGTAGATAAGAGTTCACTCGTATGGCGAATGAAATAGTCATCACAAAAGGCCTTGAATGATGACCATGATATGAAGGTAACATAGTTTGTTTCAAACCAGAGTGTACTGGATTCAGTACCTGGAAGTACAGTAGGTGAACTAAACGAAGGTGTTTTAAAATAGAATGACCGAGCTGTCCAGTACTTTGTTTCTCAATAGTTTGTCTATTAAAGTTAGCTTTTGATGAAAAACATCTGTCACATTGAACTAGTTTCTCATGATCTCCTCAACTGAATAAAAAAACATAATTTAAAGAGAACATACTTTTAAATTGATTGTTTGTGCTGTACCACATTTTAATCCCCGGTAATCTTCATTGTCATGGTATAACACTTCATGAGCTGGTATTCTGTGATAAGCGGTACGCTTACCACCGCTTAACATCCATATTATAATATCTGGTATACTCATTTGTGGCTGTGTATAAAGTCAAAAAGATAGACATATAAATACATCTGTACTATTTAAGTATTTTTAAATACTTATCTGTATTAATACTCAATATTAATATACATGTATAGACGTTATAAAAAGACATTAGTTTAGACAGTGACAAAACATTTCTTTTTATCAATGAATCACTTTTTACTGCTGAGAAGATGAATGACAAACAGACATTTTAGTGTAAGGTCTGTTATAAATAATGTTCGAACCAAGTGACCGAAGAAAATACAACCTGGAGACCTTCTACTTTAACTTCAAATTCACTGAAGTAGTAAATCATAATGTCTAACAAATAGGGTTTCAACCTGTGTTCCCAGTTCGAATACGAGCGACAGAGAATATTTCGTAACATGAAAAGACATAAACTATAATAACTAAGTTTAATGTTCATACTCTTAGCTAAGTTGACAGACGTTTTAGAAAGTTCTAATAAACCACACATTTATAGTACACTAATAGCGATACTTGTGAAAGTGTAATATTAACAACTTGGTACTTTAATCAATAATATCAGTAAAGAACGGTTCAAGCTACAAGTGCATTCTTAAAAAATGGGTTTTGACTCATAAAACCTGTTTAACACCAACTACCGTAAACGTGATGGAGCAACACCAACCGAAGAATCATTGTGTATCTGTAACTACTGTGTCACTATTTAAATCTTATTCCATACTTATTACAATTATGAACTGTGTACATATAATGCACAATTAAATCTAGTGTGTTTAAGTTTTAGAGAGAGTATAGTATCATTTCGAGATGGTGGAGAAGATTTGTAGCTCAGGTGGATGATTTTGGTGGAGTTTTGTTCTCTGAGATGGATGGTTTGGTCGTGGAGCTTTCATCGCTCTTCTGAAGTTTGTGCTGATGATGTCGTTCAGAAGAACGATGAAAGCTCCACGACCAAACCATCCAGCTCAGAGAACAAAACGCCACCAAAATAGTAACATTTCTTAAGTAAAATAGAATCCAAGTTCAGTTGCTTGAGGCTCAGTCAATTCAAGATATAATACAACGGTCATTCGATGATGGATTCTGTCTTTATTGTTCAATCGGTCGCATTCCTATCGAATTAACTGAAGCTAGAAATCTAAACCACTGAGATCAAACTAGGTAATCTGCATATATTATGCTTTCTGGAAGGTATAAAGATTAACGATTCAATCCCTTGTAGGAGTGTGGCCACGCGTCGTTCAATAGTTTCAAATTATAAAAGACCACCTGCCGAATAATCTGTGATTATCAATGTTTACCCTAATGGATGTTAAATAAAGACATAAAGCAACTTCAAAATGAGTAACATTCACATGCTCTTTGTATTATACAAGGATACCACTTACTTCGATTGCCAAATTAAGAATAGTTTCTCGATAAGATTTCAATTCTTTTAATGCATCATCAATTTCAGAAACAGTTTCTCTTGTATTTATTGCTTGCTCACGTAATGTATTTAATTGATCTTCACGTAATTTACGTAAATGTATATCCATTTCATTTTGAGGAATATTCTCAGGTTCCCATTGTGGTAAGGCATGACTGAAATGAAAAAAAAGTTATAATAAATGTTGAAAATTTGTTGTTTAGAATATAAAAATTAAAGAATTATTTTTTCAGATAGTAGCTAGACTGGAGAAATCCATAATATAAATTCCACTATACATGGGATCAATCAGTTAAGTGTGCTTGAACCCCAAGGTTATTATTCAAATATCGTACATTTCCAGTTATCTGCGAAGAACAGAATGCAAAGTAAGTATGATACAATCGACATATGTAATGTAATATAAAAAAGTTGTAAAGTGGTTATCTATATATTCTTTTGATCTGTCATCTCAAATGTGAAATAAACATTTGCGCTATAGTGGTGGTTACGTCGGTGAGGTTTGCCGTATAAATATTTTCTGAATGCAAACAGTTATCAGCGTTTTGAGTCACTAACAAATTCTCATTGTTGAGAGTGATCTGTGAAATCATGTTTTTTCAATATTTACAACAAATAGTTAATTATGAGTTCGTAGAGATGGCAGAATTTTCATAATTCACATAGTGTTCTAGTTTTAGCTAGGCAATAATCAGAAAAGACTCAATAGCTGTTTCAACTTAGTAATGAGCTCCTCGGCAGTGAGCATTCATGGGGAACGAACCCAAGATTTTCGGTCTCGCTGTAAACGCTTAATCTATAAGCCGATGAGCGAAAAACTAACTCTGTAAATATCTAATTCTAATCGATCCGCGACCACCTCCCATCGCCTGGACTGAATAACTGTCACACTCTTGACCTGGTTGAACTCAACTAGTTATGGCCTCTCACTGCTGAGGGGTCTCATACGCAGTCGTAACAGCTGTCAAGTGCCTCTCGGTTGTCAGTGGTTGTGTAGCTTATATCATTCTTTTATGTAAACTAGGGAAATAGTCAAGTAGTTTAAATGGGGTGACACAAATTTTGATTAGTAATTTACCGTCAGATATATTCCAGTGACCGTTTAACATAACGCAATTAAACAGAAACCTTGCAACTGTACATTGTCAGAAAATGGTCTAATATTGTCTATTCTGTTTATAAAAATTCCATGATCACATTAGTGCTTATCAACTAGCTGTATTTGCATATTTTCTAGTATATACATCATTTGTAGTGGGATAAAAATAGCTTACAAAATAGGTGCAAACCACAGTGGGATAAAAAGGGAATCCTTTATTTTATTCCTATTTTATGAGAAATAACAATAAACTCCAACAACACTTACTTGCAATCCATAATAAATTCATCTAATGAAGAGATTGCCAATTGTGCTTGAGTTTCTATTGGGAGATTTGCTTTAATGGCAACCATTAAATGACTGATTCCTCTCTCCTATTGTTTTATTTATTTAAGAAATAATAATAAAACAAATGGAAATTGATAGAAATACAGCTGAGAAATTTATTGTAGGATGTATTGTAGTGCCGAATCGCCGAACTGGAAATCGGTTTTGTCTGTGTATAGGACTATTCAAAAAATACCCACATATGGCCAAAACCAATGGTTGGGCGCAGGTGACCTTATAACTTTACGAGAGGTGATTCTCGGTTCCCGACGGTTGTCCGTTCCAAGTTAGTTAGCAATAGAAAAAAATCATTTCTAAAGAGTTTTAAAATGCTTGCATTTCGTTTGACGTTCGTTCAACAGCCTCACCATAATTAAGTATCGTACATAGATGAACTACATTACAAGTCGGTCGAGAATATTCAGCTTTTAGCTTTAAATACTAAAAACAGTATTGTTTAATTATGTGCCCTATTCTGATTAACACTTTGGGCATTGTAAATATTTTGTTTTAAAATATCAATGATAGTATACTATTGTTGAGTTCCATGTTAGAACAAGAATATTATTCAAAGCTATTTGACTACTGTCAGTAATTGGGAAAAGTCACTTGTCTGTAATAGTTTCAGAGAAAGTCATAACATCAGATAAATATATGTTCATTCTGATAATCTCCATGTAAATCACTAATCTACTGACAGATTTGGTAGAGATAATTTTACTACTTCCTAAAGTTGACTTATATTATTGTGATGTTGTTTAGCTACATAATTCACATATATTATTACGTAATAAACCATGTATACTATGATTTTACTCATTTGATTGCTTTTTGTTAAAAAACAATAAAGCTGCATTGTGAAATTTTGTCTTCTCACTTCTGACTTGTGTTAAGTTGTTATCATTATAATGTAATTGTGAATTGATTATCAATTTACCAAGGTGTATCGATACACCTTCATATTACTGACATCTCTTATTCGTCTGTAACCATGGAACCTTATCAAACGATATACAAACAAATATACTATTATAAATACATCTGTAAATGTTGTCTTACCAAATGATCAGCAATTCTCAATAATAAATTAACTGCACCTAAACGAAATGATATATCTTCCCATTGAGAATCAACCATAGTGCATGGTTTATCATCAGCCCATGGTAAATAGTAGTAATGTAATCCATCTGATACAGGATTTGTTGGTGGTGTCGTTGATGCACATGGTGTGACCGATTCATCCAACTTATTCCCATGATTACCGATACTGATTTCAAATTCAATTGGTCCGTCAGATTTTTCTTCAATCATTGTTGCTGATAAAAATGCAACATACAACTGGTATTTTCTTCTTCTTAAGGATTTCTATACAAATGAATATGAAGTAGACAAAAGTCGGGCTATTAAAAACCAGTTAGTTTGTTTTATTTGTATATCTTCATACGTTTTGTAATTACTCATGATCTATCCATCTACATAATATTACACGATTGTAAATTCAACATTTGTCTTCCTATTTTTAGAAAAATACTAGAGGTGATTTATCGTCTAGTCTCATTGCCAAAAATTAGGACAGCTAGAATCGAAAAATTGATTACTTATTTGAATATATTCCAATACTCAGGTCGATTTCAGTAGAAATATTATTGCCACTTCAATGGACGTCGTTATTATCCAGGAAGTAAGTGTATTATGCAATCTTTCAACAAACAGAAGCCTTAAACAGTAACAATGACAGCCATTTTATTAATATTAAACATAACATCAATGTGAGAAACCATAGTGAACCCTGAGGTTAGATTGTTTAAAGTACTTTCCATAGGAAACATGCAACATCTACCATTAATACGTCGCTTTGGCGTATGCGACTTAATAGTAATACTTCTATGATTAATACAGTATGTATTCCATCAATAATGTTATACTTTAAAATATTATCTTTCATAACAAGTTTTGAAAAACAACATAAGCCTCACTTCACTAAGAACTGTACTACAAATGTTCATTAAAATTAATCTCTGAATTATGTTTGTTCGAGTTATGTACCTTTGTGGTGCGTGCTACTTATATTGATATAAGTAGTATGTAACGTGAGTCAAAAGAACGTAATGGCTGGCAGCAGAAGATGGAGAAGATCAAGAAAAGAAGAGCGAGAAAACAATGGAATTTGTAAGAAATCGCATGAGCAATGAAATGCGAGACAATGGATTGATGTTTGCAACAGCAACAGCCCGGTTTGATATGATAGAATGATATTTTGCAAATTAACGATTTACTATATGGTTTTTCTATTTTACCAAGTAATTCTGTAATTTGTCCTAAATACAATTTGGCTGTCCTCACCCGTGTTCTTCTTCACTACATTTGGTGTCGCTGCCTCCACTGAGGATGAAGATCCCATGGCCGAAGGAGTTTGATGACGGAGATGTGCTGAGCTTCCTGAAGGAGTTTGGGGCCGTGGCGGAGCTTACCAGATTGTTACGCCGTGCGCTGCCGAGTCTGGATGAGGAGTCGGAGGCACAGTTGTTGGCGTCACAGTTTATCGAGAGTGTGCCTGCCACCGTCTCCCAACAGCTGAAACTGGTGAACGCAGCGCAACCGATGGATATCAGTGAACTGGCGAAGGTGACTCGTCAGCTGATGACGTGAACAGTAGCTCCAGTCGGGTGCGAAAAGCAGGAGATGAATAATGTCGAGAAGAAGATTGAGGAGCTGGAGCGCGAGATTGCAGCAATAAGAGTGAACAATAAAAGGAACGATAAATGTTACGCTTGTGGAGGGATAGGACATTGGAAGATAAACTGTCCAACAAGACGAAGACGCAGATATGTTAGACGTTACAACGAGTGTTCTTTCTATCCTAGGAATCTGGGGATTGTTGCGTTAGTAGACAGAGGGGCAGTATATACGAGAGTGAACATAAATGAGCGAGATTTAGTTTGTCTGATCGATACAGGTGCAGCAGTATCGTTAATAGGCAAAGAGCAATGTGAGAGAATCAAGCCGTGTACATTAGCTGTCCACACGATAGGGGGCCATATGTTAGAGGTGTTTGGTGTATCTAACAGTATCGTAAAAGTGGGGGTTGCGGAGATAAATTTTCCGTTCGTCGTAACCACAAGCTTATCGAGACCGATATTAGGAGCAGATTTCCTAAGAGAAGTAAAAGCGATAGTTGACTTAAGAAGCGGTAAGATGGTCACGAAATATGGTTCATTGACAATACACGAAAGTAGCGAAGTGGCTGAAATAAGAGTTGCAGCGGATGTCTCGTCAAAGAAACCAAACATTCACGAGTTATGCAAAAAGTATGCGAAACTATTCACTGGAGATGGGGAGCCGTATGGATTTTGTGACAGAGTAAGGCACGAAATACCGATAAAGAACAGTTGAGTAAATATATTTGCAACACGTCGTGTCCCGGTGCATTTAGAGGCCGAGGTAAATCGTCAGGTCCAGGAAATGTTAACAGAAGGTATAATTGAGGAAGCGGACAGCCCACATAGCTCGCCGGTACTCTTGGTAAAGAAACCAAATGGAAAGTATAGATTTTGTGTCGACTTCAGAGAATTGAATAATATAACAGACCTGAAGCCTTGTGCAATGCCAACAGTGGTGGAAACATTAGATCGGCTACAGAATGCCACGGTGTTTACAGTGCTGGATTTACGGTCAGGTTATTGGCAACTGCCTAAAAAAGAGAGTGATCGGAGCAAGACAGCGTTTACTGTACGGGATAAACAGTATCAATTTAAACGAATGCCGTTCGGGTTGGCGGGTGCACCGTTCACGTTCAGAAGATTAATGACACTACTGCTCAAGAATCTAGATAATGTCGAGGTATATGGCGACGATGTAGTTGTGTACAGTCAAACAGAAACAGATCACATCAAACATGTGGAAGCGGTCTTAAAGCGAATTGACGAATTTGGACTTCGGATTAATAAGGACAAGTCGCAGATAGCGAAAAGTAGCGTCACATTGTTGGGACATAAAGTGGGAAATGGAGAAATAAAACCATTGCCGGAGAAAATTCTTACCATAAAAAATATTGCAGTACCTAATTCGAAAAGGAAGTTGAGACAGTTCCTGGGAAGAGCGGCGTTCTACAGTCGGTTTGTCAAAAATTTCAACGAAATAGCAGCACCCTTATATAAGTTATTGAGCAGCACCAAGTTTACGTGGACTGAGACTGCCGAACAAACGTTCAACCGAATCAAAAACATGCTAGACGATCGCCAGATGACGCTTAGACTGCCTGAACCGGGAAGACTGTTTACAGTGGCCACAGACGCGAGTGATCATGGTATAGGTGCTGTGTTGAGTCAGGCTGATAGAGTGGTGGAATACGCGAGTCGCTTCCTCACACCTGCTGAACAGAAGTATTCAACCATCGAAAAGGAGTGTTTAGCGATCGTGTGGGCAGTGGAAAAATGGAGACCATACCTTTTAGGTAGACGATTTCACATTGAGACGGACCATAAACCCCTGCAGTGGTTGAAAACAGCAAGAGACCCCCGAGGGAAGTTGGCGCGATGGATGATACGCCTGCAAGAATACGATTTCAGTATCGGCCATGTTCCAGGAAAAGAAAACGTAATGGCAGATTACTTGTCAAGACCAGACATGGAAGCCGACCTGCCATTAACAGCATACGCGGTGAATAGTTTAGAGGGAGACCCATTAGAACTCGTCCGGCAGCAGAAAGCTGACCCTAACCTTCGAGAGGTAATCAGAGTGATCAAAGAGGGAGCAGACGTAGATAAACGAACAATGGACAAGGAGGTAATAACGCTGCTTCGGCAAAAGGACCGACTGAGAGTGAACTCATATGGAGTGCTGACCTGGCAGGACGATGATGAAAATTGGGTGGCGGTGATCCCGAAAGACTGGCGGCGTAAAGTGATACACGAGTGTCACCAGGTAGCACATACAGGCATCGCAAGAACGACGGACTTACTACGACAAAGTGCATACTGGCCGAGCATGAGAGACGATGTGGCTGAATACGTATTAACCTGCCAGCAGTGTCAGCTAATGAAAAGCGATCGATACACACAACCGCCATTACAGTCAATCCCAGTAACCGCAGTCGGTGATCTATGGTCGGTTGATGTGATGGGACCGTTTCCACAGACGGCGAGCGGTAACCAGTATCTGTTAGTGATGACGGAACATGCCACACGTTGGGTAGATGCCGTACCCATTGCAGACCAGCGGGCAAGGACAGTGACCGAGGTGGTAATCCGGCATATTGTAGCGTGTCACGGAATACCGAAGATGATATTAACTGACCAGGGTCCCTGTTTTGAAAGTGACGAGTTTAAAGCCCGTTTAAAGCAGTTTGGCATCAAGAGAATACGAACTACACCATATCATCCTCAGACAAACGGGCTTACAGAGAGAAACAATCGGACGTTAAAGGAATGGTTAGCATCAAAAGGAGGAAATTGGGAGAAAGAGTTACCATTGATTTTGCTGGCACATCGTTCCTCAACACAAGGAACAACCAAGAAGTCACCTTTCTTGCTCATGTATGGCAGACAACCACGACTTCTAATGCATAATAAGACCTGGCCACAACAACAGAAGTGGACGACAACAAGGTTAAGAAAAGAGAGGAGAGAGGCAATAAGGAACGTGGAAAAGAAACAAATATCAGACACAAAGAAGGTAGAACAACAGAGGGGAACGTGGAAACCCTTTGCAGTGGGGGACCTAGTAAAGTGTAGAGAACGAAAAAGTAACATAGCAGGGGGAGCAGGGTCGGGGAAGCTGGCCCCAAAATGGGAAGGACCGTATGTAATCACGGAGAGACGCGGCTCGGTCTACACGATCCGGAGAGAAGACAAGCAGAAGCGCGTAAATGCTAGTCAACTACAGAGATGGTTTCAAGATCATCATGGGTGTGAATCACGAAAAGCACCAAAGAACACAGCGGTACGGAGATCAGAAAGACTACGACAGCAACTTGTTAAAAGGGGGGACGAGTGTGGTGCGTGCTACTTATATTGATATAAGTAGTATGTAACGTGAGTCAAAAGAACGTAATGGCTGGCAGCAGAAGATGGAGAAGATCAAGAAAAGAAGAGCGAGAAAACAATGGAATTTGTAAGAAATCGCATGAGCAATGAAATGCGAGACAATGGATTGATGTTTGCAACAGCAACAGCCCGGTTTGATATGATAGAATGATATTTTGCAAATTAACGATTTACTATATGGTTTTTCTATTTTACCAAGTAATTCTGTAATTTGTCCTAAATACAATTTGGCTGTCCTCACCCGTGTTCTTCTTCACTACACCTTTACTAATTTATGTGTTCTCTTCCTTTATGTACCAACCTGACTATACCTTGTAAATCGGTGTGGATTCTCTAATCCTATTTACTATGGGTTGTGAAAACTGAAAGAATGAAACTATGATATATATATATATATATATATATAAACTTACCTGGATTCTTGCGACTTTATCTTGTTCCAATGGTTTAACCAAATCAGCTGTTGGTTCATCTAATAATTCAGTTGATAACTCTAACAAAACACGACCACGATATGCTACACCTTGTCCTTTGCCTAAGTTTAATGCTTCGTATTTGTCCGGAAGATCACTGTATTCTCTTGGAGAACCATAGAGATTGATAAAACTTGGACCAAATGTTGGTAAGAAGCCTGTATATAGAGATTATGAACGTATACATATGTATACATAAAAGGCAAGAAGCATGCTAGAGAGCACGAGGTATTATTGTCAAGAACGAAATAATGAAGGTTAATGGGGACTTTGGGGACTATTCGTCAATGAATAAGTACATATTTTTGAATGCGTATTTCACGTTTTATCTCACGGACTGACTTTGATAACCATCGAAAACCAAGACGCAAACCCTTGTGAAGTTGTAGAATACTACTCCTGACTAGTCTAATGATAGGACTAGATATCTATTTAGTTTGGGGATCCAATGGAAAAAACACAGGTAGCCTGTTTATGACATGGAGCCGTAATATGATAGAAAAATTTATGCGACTGGTATATGTCGTTCCATCACGGATCTTAGAGGTACCGTAACTCAATCGCTTAGGAATTTATAAAATATGGTTCTCAATAGAAGCATGTTAAATAACATCAAAGCTTCAGTTGAATTAATACATAGATTGATATACAGTAAAACAATATATTTAACTGGTACTTTTAGATATTGACTAGGTATCAGTGATTTTAAAGTTGATTTATAATATTATTAATACTGGGACGCAGCAACGAAGCTAACTTTGCATACCGAATTTCGTTTATTGAAGCTTGAAAGCTAACTAAATTATTCAATATTTTAGATTACCTCAATTTAGATGTAGGGACTTTTGACCTAGTTGTTTAGCTGGCCTAAACAAGAACTGGTTTATCAGTTTGGACTGCATATAAACAGTTCACAAACATATTTACACATGTTAGTATACTTTGCATTGTCAGTAATCATTCTTGTAAAGGCCATAGGAACAAAAAGAAGTAGGTCAGATGTGTTCGAACAATGACGGCTTCTAGTTAATCGCAGAAGTCGACAGGTTTATGCCTGTTTTGTATTATTTACCAAGCTCACAAAAATAGAGATTGACGACATTTTGTCTAAAAAAGAAATTAAATATTCTCTAGAAGTTATTGAGATTTCAAGTTTAACCTGCAGTAATCATATCAAAAACTTTTTATTTTCAATCAAAAAAAATTATCATTGACACAGAACTTTAAGTTTTATTTGATTCCGATTTAAGCATCTCAGAGTCGTAGAAGGTTAAACAGACGGCTAAGAGATCGATATTATCATTTTTCACTGATGAATAGACATAATAAAAATGTTACTACTATCCCTTATTAAAAGAAATTATTTAAAATGAAGTAACTTGGTTGATATAACATATCAATATTTGTTACTGTACAACTTGAAAATAAATGAAATGGGATAAAAAAAAGAGAATTCAATAGAACACACAACAATTGGATGAGCAAGTAAATATTATTTGATTGATTCAGATTGTTCATAAATAGCATTGTAATACGACGACCCCATGAGAAACTTTTAATCATTCAGGTATTAAGTATATTTATATGCATGCAATATATATGATAACTGAGTAACAATTGCAAACACAAGTGTAAACGGTATACAAAGCAAGTGCTGACTAAATAATAAACAGAATGACGCAAGCGCAATGTGAATCCATAAACCGAAAATGTATAACTCAGCATACCTTCGCTACCTATATTAATGCAAAAATATAGACATACATTAACTGATGGAATTAACTGGATGTTATGACCACACGCACACATAATCAAGCAGCTTATGCATATAAGAAAATAGTGTGCACACCAAGCAAAACTCTAACTAAACATCGATGATAAGTTAGTTGACAAGATAAATTATATAAATATATAAGGAAACAAGTTAATTTGTTAAAAAATGATTGAGTGAGAAAATGGTTGGCATATAAATATTTGTCACATATACAGAGAAACTATGTCAAGGACATTTTTTATTCAACAACTGAGGTGGTGATGTGATTCTGTTCCAGTTATGGCTATTTGATAAATTTGTTTAAGTACATCATGTACATCGGTAGAGTTGAAGGTTCTAGGTTATAACTGTGAACTGCTCAAGTTCGAATATAGTTTGAAATAACTATGTAATGAACTTTGCTTTTCGCCGATTTTTGAAATAACTCAAATTCGCAAGAAAACTATCACTAAAATACTGTCAGTAATAACAGTTGGTTTGTTTAGCAGTTAGTGTTATCATTGTTTTCTAAAGAATCAATCACCTCCTGAATAGCTAATACTAATGTTTCCTTTTGTGACACTGGGTCTCATGATTGCTAATCTCACGTGAAACAACGTCTTCCTAAATATGACAGAGACTCAGTGCTGACAAGTTCATTAAGCTTGAAACCTAGATGCAATTGTCTCCTTCACCTGCCTTAAAGACTACGGTAGAAGTGAGTCTTGTAGATCAGTAGCGACACTATGATACTGTAGATAGAACTCAATCCTCACTCAAGACTGGATAATATGATACTAAAGAATTTAAAATAGTCAATCCTTTTACGATGTAACTTATCGTATTTTACTGACTTCACTGTTATTCTTTATTCGGATGATAAACTTGTGTTATTACGTGGATTATGGTATTGTAACTAAAGATTATTTATTCCAGTCAATTTTTTTTACCTCATGAGTTGTGAGCATTAAAATATAGCTTGAGAAAAAAGAGGTTCGTACACAGTCTTTTCTCACTGCATAGCTAGGTTGGTCAATTATTCGTAGATAATGCAACAGTTGAATTCGATCATAGACTATGAATCTAACAATAATAATGGTATACCTTGGTCGCCGAGTCGTAATCAAATAGTTTGAGTTAATTCAATTATCAATATAGAAGGACAGTCATCAAGTGTCATCACTTTAATTCTGTTTGAATTATACCACTTGCAATTTTACATAAAAACTTTCAAAGAAATCATTTTGAAGTTATAAGATAGTGAGTATTTCATTTTTTTCTAGCGAACAGAAAAGAATTCATAATGGGATACATTCAATAAGACCCTAGTAAATTATAACATGGACAAATTCTAGCAGAAAATTAACTGTGAATGTTAGTAGTATTTATGAAATCATCTTTATCAGAAAATTTATTGACTATTTAAATTAATTAAAATTTCACTAACATGCATTCTTTATAGAACCATAGCTTTGTGCACATAAACTTAGTATAAACAAAAACTAAATATATGTGAAACCTCCACCGTGTATTAGTAGTATTTACATACCATTGGTTCCTTGTGAAGAGGTTTCAGTTAAGCTTATTGTAGCTGTCCCGATTGCGTCATCCTTAGAACCTCGATCCCTTAATATAAATAATAAGTAGGATGGATAATTGTGAAGACCATCTCTCATTTTCAGTGATTTATGATATTATAAACACTGGAAGCAAAATGAATTAAATCACTCTTTTACACTTTCAAGATGATACTGGGATAATTCCACATTGAGAAGTGATAAAGGTTCACTTGTCATATTTTGTTCAATATTACCCTATTGTTAAGTAATAGATATAACCTTTTTTTAATTTTTTGACTTGTCGAAAAAATAAAGGTCGCTAACAGTAGACAAATAATAATGGTTAAATTTTTACGGTATGAAATGAAAGAAGTGAGATTTGATTGCAAAAGAATTTACACAATTTCTGATCTAGAACACTGTTAGACAAATATCAATGGTGAAATTATGCAGATAAAGAAATGACTGAAGCATATTGTGTCAGTTATATACATAAAAAGATATATCAAGATATTCCATAGCACGTGATCTATGATTAAAGTAGATGTTACATGACGAAAAATATGTATGATATCAAAAAAACCACGAAGTATTACTCTACATGTGTTAGTTATTAATAACATCCCATGATAGTAGAGGCAATGAGACAACAATACAACTAACCATCAGTGTCATCACGAAAAGCAGAAATTTGTGATATAGAAATAACCCCAGTTCCTATAGGATCATTATAACCAATACGATCCCTGAATAATTGAAAATAAGGTACGCAGTGTATTAAACATAAAAATAAAAACGACTCTTGGTAAACACTTGCTTACTGATACAGGAATAGGGAATTATTTACTGTATGATTTACCTTTCGCCTGCTTATGGTTTTATTGTGCTCCATGAGTTTGTTTATGTACATCGGTTTTTAGTCATCATAGTTGTAGCATTATTGGTTAGTTGATAATTAAACAAAAAGATGTTTTATTTTATTTTTGGCTTGTTCAGTTTCAGGGCCCTTTATAACTAGAACTGTTGACATTCATTACTGTAACATTTTATTGCTTAAAGTCGAAATTTACTTGAACCGCCTTAATTTGACAAGTCAATTTTTAGTTGTGTTTATAAACAATCTAATTTTATTTATTTTAAATTAGATAAATGTCAAGTTTATTTTAATTACTTTGAAAAATGTATTCATGAGAATATTTGGTAAAATTCTGGTAGTTTATATATATATATATATATATATATATATATATATATATAATGTGTTGAATTGAAAAGCCGAAGTTGCTCAGAACATTTTTGGACGAAATGGCCGTCTAATGCTTCCAGGCTTTCCATGGTTACCTAGCTTCAATTGACTCATCATTTCAACTATTGAAATAATTTATTCATCAGCAGATGTGAAGTAATATCTTATGTAACGGTTCTTAAAGTTACAATTAAAGTATGGGCGTTGATGATATTATTTCGTTAGTTGAATTGAAGTAACGAGAACAAAAATACTCAAACCATCAAATGATGATTTGAAAGATGAATATTTCAATCGATGAACTCCATATTTGATTCATCACATTAAGGTATACATTTATTTTATGAAAGAATATAAACAATCACTTTTTTATGACAATATTGACTCAGTGTATGTAAATGATGCTGCATTTTTAAACAAAAACTCTGAAAATCCTAAATTTACAGGTGGATATACATGATTTGGGAATGAGTAATAACACAATACACAGAACGTATATTTCCTTTGAACACACCAAGGAGTGACTGCTTTAATAAACATCAAAGCGTTATTAATTTGAGCAAAGTGAATATTTTAATTTTTTGATTGAGATCATCAAATCGATCAATGTTAGACAGCCATTGGAAACCTGGAAGCACTAGATGGCTGTTTTGTCCAAGTATAGGACTACTTTGCAGTGTACATATACGATTCTGCATACGGTACTCGACCCCAGGACCCTCGGTCTCGTGCGCATACGCCTAATCTTAAGACCATTGAGCTGAGGAGTCTTATATATTAGGACGAAACGGCCATCTAGTGCTTGCAGGTTTCCAATAGTGGTTTAATATTAATTCATGATCTCAATGAAAAAAATTAACAATCTCCACAATCCCATACTGATGAATATTTTATTCTCGTTTAGGATTTTTGAAAAACACCTACCTGCTCAATAGCTGTGAACAGATGATGTACATTTGCTATTTTATGTACTTGATAATAGGCTTGCTTTTTGTTGTGAATACAAATACTTTAATACAAATATGTCTAGCTGATCAGTCTAGGATATATTCAATCAGGTGTTTTCTGTGGGATTCTTATACTTAATAAATTCACACAGTATCTTTTACAATTTACAGCTACATATAATTTGGCGAAAATGAAAACTTTATTGAAAGATTGTATTAAATATGCCAGTGTAAATGAATTAAGTGATCTCGTTTAAATTTTTAAATGCCCACTAATCGTACTCAGTCTAACGTTGGTGAAGATTGTTTTTACTCGAGCAAAAAATCGATCAACATTGTAATTTTCCTCAAAATATGATTAACGTCACCTGCAGCTCTTTTAAGGTTACTGCCGGCTAAAAGAGAAGGGTTTGGGATGTAGTCAGTATACCCAGACCGAAAAAAACAAATTAAATGACTTAAACTCTACATCAAGAGTTGAACGAAGAATTATGAGACGTCACGGTGAAAGCCCATATTCTTCGGAAGTCATCAAGTTGATGGATAAAGATCAAAAAAGCACGAAACTCAACGTGTCATGAGGTTGTGAGCCAAAAGAAGCGCCATCATAAAGAATGGATTTCAAAAAAAGGAAGGATCAGAAGACACCAATTAAAAACAACCAACCAAGAACATTTTGATTCAAGCCACAGATCAAATACATAGAAGAAAACACGCAGTTGAAGAAGAACATTAGATCCGACAAAAGGAAATACATGGAAGACTTAGAGAGGACAACGGATAAAGCTGCAAGAAAAGGAAATATCAGACAACTATATGATACAACAAAAAAACTAGCAGAGAAATATAATAAACCAGAGCCACCAGTCAGGAACAAAGAAGGCAATTCAATCACTGAGACCCAAGAACAGTGGAACAGATTGGTATAACACTTTGAACAACTTATTAATAGGCTAGCTCGACTGAATCAACCGGACATCGAAAGAACAGCTACAGACCTTCCTTTAGATGTCACTCTACCAACTTCGGAAGAAATCAAGATGGCCGTCAGACAAATCAAGAGTGGGAAAGCAGCAGACACTACTATTATTATCAGGAAAGAGTTTCAACAGTGTTGCTGAACTGCATGAAAGATTCGGTAGACATCCACCTTCCAGATCAACAGGCCGCATTCCGTAAGGACCAGTCGTGTATAGACCAAAAGCGCGACAGTGAGAATCATTGTTGAACAGTGAATTAGATGGAATTGTCACTATACATCAAATTTCTTGATTATGAGAAACCGTTTGGCAGAATGGAAATGAGAACTTCGTGAAAACTTCTTATGCATAATGATGTATCTGAGAAAATTGTCAACATCATGCTGAATTCATACGACTGACCACACTGCACAGCCGTGAATGCAGGACAGCTGACAGAAGCATTTTGAAGGGAAACAGAAAAGAGGAAGACCAAAGTAAACACTGCGTCGAAAATTGAAAGCATACATCAAAAGGATGAATAGCAACTAAAAACAAACAGAAAGGATTATCCAGGACAGAGTTGCTGGTGGGTGGCCTGTGCTTCGCCACGATGGGCAACAGGCGTAAGTAAGTAAGTATAAGTATGTTTATTCATATCCCCTTCTATTCCATTGAAGCGCATCTAATTAATGTTTGAAGCAGAAAAACGATGAATGACCAAGTGTGTCTCCTTTTAACCCGTTGGTTACAACTAGACTCTCATTAGACAATATTATAGAATGATGCTTTTAAAAAACTGTAGGAAAATTTAAAGAAATCCTGAAAATAGTTTAATCCATGAACTATTGAGCATATAAATTATTTAGAGTCAATATAATATAAGCATACCAATCAAAGAACGTAAATTTCAATTTCTCACACATTGACGGGAACTGTAAAAGAGAAAGCATAAAGTAACAGGAAATTTAATACTACGAGTATAACTTATGGTAGTTTAGTATAGATTTCTTATAACTTAAAGATGAAATTAACCTGATATAATCTATAGAGAGCCATTGAATAAACGTTGAAGGTCTGATTCTCACCATTTTGGGGCCCTCTAATGATGAATAGTAATGGATTTGTACAGGATCGAAACCATGGATTTCAGATCGCGGGATTAGGACGAATACTTTTACTTTCCAACCAGACGGATATACAATAAATATATTGATATTACATTCTTTTAGCTAGCTGATTTATTTGTGAAGACCTGATTGTTGTTCAGCGGAACATCAGAGTTTACTTCATACAAAAACCTTCTCCCTAGATGAGGTAGGCAATAATGATTTTGTATAGAACCACCATAAAATCCTCAAAGTCAGATCAGTTAGTTCACGGATAGCATCCAACCGAAGTGTTACTGTTATAGTACAACAGTTAACACAACAATAAAATAATACATGTAATGTGAATAATCAAACTAGGCCAAAATTAATTGACGTAGTGATCAGCGCAGACAATATTGCTTGTAAACATGATTAATATGAAATAAACTTTGGTGTGGGTTAATTTGAAACAATTCCAGAAATATTGTTTCACTGAGAATACGGTAGTCTGCAATGTCTAGCGTAAATTTAAAGAAAGTATCAGTCTCGTGGTGAAAATAGTCCTCTCTTCTGTGATTTATTAAATATGAACAAAAATCACAGAACATTTGTACATTTCTAAACAAAAATATGATACGTGGATACAATACAAAAAGTAACTTAAGGACATCATCTTATGTATAGTCGTGGATAATCATTGATGTAGAGCCATATGCTAGGATAAAACGGTTATCCAGTGCTCTCTGGTTTCCAATAACTGTTCAGCTGGTTCATAAATTATGTTCATGCATATAAGTTTAATGAAAACATAAAATTAATTAGAATTAAATATTCTTATTATGACATTAAGAACGGGAGTGAGGGAAACATTATTTCTTAACAAACACTTCCTCATCAAAGCTACACACTAATATATTTTACAGTTAAGAACAAAATAAATACTAAATTGTTGGGGAGACCAAGAGCACTCCTCGAAAAAAGCCTAGATGGGCCCTGAGAACACTGGCAAACATTTTATTCAATTGTCATTGAGAAGTATCGCTGAAACATCTAGATAGGGAAAAACCATGTGCCACATTTCTGGTTTTCGTCTTTATCTAACCTGCTACTATGTTTAGTAGGGTTCTAGAAACTTTCAGAAGCCGAGATCATCTGAAATACCATAAGTACTCTCTATTTACTGTACATAAACTATATTTGGAGTAAAGTGGTCTTTTCATATTTTATGCCTTTTCTCATGTGTTCTATTTGTTGTGTAGATTTAGCCTGAAGTTATCAGAAGAGCTAAGGAAACCTATTCAATCGTTCAGCCAGAAGATTTGTCACAAATAAATAATGGTTACTAAACTTAACAATTTTTTTCTCTAAAACAATAATCAATCAGCAGCTCAGCAGATGCAGAACTAGATCTGAAGAGAAGATTGTATAACCGGTGAAATAAAGAAATTCGTTACGTAACAATAAGAGTTAAGTAAGCTTGAAATTAAGCAATTTAGCACAAATGTTTATTGCTATTTGTTAACTGATAACATGAAATTAATAAGACAGGTACAGATAGTAATTAATTATTTTTTGTTGCTTGTTTGAATCTTCCCATTGACGTTTATGACTGCAACTGATTAGTCTCTTATTGGCATATGTACATATTGTGAGGATTGCCTCCATATTGATTTAAGTCACAAACATTATAAGCAGATATGAATGATGGCAGGCACATCCATCTGACGAGTCCCGAAAATGACGAAAAACGCGTCCCAGATTGCACTGATAGCCACCATCTATCTCTACCTATAATACAGATAGTAATTTACTGACTGGCAACTGATTGCTTCAGTATTATGCGTATTGTTCAAACTTTTAATTTTTCCTGCGAGTTAATTCAAATATTCCTAACTGACCTGAATGTTCATTGTAATCTCTTCGTTCCATTCAGGATGATCTGTTCCATATTTTGTACTAGATTTAATCTAGAAAACGAACAAATAAAGCAGTAAGTAATTCTGAACATTTTAATATTTGGTATGTGCCGTAGCCAAAGATTTCTTTCACTTTTCTGTTCGTTTAGTGAGTCATTATGGATATTGGAATATTTTCTTCATTGAAGGTTTTCCTTCAACCACCAACTGTTAGTATATTCATATTTTGCATTTGAGATGCTTAGCTGGGCTACACTCAAATTGTCCAAAACACACAGTTTTGGATAAATCCTGCAACAATAATGTGCTCAAACTCTTCACAATCCCACAATCCATAAAATTAATCAAAAACTATGGGATGGGATCTTTTTCGTTGGCTTCAAATCATTCATTACTGTTTAGGTAGTTTTGACCGGATGTCGAAATTTTATTATTTTTATATTTATAATCATTTCATCGCGAAAAAAATAGAATTAGTTGGTTCAGACATATGGAAAATTAAGATTTAAAAGTTACTATAAATAGATGATTACTGAATCAATGGGATAAATTGTAATGAACTCATTTCTAATAGGTGTTAAATTATGAATGCGAGATTTCACTATTATTAGAAGTTTCGTATAACTTATAAAGTAATGATGAATTTCGACTTTATGATCCATACAACGTGTAAGAAAGTACTTCAAAAAAATGTTATTTAAGAAGCGTTAAACATTGCGACATCATCCAAACTAATACAGAAGATCGGAAGATATATATCAGATAATAAATTGTTAATAAAATGTAGAACTATTGGTATTATGTCGCCACTTGATTGATGTTGGAAATTTGGACGATTGTATACTTACTCCGTTGTTTGAAAGTAACGTGTTCTCTGCGATACCTAAATTTCGTAAGTTTATTCTGTTTCAATTGTCTTTGAGAACTCCATAGAAGCTTTTTGCTAAGTCAAGACATTTATCTAGTTCTCGCTAGCTTTTAGTGTAATCTTAACGAATAACACTTGGCGACGAATATCAGTATAACTAAATTTTTATTGAACTAGAAAGCGTTCTGAATTTCTTATGGAAAGATGGGGTCTTTATAGTTGGTTCATTTAATCGTTAATTAAATGTTGACCATAAAAATCGAATTCACACTCAATGTGGTAGACAACTCCATTGACAGAGTGAAATATTAGTAACCAGGAAATATCTAGTTATATATCTGCCTTAAATGGAAATTTCAATATTTTTTGTCATTACAGCTCATACCATTTAATTGCAGATAATGTATACACCGAGTTAATTAATTAAATTTTAGTTCTCGTGTTAACAGTCAATAAGATTTGGACAGCGATCTTGAATTTGAATCAATTTCTAGACATGAAACATTCAATTTATCAATTATATTATAAACATTTTAACTATACATTGATATGTTCTGAAAACTTTGGCAAAATATTAACTTCTAGATAAGTGAATCGTTCTCACATCAAATATCATTCTGAAGTATTCAGAACAAATAAAACTACTTTAATCATTGTAAAACAAGGTGAATATATATATATATATATACATTCAACCTGTGAAAATTTCTAAAATTCTCCACAAAAACCCATTCTGATAATAATAATCAACTGTTCACTAGTGACTGACTTTAGGAAAAACTCCTGAAGTTCTAGTGAGAAGCCGTTACCAGTGGAGTTCAACCGGTCTGTTGTGAGATAACAACTCACTGAAGACAATGGTGTATGGTGGCGCACCTTCGTGGATTGGTTGAAGTTAGACATTAACACCGTTGGATGCCGGCTCAGTGGTCTAGTGGTTAAGTGCTCGCGCGCGAAACCAGTAGGTCCTGGGTTCGAGCCCCGTGTCGTGCGGGATCGTGTATGCGCACTGCTGAGGAGTCCCATACCAGGACGAAACGGCCGTCCAGTGCTTCCAGGTTTTCAATGGTGGTCTAGCTTCAACTGACTCATGTTTTCAACCTGTGAAAATATATATATATATATATATATATATATATATATATATAAAGAGAGAGAGAGAGAGAGAGAGAAAGGGAAACCAGGATAAGGTCTGTTGGTTTTAAATTCATTTTGAGGAATTTGACGTTTCCAATTTTATTAACTTTTGCTTCATGACTGTTAACCTCACTTCCCATCACATACTGACATCTCGTAGTGAGCTATAAAATCATTAGGGTTCACTGGACAACTATATTTTTCAAATGATAAATGATTGATGGTTAATAAAATGCGAAAGAGATCATTGACTTAACAACTAACCGATTTCCCAGCAAATGAAACAAGTGCGTAGGGATCCACAAACTCTTTTTCTTCATCGGATGTAGAAAGTAAATTCTTGATTCCTTTAAAAGCATCTGAATCCACTGAAATCAAACAACAGTTTCAAAAACTTAAGATTACAGCATTAAAATATGTTAAACATCTGATCATATTATTATTATTATTAATATAAGTAGCTAACTAACTTAACATAAAATTGTCAAGTTTTATAGGGATGTTCAAAGACCCAATTTTAATAGACGTTTGTATACATGGTTGATCCGTCTTACTGATGTCCTTGTTGGGAATCCAAACAATATAGATTTATTAAAGCCTACTTACTGATTAGATTTTTGGCTTAGCAAATACTGGATACACCAGTCACAACGGCCAAATTATACTTTCTTTCTTAAAACGATATAATACATTATATTACGGATAAATGCTTCTATATGGTCCAATCAAACTATAAAGCATCTGTTAGGCCATCGCTTGCCATGTCTGGAGTAATTTGGTAAAAGTATTTAGGTTCGAACTGTTTTGAACAGTGGAAAAATTCCAATATGGATAAAAAACACCTGGGACTTTCATCCAAAAGGAGTCGACTTCAGTCACATTTATTACGTTCAGAAACCTGAAACCCAATAACACAACAGCTATTTATATTATGCAAAACCTAATATGCTTGATGTATACCACTTACTGTCCAAACTTCTACAAACAGAATTCGTCTGTTTTAATCAATCCATTTTCATCCAAACATGTAAATGATTTATTTAGCGCTCAACTGGTATTTATAACTTATTTTGAATACTTTATACAATAATACACTAAATAGTAGATATAACAACCTTTGCAAATTAAGAGAAGGGGTTGAAGGAAGATTACTGGAATTCGTAAGTGATATACATCACAAATTGGTCTTCATAAACGAGCACTGCATAGATATTTCATACTTTTATGGAACTACACAGCAGTGTACACTCAAGATCCTGCTACCATGACTGTATGACCATTGAGGTTTACTTATTACAATTATTCTAAATTCATCAACTTCGTTAGTCGAAATAAGCATGCACCTTAAAATAGGCTGATGATTTTTATCATTGATTTAAACGTATATGTGTAGAGTCTGTTGTGAGAATTCATTGAATATGTATACTTAGTTCATAAATTTTTCTTACTATAAAAATGGGAATTTTGTAAATAAAAAACAAATTAGTGTATTTTTAGATTATAGCGTGTAATGGAATCAATTTGTCCAGTTTTGAAATCGTCAACTGGATGAATTTGAATCTCACTTTTGATCTTCATGTTAAGAATAAACTCAGAACCTAGGGCTTTGAATCCGAATCCTTCTTCTACGACGTTAACGAATTTAGGTAGCTACCGACTTGCTCACTTAGCATGAAGTCAATCTCAAGACTTTGTATTATACGGTTTTTGATGTATTCTAGACCACAAACATATTCCCAAACTCATCAGCAACAGGAAAATTTAAACCTTTACTAACGAAGTCTCAATAGCTAGTATTTTTAGCATTATAAGTATATATAGGGATGCTTTGTTCAAACTACAAAGCACAAACAAAGTAAGTTTAACCTACTTCTTGGCAAATCTTCAGCCATATATAAAAGAATTTTAAAAATTGCTGGTCTCAATTGAACACCAGCAGGACGTAGAAGATTTCTATAAAACAAATAAAAAGTAATAATGTGTTTCATGTAATTTATCAGTAATTTGTAAGATTGAACAGAAATTGAATAGATTATGGAAGGAAAACATAGTTTTATTCAGTGAAATATTAAGTTATAAACATAATTTTATAGAAATTGCTGAAAATAAATAGTCTGTTTATTACTGGATATTTTACAGAAGTTATATTCTTGACTTCGAATGATATTAATAAAGTTGAAATAACCGACAAAAAAAGTGAAAAGAAACACTTATTGCTTTGTAAACGTGATTGTCATCATCAACCAATCATTCACTGTTGAACAAATCATTTTCTCTTGATAAATGTAAATTTTATGACATGGTCAGTTTACTTGTAATATTCATTCAGCTGTTCATTGGTACTGCTCTGGCAGCGGGGGAGTTGATGTCGAGTGGAGTGTTCTGGCGGGGCGGCGTTGGCTGAATCGGGTGCTGCCGCCGGAGAGGAGCGGTAGAACGTGCGGCTGCTGGGCAGACATCAGATGTCGATGGCTCAGAAGGTCGCTGGAGAAAAGGCGGTTAAAGTTCCAGGTGCCGGGTGGGTATCTCATGTTGAAGCCTCGGCAGGTTGATGGAGCTATAGGGGTCAGTGCGCCGCAGACTCGACATTTTCACAGAGCGTGTGACACAGACTGTAGAAAAGAGGAAAGTGGCACGACGAGCAGAACTACCGCAAGAACGATTACTTTAAGGGGTAGAACGAGTGTGCTGTGAGCTACTTATATCCACACAAGTAGTATATAACAATGGTCAGGAATAGAATGTATTTCAGTTGAAGATCGAGAAGGAAAGAACGGGAACAGAAAGCTATTGGTATGAAAATGCACGAACAATGAAATTTGAGACGATGGACAGATATGCGACAAGGAACAGTCAAGTTTGATAGGATGGATTGTTATTTTGTAAATCCAGTATTTAATGTATGGTCTTTAGATTTTAGTGAGATATTCTTTAATTTCGTATTCACATACATTCGATTGTTCTCACTTGTGTTCTTGTTCACTGCACTGTCTTTTGCAACATAGATGTTTGGGGATGAACATGGACTTAATGGTTTTATCTAATGATTAGTCTCAACTTTAGTGATTTTATTCACTTCAATTATTGTATCAATTATCTATATTATTATAATTTAACAAAATGCTACAACTCAGTAAAGGTATATGGTGTAACTTGGGATGACATGATAACTTAATGAATAGAATGTTAATGATTATAAACCAGTTGAAAGAAAACCTGTAGAATGAAAATAATATAACACAATTTATACCGTTGTGATGATATTTATTTAGTTGTCTTGATTAGAAAAATTAAAGTTCTGTTGTTGTCTCATCTTCAGCTTTCATAATTATGTTCGATTCTTATCGTCGAAAGAAAACTCATGATTAATCGTTCTGGTCTATCCAGTCTTAATAGATCAGCTATTTGTACTAGAAATATTTTAAATCTTTATTATTTATAGCACAATCGATTTGCACAAAGTATCATAAATGTTAGAGTGGATCTTTAGGAAATTCGTTTTAAATCGTGATTTATGTTGTGAAACGATTGAATTTCATAATGTGAAACAATGAACTTTATGTCAACAACATAATAATACTAAGTTCATCGTCAAATTGAAAGGTTTGAGTACAATCATGACTGTTCAACAGTAAATATTTTCGTAAAATCTTGAACCAAATGGTTTTTCACTGTCTTACTCAGTGACTTTTTGTTAATTTATCCGAATAACTTCGATTCATTATCATAAGTCATTTCCAAACATTCTTTTTTGTAAATTAAATACGCAGACATAAGAAATAGTAGAAATTGGTAGCGCAATAACGTGAATTGACTAAAGATAAAGATGTAAACTTATTGGTATGAAGATTAAGTGCAATCTGAGGACTGAATTTTTTTAAGTTCAATTCCTGTTATGAGCATAAATACGCACTCCTGTGGATTCACTTATAAGGACAAAACAACTGACCATTAATTTCCAGTTTTCAATAGTTTTTAAAGCTAATCCATGGCATAAAACTCTAAAATTAGGCAGCAACCGTAATCCTCTATACTGAAAACAATCTGAACTGAATATGACGAGCTTTTTCCAGAAAAGTACATAGAAGAAGAAATTCAGATGTTTCAGAGGTTAAAGGTTCATTCAATTCTCATGAATAACACGTTATTTAGCTTTTATGTTTATTGTATTTGCTTGATATATATATATATATATATATATATATATATATATATATATATATATATATATAATTGTCAAAGCAATCATTTGAACATGTATTGTGAATATAAATAATTATGTACTTATGTGTTATTTTATCACAAAGAAATAAATCAGTTTCACTAACCCTTCAATATCTTCTTTCTCATCGGATTCACCAACTTTCATAATCTATGGTGAGAAAAATAATAACAATGCTGGTTATTGTTACTAAAATTATTATTATTATTATCATCAACAAAATAGCACACAAGAAAGTTATTCAGCATGATGAAACGTGAACATGTAAAAGTGTTTGGTGTCTAGTTACTTTACAAAACATTCAGTGACAAAGATAAAATGACTTTAACTGAATTATGAATAGGAAATTCAACATCATTTTGATTTTGTCTGATCAAAATTACTGTCTTCTAATTAAAATGTTTTATGGAGAGATTAATCACAACAGTAATAAGAATCATGTACTCAAAATATATGTACATGGTTTGTGCAATGAAAACGCGAACTGAGCTACTGGGATTCTTAGTTATGATAACCATCAAACCCCTAAGTCGATGCAAACATGAATGGATGATTTTAAATAGACAAAAGTTTAGAATTTCGATAGTGCATATGATTTTAAAAACGCCAATGCGATTGAGAATATTGTGTACAAATATCTTCCTGAATTAGTTGACTGAATGCTAAACCGATCAGAAAAATCTGGCTCAAACATCTAATCTTCCTGAGACATTCACTACTGGTGATGAAGTCTGATATTATAAAAACGGTATACAGCTTACGTTTTAAAAAGGTTCAAGAATATTTTAAAAGATGCAAATGATGGAGTGTCTTGAAGGGGATAAGATTAATTTACTTAAAAATTTACAAAATAAAGCTCTTAAGATCTCAGTGAACTTGCTTATTGAACATCATATTTACACTTTGAAAAAACCATACTGTAGAAACCAAGAGACAACGCTTACCGGAGCTTCGTCTCCAGGCCCTAGAATAACAACTGATATTTTTAAATAACCTTTAGCACCAGACATTGGATCTTCGGGATTACATAGTAGCAACCATTTATTTAACATTGCATGACGATCGCATTCATAAACTATTGATAAATCGAATTTGAAAGAACCAATCATTGAATCACGACGAAGACGACGTGAATCGTAAACTGTGAACACTAATTGTTGATCTAACATTTCGGCAGCTGAATCGAAGAAATTGAAAAAAAATGTCTGGTCCCAAAATGGTGAATTTGTAGAATTTCGAACACGTGTATCTTTACTTTCTTTCCAGCACGTAATTTTACATATTGGTGATATATTAGCACCTTGTAATTGACGAGCTTCAATAACTTTGACACGAATCTAATTTTAATTTAAGAAAAGAGAAAAAATGTTCAACTGTTATACGTGCCCATTGGTTTTTATAACATATACCATTAAATTGTAAACGTAGATTCTTCCGTTGGTAATGTTTTGGCTGAAGTTTATCAGTCTTGGTTGGCTTACGCGTTGTACATATGGGTGACTAGCCGGCTTCAGTAGCTAAGTGGGTAATGCGTTGATGTTTAAATGAACAGTACCGTGTTCGAATCCTAGGCTGAACATCAACTCTAGAATGCAGGTACGTCTGATTAACAAGCCCTAAAACAGGACGAAATGCGCGCTGTGGATTAAACTGCTAGCCACATTTAATCTACTTTATGCACATCAACAATGTTATCAGATAAACAGCATCCATAAGTATATAGGTTAAAAAGTATACTATTACCTTAAGACAAGCTCAAAGAAAGTTTTCATAAATAGTATTACGATTTCATTTGAATTAAGGGAGTGGAAAACAATAGTAGATGATACTTTGATGTAGAGATTAGGTTTTTAATTTGTATTAATCCAACAGAGCTATATTAGGTAGAACATTATTCGAAAACATGTATCCGGTCGTGCTATTATTATTATCTACATTATTCTAAGTTAACACTGATTGAAGTCATAAATCGATTGATGTTAGACGACCTTTGAAAACCTGGAGGCACTGGACGACAACTTCTTCCTATTATGGGACTCCTAAACAGTGCGGGTTCACGATCCCACTCGCGGGATTCAAACCCAGGACCTTCGTTCTCGAGCGCGAACCCAGAGTTGTAATCTATGATTATCTACAGACTGATCTAATTTACAAGAACAAATCAATAGCTTTATACACTAGAACGTTAATTATAATGTTATTTCGATGAATATAAACTCCATTCAAAATCATTTTACGGTTACCGACGGTTCTAAACCCGTATAAAGAAGAAGGGGTGGTCAAGAGTTAGGAACCACGTCAGGTAGAAAAGCAAGACCATAAAATACAACACAGCGAGCACCAACTCAATCAAACATGACGAAGAAGCTCTGAAAAAAGTTGAAGCATTTACTCACCTGGACAAAACCATCAACGAACAAGGAGGATCCGACGCACATGTAAAGGCACGAAGTAGCAAAGGGAGGATAACGTTCTTACAATTGAAGAACATGTGGAACTCAAAAATCAGACAGCCAACATCAAAGCCAGAGATTTCAATACAAACATCAAAACGGTTCTACCGTACTGAAGTGAAACTTGAAGAACTACCACAACCATCATCAAAAAGTAGAAGTTTTTTAATGTTTACGGTTGGTCGATGAATCCTAGTCGGCAGCCCATGCTTTATGAAGCTTTAAAGGCCCAAGTAATTAGGCGATGTCAAATCGGACAACGGACATCACTTGCTATGGTTGTAGAATCGTGTGCTCTCGATGCGTTATGTATTTCCAAAACACATGCTGTTATTGATACTCAACTGCTTAAACCGAAGTTGTGCGGAGTTCAAACGCGGAGTCCAATGTTTGGACATATAAGCTACCATTTACTGTGACTTCTATCACTGTTACTATTATTACCTTTAATATGATTATTACTTAACCATGGTAAGACTAACACCATTCTATTATTTTTTATCGCCCTATAAATCTGTTTTACTGTGATCTTGTTCTGTATATAACAGAACAAGTTTACACACGTATAACATGGTATTATTATTAAAACATAGGTAGATGATGCATAAAAAATACTTGGCATAAACGCCAGACAATAATATTTGTTTGTTTGTTTCCAGTTAAAATTTCTGTTCCTTCGAACTATGTTACATACTACTGTTGTTAGATAACGTTTGTTTACTCTAAATCAGAGCAGCAAACAATGTAAACAGTACCAATTAATAGACAAATAAATAGGTGATAGCATTATAGGTTACCAGGTTTTCTTTCTTTTCACTTCATTTTATTTAAACCGATAATAATATCCTCTAAAATGTATATTTCACCTAAACATGTATATAAATGCTGTTTAAAATTCATCATTCATTCAGAACTCAAGCATATGTTTATCTATTTTTTGTTGGAACTGATAATTGTCTCATTTTGTTCGATGTTAAATTTAAACTCCAAACGTGTTATAACTTGAATAACAACAATGAATAAAACTACTATGGAAATATGATTCTAGTGTTGATTTCTTGAGGCTCACTGTTTACATAATCACACTGACGAGTCTTTCCAAGCACTTGATACTTGTTTAGGCTATGTTTATTAGAATATTAACGTACAGTGTATTTTCGTAAGCTTTGTAAGCTTTTTACAATTGATTGATCACCGGATGGTGAACAATATCATGTGTGTCACGTCCTTGTTACTGCAGATCGAATCCTATCGACCATGTTGTAATGTGACACTGGTTCAGGTGACTCCACATTGCATGCACTATGTTTAGATAAGATGGTAGTTGGAGGTAGTCAACAGGAAACTCTAGACCTAGGTTTCGTGCTATTCGGCACTCATCAGCAAGTGTACCTGCAATCTTGAGGGGACTGTGGCTCTCTGGCGCATCACCACTCAGTGATCAATCAATTGTAAATACGTCTCAGTCCTACAGAAGGCCAACATAGGTGACCGATCAAGATTATCCAACGAACTCTGTCGTTGTCAATCCTTCCCAGTTGTTTCAACCCCTATTCATTATTTTGGTGTCTACCGCCATTTCCCGACGCAATGTGTTCTTCGATCCTCCTCTTTCCATTTTGCCTTCAGGATTCAAAGTAAGGACTCACCTTGTGATGAAGGTTAATGATTTCCACAATATATTTCCTATCTGCCTTTGACATCTTTTCCGAATATCCTCCTCAGTTGGAAGCTGGTTTGTTCTCTGCCACAGCAGGTTTTCGCAGATGCTATAAGGCCAACAGACATTGATTACCTCGTGTAGACATTTTTTAATAAATACTTGTACTTTTTGATGATGGTTGTGGTAGTTCTTCAAGTTTCACTTCAGTACGGTAGAACCGTTATGATTCTATCCAGGTGAGTAAATGTTTCGTCTTTTTCCAGAGCTTCTTCGTCATGTTTGATTGAGTTGGTGCTCGCTGTGTTGCAGTTCATGATCTTGGTTTTTCATTTGTGTTAAAGCCTGCTTCTGCACAGTCTTCTGCTACAATGAGTGTCATCATCTGCACTTGTTGCTCTACATGAGAATGAAAAGTTAGGTCATCTACGAAATCCAAATAGTCTAGCTGCATCTAAGTTCTGCATTGTTTTCCGTGCTTCACCTCAGATATGTAGGGCTCCACAATTCAATCAACCACCGGCAGAAGGAGGAAGAGGGAGAGTAAGCAGCTTTGTCTGGCATAGGTCTTCACTTTAAATATATCTATCACCTGGCCTCTATGTACGACTTTGCAGTGTGGTCAGTCGTATGAATTCAGCATGATGTTGACAATTTTCTCAGATACATCATTATGCATAAGAAGTTTTCACGAAGTTCTCATTTCCATTCTGCCAAACGGTTTCTCATAATCAAGAAATTTGATGTATAGTGACAATTCCATCTAATTCATTGTTCAACAATGATTCTCACTGTCGCGCTTTTGGTCTATACACGACTGGTCCTTACGGAATGCGGCCTGTTGATCTGGAAGGTGGATGTCTACCGAATCTTTCATGCAGTTCAGCAACACTGTTGAAACTCTTTCCTGATAATAATAGTAGTGTCTGCTGCTTTCCCACTCTTGATTTGTCTGACGGCCATCTTGATTTCTTCCGAAGTTGGTAGAGTGACATCTAAAGGAAGGTCTGTAGCTGTTCTTTCGATGTCCGGTTGATTCAGTCGAGCTAGCCTATTAATAAGTTGTTCAAAGTGTTATACCAATCTGTTCCACTGTTCTAATGCTCTTCTTCACTTGCTTGTATTCTTCTGCGTATTTGACCTGTGACTTAGCTTTATATGTTCTTGTTCGATTGTGATTGATTGCTGTATACTGCCCAAAGTGCCAACAAAGGTGCATTCTGAGATGTTAGGGACGATTTCTAGCTCAAGTGGAGGGTTTTAGTGGTTTGGTTTCTTGAGCTGAATGGATCGTTTGTGAAGCTCTCATAGCTGTTCTCAAGAACAGTTGACGACCGAACCATACAGCTCAGATAACGAAATTTCACCAAAAACTGATTAACTTATTATGCTGGTGCTTCGTTAATCTCTTTCTAGTTGTTCTCCATAGTAGTGTCCCTTTCTTTTAGTATGTAATGTATGGATTGGAAGCTGTTGATGAGAGCTATCTTAAACTCGTCGGGTTTATCAGATTCTTAAAGAAATGTTGTACTGAACTTCTGTAATGATATTTCTCCAGCTATACAGCGCTTATTTGGCTTCAGTTTCATATTTTCCACCACTGGGAAGGAATCTAAGGCGGTACCAATTCCCCTCTCTGTCCTCACGTCTTTCATGGATCTTTAGAACTTTTTATTAATACTAATGCGTTCTATCTGGTTCGTTGTAGTGTTATCCGGTGAAACCCACGTAACTTGTGAATGTATTTGTGGGAAAATATGGTTCCACCTATAGCAATTTTGCTGAAGGCACATAAATGTGTAAATCCCTTCTCTCCCAGTCCGCGTCGTCTCATGATATTTTCATACCCGATTTAGATCATCCCAACTTTGGAGTTTAGGTTCTTCATCAGGATATTCAGGTCCCATTTTAGGCATTTCTGTACAGTCAACTTTATCCTCCTATAAATCTAACCTTTATCGTCTGCACTGTTATCATTGGTGGGTACATAGCATTGGATGTAGGATTTGAAGAGTTTCTTGATGATTCTGGATCTATGGGTTTCCAAACCCCTAAGCCTTTTTCGTGCTTCTTTGATGTCATAATTGCAATTCTTGTGTGGGCAAGGCATTTAATCCTTCATGATCAGAGTACAACAGTACTTCCCTTGAAACTAACTTTGATCCAATGAGATGCAGGTGCTGGTTACCCGAGGAAATCACCTTAGAGTTTTCACATCCCATTGGAGTTAACAGTACGATAATGAACTCAGAATATAATTTGCTAATTTTAGTTTAACCGATCCACATCTGAGCTTTGCGGTATACTCGAACCTAAAGGATCTTTAGAATGACCTTAATATTCAAAGCATATCAATCTAGGATTGCTTAGTTATTATATAGATAGGCTAACTTTAATTCTTATCACGAACACATATTCTAACTTTAAAAACTAGTGCTTAATAACGTATGAGCAACTCAGGGACGTCTTTCAGACACGTATAAATGATATATTCTTTTTTAATTCTTTGACTCTAGTATTATAATTCATCCATTCATATTTTTCTGTTTTTTGATTGACTAAGATAGTCTAAGATCTTAAAGCTATTTCGCGGTGTATATTAATTTAAAACGATTCACGAGTTTTTATTCAGCTGGCCCTCATATAAAACTGTTAAGGAAGTAGATTGACATTGATTTGTGTCAATGAGATCACTGGAACTATTGAATATGAAATTTTATATGAAGTTGAAATTCGCGACCTGACAGATTTCTAAACAAACGGTTACATATTCGAAACATATTATGTGTTTTATTCCAAGAATGCAAATTTTAAAATTTATATCGATCGATATAATTTTATATGTAATTTTGGAGGTATCCTATAGTTCCTCAAAAAAGACTACAGAAACTGAGGAAAATGTAGAAAAATTTCGACCAGTCATCACTCTGTGATTTTTCAAGAAAAATATAGAAATTATCTAGTTATTCTTTCACGATTCTGAGGCTTTTAGAAACTTAAAGTCACTCATAACCTTATAGATACCTTTTTTTACACTGTCGAAGCTTCTCCTATACTTCCTGTCTTCTGGCTTTTTGTTCAGTTTTGAAGATTAGAAAAACTTCACATTACTGGGATACAGTTCAGAAGTTGGTGTCTTTTAAGTATAGAATATCGTATGTATGTCATATTATTGTGTTGGGTAGATTGTGGACTAAATCTACAATTTTTTCTACAGGTATTAAATTGGGATAAACAAGCATGTTGAGTCTTGAAAGTAGGCGACTGCAACAGTTTTCTATTTTTCAGTAATTATATATATATATATATATATATATATATATATATAAAGTTAAAACATTGTGGCTTATTTGACTCTTATCCACCTCAAGAACAAATATCTTTGTAAAAAGCTTACTTGAAAATCTTGTTTCTTGGTTGAATATTGGGGACGGACTGCCAGACCACTTAGTTTCTTTTTACGTTTACCTGCACCCAGTTCATCATCAAGTGTATCTTTTTCATTCATTTCAGTCCCTTTACCCGCACTAACTCTTACACCAGCATCACCAGCGCCACCAGCTTCCACTTTATCGCCTACGCCGCCTTGTTCTATTTCATTACCTAAACGATATGTAATCGAAGTCAAAGGATAAAAAATATGTCAATTTGGTTAAAATGATCATAATAATTCGCGGTGTACCGGTAATCTTGAGGGAGGTCTAAACTGAGCCTCCCAGTATCACAGTCGAAAATTTTACTAGTATATAATCTAGGTTGTAGCACATTTCATTAACTAACTATTGTTAACCAATGGCATAACTCTGAAAAAACTCATTACAATCCTCTGCGTATCTGATACAACGTGTTGCCAAGTTTTGACTACTAAGATAAGTCAGTTTAGGTATTACTTCCAACTGACTACTATCGGCCACTAATCATTTTCACCAAACGAGCTTATGCGTTTCTGTCACAACCGTTTAGTGAACGATATACTGTGAGTTAAATTGATTCAACATCTGCATTTCGTATGAGTGATGAAAAGAAAACAGTTCACAAACGGTAAGAAAATTGTAAAAAGACTGGAAAAGAAGGTCTATCTTCAAGTATCTCAGGTGTAATGATAATTAGACAGCTACGAATCAAGCTAAAAGGATATGGATTCGGCAAATCAGATATTAATCTTATTAGCATAAAAATACATGTAGTAAGCAAGTTACAGGTGATCTTACTTGAAACAACTTGTAATATGATAATAAAGATTCATGCCCATTATATCACTTGTTATGGTAAGACAAAATAGCAAAATAGTCTATATATATGCAAGATAATTTAAATGTTTACGAAAATAGTGGATAAGACACAAAGGTACAGAAAAACACAACTTGAAATAGTTTTACGTCCAAATCAATGATTCGACTAATGACAGTTGTAATTCACCCAACAAGATTTAAATAAATGCGCCCTGCTTTTTCTAATGAATTACCTACTTTCAATCGATTATCCTTTGAAAATATTATTACAATCAATTTCAAGTAGTTAAATTACATAAATGACCATACAATATCCCTCTTTCACTCTTGACCTTGCCTTATTTGATTTTATGTATGCTAAATATTGAAAACGTGAAACCAATAGCCTTTATTATTGATCGTACTAGTGTACGTGTTAGGCGAATTCCTAGTATTGATCTATCGTCTGGTTGTTGTGCGTGTTTAACTAAGTGGTTTAGGTACAGGTAGTGATCGTTTATAAAATTAAAAGATCCACCGAATGGTATCTAAGGTTATGATTACCCAGCCCTAAAATTTTGATCAAATTCTATTGATCAAACTGTAATGTGATCACTAGTTTAATTGGCTCGGCATCATATACACTATTTTGAAATATTAGGTGTTAGTTCGGATGAGAATTTGGAACCATTCTCTTAACCAGTTGGCGCTTGACCTCAAGGCGTACCTGCATTTCTGAGGACAGTTATATTCTCTGTGAGACAAGAACTCGTAACACTCGAAATCCTAGTCTAACACGTTATCATTAAACTATCTGTGCAGTAACTAGCTTACATAAAACAGATATTTATAGTGGTTGATTACCAAATACTTAGTAGTGGCACGTTTGCTTAGTTTATAATGCTAATCAAATTCCATTGATGTGTGTTAAATTACTTGACTTAGCGGTTACATGGCAACTTGGTCAACAGAATCCGATCAGTAATAAGGACTAGATGAATATGATACTATAATTAGAAATGGATGGTGGCTATCAGTCTAATCCAGGGCGCGTGTTTCGTCCTATTTGGGAGTTGTTAGTCGGGTGTACTTACACCCCAATGTTGATGTCTACTTCGAGACATATGCCAATAAGAGACTAGTCAATGTCGGTCCTAAACGTCGAAAGGAAGACTCAAACAACCAATACAAGATGAGGTGGACATGATACTGGTTGCTAATTACTAATATACCTGCGTAATATTTCTCAAACTCAACCATCACTTGTACTGATCGTTTTCAATTCAAAAATAGTGAAAAATAAAAAATAGATGGGATGCAATAGACATCCTAATGTCATTATTATTCAAAATGAAACTTAAACCAAGTACTCGTCTTTTACATTAATGGTTAATATCCAATTTACAATCATTGTGTATTGATTTAAAGAATTTTTACTATCCGTGAAAACCAGTTGATTCAATCTTTAATACTAACATTACAAATATATTTTTGTGTTTAATGTTCTACAACTTCAACTGCTTCTCATTTCATCTTATTACGTCTCTCTCTTGCTATACTAACGATGTCAAGTGTGGCATATTGAAGTAGATATTTTTAATTAATTGTATCACTGATTTAGAACTAAAAGTACAGATGTAACGTAAAAAACTACGGATTTTAATCAACGGACTTGAAACAATATAAAAATATTCAGTCAATGAATTCAAACGCAAACACAGAGAGACTGAAGAAACTCATTCATGGAAAACAATACAAATGGAGTTTGGATATCATTACGATTTATAATACAATAGACAATGTATATACGTCTTTGCAGAACACCCTATTGACTAATTCATGTATGAATCGGCAGTCAGGGACACAGGTTATTGAAAACACACTGTGACAATTTTTTGTTTACTTTCAAAAGCATACTTTTAAGTGTAGGTTGTGTAATTTAGCATGAGAAACCTGAACTTTATAAATTAAAAAAAAATTATCGATGAGCTTGAAACTATAACACATAAACGTCACAAAATCTTGGATATATACATATATACACGATGGTCAAAGTTACTTTATTGTTTAGGCATTTGTTTAATAACAGAAAATTGGTTGGATAAATCTATTCAGAACATAATAAGAGATAGTCTGTGAAATTGTAAACCGTTATTATTATTATTGTATGCATTTCCTCTCATAGTTTTACATTATGGGTCAACCTAATCTAGACAATCAATGGAAACATAGAGAGTGCTTGATAAGTGTTTCCTCTTGATCTTGGCTTTTTAATTTAAACAGGGGTAAACGCGGTATATCTATGCTTCAAAATGAACATTATCTGACCATTGAGCTGAAACCCAGTGTTTTCACATTGTAAGATTCAAAACTCTTATGTCAGTCAATAGTTTTTTTATTAGGTTTTCTTTAATAATTAATATTCTCTATTTTTTATGACTATTTATCTTTAAGGAAGAAGGAATGCAATACTTTCATCTGGATAATTATTGGTAATCAAAGTATGTAATGAATTATAATTAGGTCAGTATATAAATGTATGCATTTTTTAGTTGCCAATCGATTGAAGTTGATTATCACTTATTAGATATAAAAGTAATTAGGACACTAAGTAGTTCAGTTCAGATTCAATAAAGTTGACTTTGAGTTGCACTTTACTCGTGAGCCATAGTCTACTACGGTGTTCTATGCATCGTTTGAAAACAATCATATGCTTACTCAACAGAGGTATTTCACTATGAAAACTGAAGACAGTTGGTTGGGTTTCATGTGAAATGAGATAAAATAATAATGCTTCTGTTTCATTATTCTACTGAAGCTCTAAAATAACAACACACGAAGCCTACAGATCTTGGCACTAATTTTATATGGCGTCGTGAGTGCAAAGCACTGAGGGATACTGAACAACTAATGCGGAAAGACCCTCTGCTATGCCTTGACTTTAAATGCTTTTCCAGGGCAATGGTGTGTTTTTTATGAAATTACCCTCATATAATATACAGACTTCTTCGCAAAGCCATTTCACTTTAAAATGCTGATCATTTTATAAAGTAGATGAGTCAAATGTTTTTTTCTAAGTTAAAATAATAATATAAAGTTTCATGAGAAAGACGAACTTCAGCGACTTCTTGACTTGTCATGAGAAGGCATCAACCAGTCGGAAAGCTGTAAATGTTAACGAAGAAATTGAGTGATGAAGTCAAAGAATCTTCGAAGGATATATCGATTTGATATGATTAATGAAGTTACAAAGTTGGGTATAAATTCTATACCGTTGAAGCATAAGGTAAAAATTAAAGTTTAGGGTTAGTTTATAGATACCCTAACCCCGTATTATAACGTTTACACTAATCCTAACCCTATACCCTATTTCTAACTCTGTTAACAACCCTAAATCCTAATTTTAACTTCCCTTCTAATCTCAACAAACATTCTTGTATTTCCTAAAAATCACTAACGATAATTCCACTCTTGCTCTCAAAGGTGAATATTTTACCCGGAAATCTAGAATCTTGTAAGTACTTAAAGATGCTGTTTTATTAAAATTCACCATCACGAGATCGGTAGTCAGTATATCGGTTTGATATTTGCTCCATGATGTGAGAAGGCTCAAGTTTGAGCCTAATGGGTTTGAGATTGTAATAAAATTTAACCCTTTTAAGCTTCCAACGACCACAGCTCATGTACATGGTTTCATTCACATTAGTACTTCTATTTGCAATAATGACTATAGCATAAAACGTTGCCTGTGCTTTTCGATTAGGGCTTAGAACCGGCAAAAAAACACATTATTATACTCAGTGATCCTTTAATATTTGAACATTTCAGCTTTAAAGGCAATCACATGTCGAATAACTTAGTTGTCACATTTCTGACTTGAAGGAACCAGTCCCTACATTGATTTCCTTAAGACTACAGATGTATTGTCGATGGTCACAACTGGCCAGAGATCATCAAACATCTGACATCACAAAAAGTGAGTCAAGCAGTTAAATCATATATCTTCTAGTTGTATCACAACTTGATCAATATAATTTGATCACTGAAATGACAAAAACAAACATCGCAGTGATTACTATTCATGGGTTATTTGGTCTAAACTATAGTTAGTTTGATTTAACTGAAGGGAACACGCAAAAATATTTATAGCTATAAGACTTTTATTCAATTAAATCAATTTATTCATGTGAAATTAGCATTTTCTAAATGTTTTCAGATCTGAATATAAATTTATATGAACTAAGAGTATACTCTTTACATTCTAATTAGGTTAATTGAATAGTATTTCGGACAACATATATTTCAAATAATCTGATCATACAGTAATTTTTATGTGCTATTTGTTGTGATACTAAAGAAAATTTAAAATAACTTAACAATAGTGATAATTCT